TGATTTCAGTAGATTGCTGCCAGGCTTGGCATGCTGATTTGAGTATCAGGATACTCAGCTCCTAGCACTATCTTCCTTATCTCCAATACTTGCTTATTCAGCTGCTCAGCTTTATTCCATCGACCCTGACACCAAAATATTGATACTAGGTTCGCCATACTGCTCAAAGTGTCAGGATGTTGAGTACCTAGCACTCTCTTATACATCTCCACTAATTGCACCTCTAGCTTCTCAGCTTCATTCCATCGACCCTAGCTTCAGTAGGTTGCTGCTAGATTCCCTATGCTTGCTAGAGTAATAGGATGCTCAGTACCCAGCACTATCTTGCTTATCTCCATTACTTATACCTCCAGCTTCTCAGCTTCATTCCATTAACCCTGATTTTGGTAGATTACTGCCAGATTCCCCATACTGGCTAGAATAGAGTGATGATTTATGCTAGATTTCTTCTAATTAATCCTTATCAGCTTTGTATAAAGTATCTCTGTTTCTTAATATCTTCTATCACTATTAAGACAATCTGCAATATTTTTGATTAAATCTAGGTAATTACTCTCTTGTATCACAAATTCATTTTCATGCATAAGTGCTAAAGCGTGAGGAAGGTATTCCCGCTAAAGTTGTTGTTTGGTGTGATGATCATCTGGAAATATCTTCTGCATATGATCAGCCATCTTTTGGATCTAGTGATTGAATAATGTATTCCTTCTAAGCTAGTTTTGGGTTGTAATATGTACAAGTCTGTGCAAATTAATGTTTATATCTTGGCTGCTTGTAAGTGAGTATGCATTAAGAAGTCCTAGAGTGTTAATTATCTGTTTCCTGGATGTTTCTTGAGAAAGGAGTGATTGAGGAATATTTTGTGGATCAATGCAGGCCATGAAAGATAGATAGTCTGCTGCTACTTGATCTTGCTGCTGGATCTGTTTGAATGATATTAACTAAGTAGTAATTATAGGATTCTAGATATCCTTATAGTATCCTAGATCTCTAAAGTCTTCACTTAGAAGTTCTACTATATCTTGTTCTTGGTCTTAGAGTAGTACAAAGTAGGTCAACAAATTGATACCATTTTCAATAATATAGACTGATGCTTATACAATTACTAAAGGCAGAAAGGCTAGTTGTGTGAGAAGAGTAGTAGATATAGTAAAATCTCTTAGCATATCTTTGTGTGCTAGCATCTTCTCTAATATTTTAGATACAATTTCTTTATCCACATCTAGAATTGAAATAATACTAAATAGTGCCAGCTTCATTACAAGTTTTTGATTTCAGCTGGTAAATAGAATACAGCCTTGTCCACTTTCAGGAAGAGAGTCTTCAAGAGATAGAGCTATATCACTACCTTTTAACCACATCTCTACATCATCTATATTATCAAGGATTAGAAGCCACTTTCCTGCATACTCAGAACTAAGGTAATTCTTAATCTATTCTTTGATCTCTGCCGGATTCATATCATAAAGTTCAAGTTTTAATACAATTTAGAGAAACATCTACTTAATTATAGCATAGCTAGTACAAGGGATCCAGAAGATTGATCACTCTTGATCTTGGTCTTAGATGTGGTGCACGAGCTTAAGGGCTACTTGGGTCTTTCCGACCCCTCCTAGTCCGGTTATAGCAATCTTCCTGGGACCATGTTGCATTGTTAATGATTTTTCCAGTTTCGCGATTTCATCCTCTTGCCCGACAAAGTTTGGATTCTTTGTGAGTGAGACTATCCAGTGCTGTGCTTTCTTGTTTTTTGGATTGATATCTATGCAGCTTATAGGAATAACTGATAATAACAATTTTGTATAAGCTGCCACAGTTAACGCCGTATATCCTTGCCATTGCTTCTGCTTGTAAGAGTCACAGTAGTCGCATATTCCTCGAATAACTAGTGTCGGAAGCCCATCCATTATCTTGGCCGCTTCCATCTCAAAGCATAGGATTCTATACTGCTGTGCTAGGCGGTTGCGTGTTTTTGAGTCCTTCATCACTTGGTCTCCCGATGCAATTAACCCATAATGAATTTGAGGTATTCTTGTCTTTCGTGGTTGTCGTTTATATAATTCTTCTTTATCACACCTTTCACAGCCATCCTCACCGGCGGTATGATGATAGGAGGAATGAAATAAAACGTCTGTATGCTGTTCTGGGGGCGAAAATCGCTCTTGCATACTAGGGTTCTGTATCAAGGCTTTGTCTACTATCTTAGAAAGACCCTCCTTGCCTTTAATCATGTGTTTTGTCTTTAGCTGGCCCATATGTGTCAAGAGCACAGGTGGTGGTTTATTTAAGGTTCCTGTTGACTCGAATTGACCGTCTTGAATCGCCTTACCATAATCATACTGGATCATTCCACCGTGCTTTCTAGCTGGTTTGCTAACCACGACATCACCCAGTCGAATATCATTTGTTTTGCTTGGTACTCCACCTCCAATTCCTACCATCAATCTATATTGGAGCTGAGGAAAGGTTGAGCGCATGTGAGATACGATGGTTGTGGCAGACACTTTGCTATATATACCGTTTGGTAGGCTGGCAACAATAATATAGTGGCTATTTAACTCGCCAAGTTTATAGGTATTCGGGTCAGTGGAAGGTTTAGGCAAGGGACTATGAGTCCTATCTAGCATGGCATGGGCAGCCGCCATCTCTAGCGGTAAAGCGCATATCCACGCGATTGTGTAGTGTTTGTGTGTTAAAGAGGTCATAGTGGGTCAAAACAGGTCAAAAAACAGATTAAGTGCAGATGTTCCGTCAAGCTCAAATGGAAAAGCCTTTTGATGACGGGCAGGAAAATGCAACATTATTTATCAGGCTGGGAAGGAGGGTGAATAGCTACGCGCTTGTACAAGGCTAGGGACTTAATGGAAGTGTCAGAGAATCGCTAAACCACAGCCAATGGATACGTACACCCATGATGGAGCCAATGCACCCTGGAACAATGGATTATCCGGACAGGGATAATCCTAGCGCGTTGAACGCAACGAACGCACTGAGTATGACCAGCGCTCCTAAGGGTCAGGTTATGCTAGGAATCATAGGATATTCTATGATGATTATGATGGCAGAAGGATATTTAAGTACACTCATCTATCCTGTATTCAGATTCTAGTTTACTGTCTTGATTTAACTGCGATAATATGAGTATACGGTTCTTCTATCGAACAGGTTATTCAACTACTATAAGACTTAGCCGGCCTATGGCCTTTTGTGTTCAGAAGGAAATAACTTCTTCCGTTGTTATAAGTATCCTAAATGTCGTAACGGCGTAGCCGATGGGTGAACTTAGGGCTATGGACGCTGCCCCCCAGTTTCCTGATTCGAGAGTCACATGATCAAATTCACGTGATCCATGGTGTTGATATGGAGCGAGCGCGTAGCCTTATATTTTGTATTCTTCCTGTTTGTTTGACTACGGTCCGTATCACAATAGCATAAACAGTGGTAATAGCGCTGCTGTGAATACAAATATTCACAGTAATCCTGCTTCATATCGACAGGTTCCTGGCATGTTCCATTGACTCCCAGTCTTCTCGTTGAATAATCACCTCTCTATTATTTTCACTTCCACAGATTTGCTCATAAATTTCGATCTATAAACGATGAAGTTTTGCCTACAGACTCAGTCTCTCCGCTTCCAACTATTGCTGCAAGTTCCCAATCATTTTAAGTGAATCCACCAAAAAATGAATAGACATGAGGTTATTGTCGTACGAGAGAGTTCCCTAATGCATAGATTGAGAATAGAAACAAGAAAAGGAGGGTCATTGACCGAGAATTACGTCGTAATATTATCAGCAAGGACACAGGGAACCAATGCGACTGGATTACAACAGACTCAAAAAGATAAACCGCTACCACCAACATGAGGCTCCATTTGAAGGAGATGCATGAAATTCTACCACCTGGTACCTCTCAGCAAGTTATTGTTACACCAAAATCTACTATCCTTGGACTCTACGCAATAGGGAAACACTCACAGTTCAAGAACTTCTTGAAAGGAATCTTCGTCGCTGGGTTGTTAGCAGCAAGCAACACTGTTCAGTCATTGAATCATCAGCATTTCAGCAATTTTTTAAAATATACCAGGAGTTTCACTTCTATTTACCTCTCGTCACACACTTGGAGAGCGTTTTGTGGAAGACTTTGACTCAAAAAGTGTCAAATTGAAAGAAGAGCTTGCAACAATGTGCAAAACAATCGCCCTGTCTTTTGATGTATGGACCAGCAAGAATCACCTTCCAATCCTCGGATTTACTAGCCATTATATCACAGAAGAATGACAACGACAGCAAATCTCGATGTCTAAAAACAATCCAAGTCTACAAATGCGGACGCATAGAAACACCAACAATCGCGCGATGCGTCGCCCATTTCGATGTCACAAAGTGGCACTGTCAGTATCCTGTAAGGGTCATACACTTCCTGTATATCCACTGCGCCTGAGAAAACATATCAAGCAACAACAATAATCACATCCACAGCCCTAAGCTCGCCATGGAATATATACAATGCAAAGACTTCAAGTTATATTTTGATTGTTTTGAGGCAAGATGGCAAGTCGCTCAACACTGTCGGCAGGTGTGTTAATTAAATAGTGCATGCGGAAGAAAACATTTTCATGCGCTTGATTGTCAAAGTAAAGGAAAGCGGCCTCGACGAGGTCAATTCTGTTCTGGAAAACGAGAGTAGATTCTAGATACGGCAGATGAGAAGTGCATGCATCCCGAGTGTCTGAGTGACAAGGCCTCGGAAAGCTGGTGGTCTAAGATCATGGATGAGTTATTATGAAGTCTCGGAGACTGGTCAATTTGATTATTATTCCTCAGTATGTTAGAAGTTATTCGGTTCAGTACGTAGTTCAACTAATTCTGCCCATTGACAGAGTCGGCTTCGCATTTTGGCTCAACGCAAAACAATATGACAATCAGAGATCTTGAAGCACTTCCACACGAAGCACTCCCTACAATTCAGCATATCCAACTATGCCTTCATACTCGAAATCAAAGTTCCTCATCCTTCTCATCGGTCTCTTGAACCAAAAACCAATTTCCAGCAATCGGCCTCTTCAAATCCGCTGCTTTCACGAACTCCCGAATATCAAACCCCACCCGTGTCGATGACTTTTTATCCATATACTTCTTGAATTCGGAGGGCATCTTGTAATGTCGCGGTTGGTCAAAAAGCAATTCGACGTAACGATGCTCAGGCCCTGGTGGTGGCGAGGGTGGATAGTACTCCGCTTTGTCGAGATGATTCGAATTTGGTATGTGTAATTTGCCTGTTCTGCGGTGCAATTTGAGGTCCGATTGATACCAATGAAGGAATGGGACCTTGGTATCGTTTTGAGGAACGTCTAGATCAACCATGAAGACGATATAGCGAGAGTCAGACATGGTTTGTTGCATTGAGTGGGGAAATTCGGCGTCATGTTTCAGCGACTTGACCGTCAAGTGCGGTACAAGCTGGGTATCTACAGGATCAGAAGCATTTAGTTCTTTGATAAATCTCACAAATGGGATTCATATTATGGCAAATGGAGAGCCTATATTCGTACCAGATTTGTCAAGTTTGTTGCCTTGATGCGCAGCAGCCTTCTTGCCGAATTTGACTCCCAGTTTGTGAGACGTAGAAGGCTCAAAACCGGGGGGAGTCTGGCCTTGAGCAATACTAACAGCAAGAAAGACCGCGAAAATTGGCTTCAACAACATTATGCAATATGATTTTCGTATATCGAAGTCGGACCTGGGACGAAGATTATATTGTAAAATATGTTAAAAAAAAATCGAGCACAACCAATTTTACATTACCCTTGTTCACACGCTTTAGCTGCTGCAGGATCCCCCACTTACGCTACATACCATAACCAATGCAGGCTTGTAGTGCGCTATTTTGGGCTGTCTCAAGTCGTAGGTTGTGGTTTGTTTTGCATATGAACGATAAATTCTGACGTCAGAAAATAAAGGAAGCCATCTATGCATCAATAGATATACAAAGTCCGGTCCCATTGTAGCGCATGTAAGTATGACCTTATTTATATTGCGTCGCGACCGAATGCTACACAATGATGATCATTTAGATTAGTCGTCGGTGTACATGGCTGAATAAATCCAGCTAGAGTTGTGACAGAGTACACATCCTGTTATTTGGAGTTATATACACAGCATAGTATATTCGATTGAGATAGCGAGCATACGATGCACAATTATAGATCCTCGTATCCCGGTACCGGCGCGAGACCGGCATTATTCTATCTCCAAGACCATATTACATCTTCTACCTCGTAGGGGTGAAATGCTCTTTCCTATACTTCATCAATACATCTTCGTTTCCATCTAATAATTTCTTCTTCTTTCATATTTCCAGTTCAGAGACTTCTTATAATGTTGAGCGTCGCCAAATTCCGACCACGAGGCATTTTCGCCGATACATTTAACCAGATTAAACGTAAACCAAGATTCATTGTTCATCAACATAAAGGAGGTAACTTCATAGGGCAAAATTCATGCATCGCGAAATCATTCAACATTGCGAGATCTTACTCCATATTCCAAAAGAGATTGAACGACCCATTGCGCACTACGCCATCCTGTCTAGCAGACAAGACAGTTCTCGTAACAGGTGCAAACACCGGTTTGGGGTTTGAAGCTGCCCTCAAGAGTGTCGGCCTACAGGCAAAGCACGTTATACTTGGAGTCCGGAACGTCGAAAAGGGTGAGCGTGCTAAACAACGGATATTACAGACCATATCGCAAACTCCACTGGCGGCATCAGGTGCAATTAGAGACAGTAGTTCGAGGAGTCAAACGATCTCAGTGCGCAAGCTAGATATGAATGACTACGATTCGATACACAGCTTTGTCAATGAGATTGCCGCAAAAGATGGTCCACTGGACGTCGCTATTCTGAATGCAGGCGTTTATGGGGTGAAGTACGAAACGCATGGCAAATACGGATGGGAAAATGATTTACAAGTCAACGTCCTCTCCACTGCACTGCTAAGTCTACTTTTATTACACCGAAATGCGGTCAAGCCAAGGACTGGTGTACTAGAATTTGTGGCTTCGAGACGAATGCAAGCTGTTCGACTTACGGAGGACGAAAAATCTGCACCCAGTTTGTTAGAGACATTCAATCAGAAACAAGCGAAATTCGATGCAAGCAGACAGTACCAAGTTTCTAAGCTTTTATTAATGGCGTTTTACAAGTCTTTGGCTGCCAGAGCTATCAAGTCGAAGGAAGCGAGCCCGATCATTACGGCGGTTTGTCCCGGATTCTGTAAATCTGATCTTTCAAGGGGCCATCAAGGAATTGCGGCTAATGTACTACGATTGATACTCAATACTGTTCTCCTGAGAAGTACTGAAGAAGGAGCAAGGACTCTTGTGACAGGGGCAGTGGCTGAAGAGGAGCGACATGGGAGATTCTGGTATGATGATGCACCGCATGATGTGTGAGTATCTGGAATCGAATCGTTCAAATGATATATTACTGAGATTGCTAACCTCTTCTTATCGACAGCGTGCTATCAGATAGTGTCGGCAATATCCAACCATTTGCAGACAAAATTTGGAATGATGTGGTTACTGCGCTTCGACGTGACACCAGTGTTCCTCTTATTTACGAAAAAGAATGTCGGTAATAGCAAGTTGATATTGTAGCACGAATAGTTTTACCTATCTATGCATTTAACAAAAAAAAACGATGAAGACATTGTCCATTCATCAGTCGTCATTCTACTTTACATGTATCACTCGATCACAACACAATCAACTTTCGCAATCTCCAAAGCTAATCAGAGTCAATTTGACCATGCATTCCGTCGCCTCCATCTGATCAATCACTTAGGTGTGTCCAACCAAACCGGTCTTAGGAGCATTGTCAGGGTTGGTATTAGTGCCAGCGAAACCCAAAGCGGTGTTCCAAGCATCAGCGGTACTGGCATCCCTTGTGCCCAGATTGGCAATCATGGTCTGAGCAGCAGCGGCGGCACTCTTTGCAGCGGCATTGGCTCCGCAGACGTTAGTCAACTGGTCGTGAATTCTGTTGGTAATGATGTTGGGGTTCAAAGCCTCCTCCTGGCCCTTGTTGACCAGAGGATCAATGGCCTGGAAGGTCGATTCAGTTGTAGCACGACCATCAAGACCAGCCTCGAACTTCATGGTGGGGACACAGAGACCAAAGTCAAGACCGGCGATGGTGGATGCAACGAAACCGTCAAAGGTACCGGTGACGGGGTCAGAGACTGCGCCAGCGCCTGCAGCAGGGGAACTGCAGAGCATGGTTGATCCGGAGCCGGTACAAGTTCCTGCTGCAGCTGATACAGCGGCGGCAGTAGATGTGGCAGCATCAACAGCTGTGGCAGTTGCAGAGCTGGCGGCAGTGACCAATGTCGTTGCAGATGGGGCTGCACAGGCATTAGCGGCGGCAGCGGACGAGGTAGCAACAGCAGCAACAGCAGCAGAGGAAACGGCGGCAGTCTCGGTGGCAGCAGCAGTAGCAGGAGCGGTATCAGTACCAGCTGCTGCTGCAGTTCCAAGGTCAGAAGCGGCGACCTTGGTACCATCCTGAGCGACAGCAGTAAAGTTGGAGAAGCCATGAGCAACCATGACCTGAGCAACGCTCAACCCAGTAGCGTCAAAGGGCGTAGTCTTGGAGGAGTTGGAGTTTGCGTTCTCAATGTCCTGGCCGACAACGGCAGGGTCGATGAGAGGAACGACACCACGGAGAGCAGCAGTAGTGGGAAGAGTAGGATCGGAACAGATTGATGGGATGCTGACGACGAAGGGGTTAAAGTTTTGCTCAGCGGCGACGAGACCGCGAGCTGCGGCGATGGCTGCATCGCTTGTTCCAAGCTCGGCGACGATTTTGTCGGCTTGGGTCAATTCTATACAACTCGTTATTTATAATCCTTGACTATGATATAACCGAAGATGGTGGACTTACTTCCGCAAGGATTAGCTGCTGCAAGCAGGAACTGAATGGAAGTACCAGCGAGAGTAGCCGCCTGACCAGGCTGACCAAGGTTAGTCAATGCTCCGATAGCTGTAATAGCACCGTTTCCCTGCTCTTGTCCGAAACTAGATGGCGATAAGTCAGTTGTTTGCGCTACTTGTACCAAAGACAAGATTCTTACCGAGCCTCTGCAACGGATGCAAGGAGATACACAAATGCTGTCTTGGAATACATATTGAATGATATGATTGTCTCGAAAATTGTTCTCTCAAGTAAACAGATAGAATACGATGGAATGAATGAATAAGTAAATGTTCCGGACCGGCCAGAAACGATTTGTTAAAATGTGAATGAGTGGTAAGAATTGAATGACAAATGAATACCGTTCACAGAACTGGTTATTCGGTAAAGAATGTCGTCAGAGAGAACTGAAGAGATTGTGTTGTGATGAGTGAGGGAAAAAAGATACAACAGACTTGGTGATGGAGGTGTACATATTTATAACCTTGAGGTAGCTATACTCGACAGCTGCCACGAACCTAAAATCGGATCCGATATCAACATCAGAAGATCCATATCATTAAACCACTTGCATCATTCGTGTGAGAGTTTGATCTCGGTACCTGCTCCGGCTCCGGTGATAGGTGTATTAATTGTTCCTTCCAGTCTCACGCAAATTGCAAAGTGGAATATGGCTGTATGAAGAAAATTATCATTATGCGATGATACTTCCACAACAAGCAAAGGCTGTATAATGTTGTTGTCGCCTCTCTTAGCCATTTCACAGCTGTAACGTGTATTGTCTCCAAGAGCGGATATCAGAAACAAGGGGTAGCAAAGTAAGCACATAAGCGCCCGTTATGAGACGTCGGAGTTTCGGGAATTATTGACTTTTTAATATAATAAACGAGCCGCCTCGATGAACTAACTGATAATTATTTAGTCAAAGGTAACAAGCTAGGTACAAAGTAGCGGGAAAAGTCATTTATTTGCATCCGAGGCTGATACAGGTACCAATTTGATTTGCCAATTTTACGATGTTAGGCTAATTTAACGCTGTTCCTTAAGCCACGCGAAAGTGTTGACCAACAGTTGCTATGAAATATGGCGCCAAGGATGTCTCAGCCTATTGTTAGAGAACATTTGAAAGTGTACACTGGACCTCTTACAGATAATCAACAAGTACCGGATACGTACCTAGGTCTGAATTTGTCCTAGGTATTAGTTGTAGTCGATTTGTACTAGGTACATCTGTTGTACTTGGATTACAGGCATATTCCTTGCGAATGGCCATTGATTCTTACATTCGTACTACTTGTTCGATGACTACCTCGTATACACACATGTCCATCCATATCTCTCATTGATAAGGACGCTGAACTATTGGGATTCTACAGACTATTTCACGGTTCCTCGCCCTCACTCTGAAATACCTGGTCCATAGGCCACCGCAGCGCAAAATGCCAGTCTGGACCCAGCAAGTCCATCATAGCCTTCAACATGCGTCTCGCCCATCCATCCAAGTACCATTTCGTTGGTATACGATGCATTCCAGAGCACCAATGACAAACAATAATCAGCGCCATTGGATCTTTGTTCTTCAACAATAGCAAAAACTCAGGAGAAACACCCGCGGGCCACCAAACCAATAACAGCCATGTAGTGGGTAATTTCGCTGCCATGATACTGAACCAAAAGCGGAGGACGGTGATGGCCTGTGCGCAAGTTTGACGATCGCTGTCGCCGCGACTCGTTGTATTAGGCTGACCATATTCAACGGTGTCGTTGAGGTGCGTGAGATTTTCAATCGCCTTTTCGTGGCTTTCGTCTAACTCTTCGAAGCGGAGATGTTTTCGGTGTATGAATAGTGCGCTCAAATGGCTCTTTTGAAGATGAGGACCGAGTTGATCGATTAATGACCAGGTTCCTCGCAGAGCAGAGATTGCATTGTATGCATCCACAGTTGGGAAGGCATCGGACATCGGTCCTGCGCCGGGCACGCACGAGATACCCAATTGGAACATCAAGATGAGCAATGAGAAGGATAGGATTGCCACACTGTTCTGCGGGTTCATGTCCTTGACTGCTTTGGGGAAAGCGACTACCGCATTCCGGTAATTCTTATAGGCAGCTGTATAATAACTCTCAGGGTTGGGAGGTTCTAAATGGCAAATGTGTAAAGCGGCAATGGCCATTGTGGCATGATCGATCCATGGATCGTGTTCGGCTTTAAGAGATACTTCGCCTTTCCAAATCAGTTTGACTCGGCGCGGGTCTTCTTGTAAAAGGGCAAGGGAGTTGGCCGCAAACGTGTTGTAGTGCCATCTCAGTTGTGACTGTTCAATATCCAGATTTGGCCATAGGGTTGGTGAGACTCTTGAAGGTCCGGGCTGTCTGCGCGAGATGGGAGAAGACACACGTCGCTGTCTATCGTCGCCGTCGTGCTGATCATCATGAAGACCTTTCTGGTTATCCGCTTCCTCAGCCCCTTCATTCTCGTTGTTCTTGAACTGAAAACTGCATTCTTCCCCACGTCTTTTGCAGTGATGGCATTGTGGTGCTTGAAGGTTGCACTTTGCTGATATCAGCAGTGATCATACAAGTACATCTCAACTAAATGATCCCAGTGTTGTACTAGGACATAAGACGTACCTTAACCCGGCGCCTCTTACAATTGGTACATCCGTTCCTCGACTTTGTATGAAACTTTCTCGAGGTGCCCATATCCTATTACGACCACCGGCCCAATCTTGATTATCGGAATTTTTTTTATCTTTGTTGCAACTTGAATCGCCGCGACTCGAGCCCCATAGTCCTGAAGAAAAGCGATCCTTTGTGAAACGTTGTATCAGTCCTTTGCCTCGGACTTATCGGGCTATGGTGACACAGAGAAACCGAGCCGGGAATAAGACAAAATATCTCTCGAAGCACCAGCACTCAATTTCAAATGAATGTCATCAAGTACTTTGGCATATATAGTAGCACGTTGATGGAATGATGATAAGCTTTTAAGGATTTTGAATTCAGTCTTGATCGCTTCAAAATGCCGGAGGGGACGAGATCAAAAAGACACTAGCAAGAGCGTCCCGCGGTTACGCCACAACAGCACAAGACTAAGTACCAGACTTGATCTGGAGACTGTCTAATACCCTAGCATTGGTACATTCGACGTAACTTTTACTTGCAGAAGTAGTCGCCGGCGGATTAACGCTGATGTTTAAGAACGGCGCATTGGGTGCAGCGGTGGCAGGTTGTTGAAGTCTGTTGAGCTTGGCAGGCCTGCTCTAAGCCCCGAAGAAAAGAGGGACTTTAGTGTGATTTAGCGTCATCTACTAAGGTAGTTATTAGTGATTATTAGGCCTAGTACAAGTTTCTAGAGTCATGTTAAGATTTGAGCTAGATTGCTAAAAGGTCGAAATGACCAAGCAGGTGGCTGATGGTGGGGGCTCGAAATTTCTTAGTTTCTAGTGGCATCCACATTCAACTCTGTTTTCCATTGAGTGGTTCAATAACGGCCAAGGCTCTGCACGCCGTGGACAGAGAAGGAATTTTGGAGGGTGATTTGGGGGCCGATGGTCAGAGACATATTCAACTACGCTTGTGGTATGGTTGCATAGGAATAAGCAATTACTACAACCGACATACTGGAGTGAGATAGGGAGTTCGGTAGTACTTTGCAACTTATCAGAAAATCTTTTAATCGCCGACGACCTGTTTCCAGCCGCTTAGAAACTCATTTCCTCGGGGCTCTCAGCATATCGCAGTTTGACGCCTTTTAAATGAATGTTCAGGTTTTTAGTGCTACTAGAGCATAGGACGAGGTATTTACATTATTACGTACTTCCGGTCTAACAATGAATACAACCTACATGCTACGTAGACAAATGTCAACACGGCGTGTCCGGAGAAGGACGAATCGAAAGAAAATGAATAGCCACCCAATTACTCCAGTGGACACTCAATTTAAGCTTATACCTCTAGATAGGGGCAGCCATGCACTAGACGTCAGCGCGTCCATGCGGCCGTGGTTAGTACACAATCTACGAGCCGAAATGCATGTGAGGAATTAGTGTATATCTATAGTTCTGTATTGATGCTCACACGGCCCATGGTTTACACAGGTTATAGCCCCGTGCTCGATATCCAGCACTTCAATCAGCGATATATCACGTATTACATCGCAATGATCAGTCACAGCATATCAAACCACGTTATTGACTATATCAAGATGAGCTATTTTGATATGAAATTATCCTCATGACCGTTATGCCTTGGCAGAATGCGTTTCGGTGAAGTGCCCGTATCCGACCCATCCGCGTGCCGTGCGCCGGTTCTGCCAATACTCGTTGCATTTGGCCCCAATCGCACAGTATTACTACCAATGATTCCATCTGATAATTCAACCTACCCGTTACGTCAATACGTACAACGTGCTTTTTCTAAAATTGGGGGTACGGCCACCAAATTTAAAGGCATGGGTTATCCCGTCTTAGATGGACGATCAATCAAATGAAAAGTGAAAAGGTACTGGAATGACTTCTATTATTGGGCTACTCACTCCGTCATTTTGCTAGCTGTTTCAGACCGTGAGGCACCATTTACTAATTCGATATAGTCATGTCATTAGTCGGCACTGAGCATGGTCGTCACCGAAGGCCCTTCCTCCGTGCTTCGGTCCAGGCATTCAGCTGAATGAAATATGGGGATGGAAAGTACTTTTAAAGTTCTGAGTCAGGACCATATAACTTGTTATCTCTCAGGATGCCCTGAGTAAGTCGCCAAGAAATAAGTACGTAGTATGAATCATGATCATTATCAGCGAAAATGTGTATCAGGTCTCCGTCATCGAGAGGAACGAAAATCTAGAGTTGGCAAAGTCACAGAATATGCATTATTCCAAGCGTTGCGGAGTTTCCTATACGCAGGTACGGACTCGGCATGAATTATTTCCATGTCATGGATTCCAGGCATTTTTCGTTATTGGGCGTAAGCCGGATGCTTGCATGATGCACCTCGATGCATGCCGTCAGCAATTAATTGGAATATATACTTATCAAGTATATACTTTTTTATGATATATTCATGATAAAGTATTGAAAACCAAGAATGTAGACTAAAGGTGTCCTCTAGATGACATGGTGCAGCGCCGATCACTACAGTCGAAGATGCTTCGGGCTTCCGTAGGATGCTTAGTGATCAATTACTTCATTACTGTTCATTTATATATTTCTGCGAGTAAAGGACGTGTGCTGCAAATCGAGAACGAGTTCAACCTATATCAGGCGACTAAAATGTCGCGATACAAACTCTCTTTCATCTGACTAGCGTTTAGGCTATGCTGGGGCTATATGTTGTAGCACCAATTGATTAATTTCATCTGCATAAATGAGTAGATTAAAGAGTATATGTAGACCGCTGATCCCGTAAAGTCTGGTCTAGATAGTTCATGAATCATGAGTCGATGTCTTGGGCTCGATCACTTGAGCATAATTCGATGAATTAGGTTTAGATTGAGCAGTATTTAGATTATAGAGAAAGTTGAAACCATGAACCTCTGTCAAATCAAAATCACTTTCTTGTCCGTTGACTACTCGTAGAACCACATGAGTCGGTCCCATAACTAACACCTAGGCCACTACGTAGCCATACCTCAAGATTATCCGCTACAAGACTCCGTTGATTATATGTGGCCATTGCTCTAGAGCAAGAAGTAGGATGAATGCTTCCGGTAGATCCATGGTGACTCGGAAGGTCAGGTAAAGTCACCGATGCGTCACTACGTACATATGTAGTTATAGATAGATGCTTAGTAGTAGTTTTTCTTACATTCCTAGGGACTTCAAGCCCGCTTAGATACTTTTTAGAATTCAAAAACTTGAGAACCCCCCTAGTGAAGCTCAAAAAGGTAATGTATAAAGTCAATAACAGATTTTTGAATTTCTGGAGCCATTCATAGGCCCGAAATATCATGGAAGTATTAGTCATAGAAAGAACCCACCATTCTGAGTATTCTTGGCGAACAAGTTCTATTTTATTATGATTATTCATTACCTCTCTCGGTAATTTTGTACACAACCTAGCCTGTAGATTTGTTCTTTCTGCAATCTCAATGCAGGATGTCAGTATTTCACAGATGTATAACATAGAGCAGAGCTGGTTCGGCGTACACGAATCACTGATTCCCTCTGTCTCGCTCTTTCCTACTTCCTGGCCTCAGTACGATGAGCTCCCTCCTCCTTCTCGAGATGGGATGTTATCAGCTCTGGCGCTGTGTGTTGTCTCCTTGCCGGTGAATTCTGCTACCGGACGAAGTGGACAAGCCAGTGGAAGTTCGTCCAGCTTTTGGACGTGGACCAAATTTCGGTGGTCCGAAAGGTGGCATTTGCATATATGCTCCTTGCATTCCCTGGCCTTGATTTTCTTTTTGGCCACGCAGTTCAAACGAAGAACACGACAGTAAAGGCGAGATATGTTGCTGTGAGTGATTAGCCATCTCTGTGTAAATCGTTGATGATATTAGACTAGACTCACAGGCGGTTCTGATTGAGTTCCTCTTCGGCGGATTGTCTGTCTCAGGGTTGATTCCACCTCAACTTCTGGCTCAATCTCCGACTGAACTTCTGGCTCAACTTCAAATACTTGATCTCGATCGCTGTTGTGGGGAGGAATCGAAGGTGCTGTATCGCACCCTACAACTACCTGATCCTCAAAGGATGCGGGCGCTCTAAATACAACGGTCGCTGGGCTATTAAGGACCGGCCTGTCGATCTGAAGTTGCGGGATTTCTTCCCTTAGAAGCTGCAACACTTCTTGGACAAAAGCTCTCACGCTAACACTCTGAGTTGGCGGGAGTCCGCGCTGAGCCTGCGTGAGTCTTTGGAATCCTACTTTTAGCATGAGTTGAAAGGACGATCTGTCAATGGTATGATTAGTAAAGACCGTAATGTCAGCCGTTGAATGGAGGTTGAGAGAATCTTACATTTGTGCCGAGAGTTCTTGAGATCGGCTCGCTTCGTAATCTTGAAGGAGAATGTGTGTGTTCACCAGAATCCCAATCGTTGTCATCGAGTTTTCCAAAACTTCCATATCCTGGAAGAGAGCTGGGACAATTTCCTTACTCTCGTTATACCATAGCCAGTGTGCAATGCACTGGTCCACGAGATTGGCGGGCTTCCGTCCTAATAGAAACCCGAATTTTTTTTTGATGCTTCTAAGTCTATCGACTATTTTTTGGGACTCATCCTCCACTTTTTTTATAAGGTCGCCATGTTGTGCAAACATCGTGCTTAACTTTTCGAATTGCTGTACACCCTTCATGGTCTCCTTGAAAAATCCATAGGTTCCAGCCACTATCTTCGTCCTATCGGACATTCTCTTAAAATCTGGTTTGGCGTGACGAACTTTCTTGTATATCTTTTTCATTTGCCGGCCAAGAGTGAGGAGATCACGAACGACTGGATAGGCGAGCCCAGCCATTGAAAGAGGGTCCACCATGTTTAATGACCAATACTGGTGTGGACTTCGATAGTGGGAATAGAATTCAAAACTTATTAAGAAGTCGAGAGATAGCTGATCTCGGTCGAAGTAAATAGAGCAACACAGCGGGGAAGAGATTCATTATGATATCCTAATATCAACTAAGCTGTGCCAACGAACCATGGAGATCACCGTAGAAGCAGATAGCTGATTTCAGCCTCATCGACCGAATTGTATGTGTAAAAGCACTTGCTTAGCCTCGGTCAGACCAATCACTTGCAGGCATTGCCTCGTTACTCATACATTGTTCATCAGATAGTAGCAGACATGCAGACTAAAATGCACAAACAGGCCGCGGACACATCGATATACCTATGTGTAGGGCCATGCAGCTCTCTGCCACTCTCGAGAAAGTCGCATGCATAGACCACTATAATAGAAATACCCCGCTCCGCCTCATCTCTCATTCTTCCAGACAAGGCTGGCGATACATACTTACATGAACCAAAACGAACGAATCAAGGTAACCAGGGATATCGATGTCAGAGCCTCGTCTCAAAGCAGTCTTGCTGTATATCCTGTGCTTTACAGTGGTTGTGTCTGACTTAGCAGGCCGAAACTTGTCAACTCGATCTGAGCTAAAATGCCGTCGCGGATTAGGGCTGGGATTCCATCAAAATATAATGAACCCTACCCATACCTCGTACCAAGCAAGATGTCCCCGAGTCACCAAATGTTTCACCAACACAATTGCAGCATCAAATTTATATACAATGGCAAAATGCTGTCAATGGTTTTAATGAATAGTTGTCGATGGTACTACCTTGGTGCATGGAAAAAGCCCAAAAAATCATGTGACGTAGTCTTTCGGCGCATGTCCGACATCCCACCTTTCGTGACGACGTAGCTGTCTGTTGTCGGGTAGATCTCTCTCTCCTCTCAACTTATTTCATTCTCACCTCTCAACAACTACTTTCACTCAATCCACAACTCAGCCAACTATTCTCCCTCAATTCGCCCATACTCACTCACTACCCATACTTGAAATAATCAAAATGAGTCCCCCCGCCATAATCGCCCCCTCCATCCTGAGCGCCGACTTCGCGACCCTCGGCCCCGAATGCGCAACGACCATGGACCAAGGTGCAGACTGGCTGCACGTCGACATAATGGATGGCCATTTCGTACCGAATATGACCTTTGGAGCGCCCGTGGTCACAAAGATTCGGTCGCACGTAGCGAAGCCGGCGACGCCGGGGGGAAGGGGAACGTTTGATTGTCATATGATGATTGCTGAGGTTTGTCCTTTCTCTTTATACAGGATTGTTTTCATATGATGGAGGGGGCTGGTATTGGTGGTTGAGCTGTATACACTCAATTGTTGCTCGTCGAGTGTGATGCTGTGATATCATTTCACATAGTACCCTTCCATCAACCACCCACCTCCATCCTCCAATCTAGGATTAGTATACTGACAGAGTGGAAGCCCCAAAGATGGGTCTCAGATTTCAAGTCCGCCGGCTGCGACCTGTACTGCTTCCACTACGAAGCCGCCATCTCATCGACCGCCGCCAAGGATCCGGCCGACTACACCACAACCGCAAAAACATCACCCAGAGAATTAATCAGATACATTCATGAGTCCGGGATGAAGGCTGGGATAGCGATCAAGCCAGATACGAAGGTCGATGTGTTGTGGGAGATTTTGGAGAGTGAGGTGGAGATTGAGAGGCCCCCCCCCCCCCCCCTCCCTTTCCTAATACTACCCTCCTACTTTCTGTCCAGAAAACTATGATACTGATCCAATTGGGGTTGTTTAGATGGTGCTGGTAATGACAGTCCACCCGGGCTTCGGCGGGCAGAAATTCATGGCCTCTGAACTCCCCAAAGTCACGGCTCTGCGACAGCGGTATCCAGAGTTGAACATTGAGGTTGATGGTGGACTGGGACTAGGCACGATCGATCAGGCGGCTGATGCAGGAGCGAATGTGATTGTGGCAGGGTCCGCGGTGTTTGGGGCAAAGGATCCGGCAGAGGTTATTGCAAAACTACGAGAGGCTGTTGAGAAGAGGAGGTCTTGACTAGTCGGCAGGAGTAGTAGTATATAAAGATTTAGAAATAAATTCAATACTAATCTATGCTATGCAATAAAAGAGCAACCGAAACATCACATTCAGACGGATCTCGAAAAGAATTGGTATCACAAATCTGGACTAATCAAACAGAACGCGATTCAAGTAGAAAGCAACTAGTCGGCGACGCTGACGCCGGCCTTACTCTCGTCCATGGGATCTTCTTTCTGCGTCTCTTCTTTTACCTCCTCCTTCTTACCTACCTCGGTGGCAGGCTTCGTCTCTTCTTCCTCGCTTTGATCAGACTCTTCGTCATCCTCGAAGATAGTATCCCCCTTCTTCTCCTCCGCCGTCTTCCTCAACGCATCAATATCGCCATCTGCAGGCGCCTCCGAAATCGACGCTCGAATATCCTTGCGCACTTGCTCCTGCTCATCCACGGTCGTCGCAGAAATGATTGAGCCGCGGTGATGGCCTACCAATCCCAACAATTCGGCATTGTCGGCGTGGAAATTCGCGCTTGAGACGGCGGCAACTTCGTCGGCTAGCGATGGTCTTTTCAGAGATGCGGGGAGTTCGGGGACGACGGAGCGCCGGCGGCCGGCGGGGGAGCCGGTTGTCGAGGATGGTCTTTTCGTTTCGGTGTCGCTATCTGTAGTAGTAGTAGTTGTTGTCTTTTCGTCGTCTTTCTTTTCGTCTGGCTTCTTGGCTAGAACAAGTGCCTCAGTTCCCTTGGCCTTCGGGTCCGGGGTAGGCGTCGCCTTTCCATCTCCTTCAATCGTAACCGGTTTTGCGCCTAGTTTCGATCGAGCGGTTTCTTTAGCTCGAGCTGCTGCTTCTTCGCCTGCTAGTCGTAGGGCCAGTGTTCTCTGGTCTTCCTTGTTCTCGGTGACGGGCGGGTTCTGGATTTGAATGTGTGGTGTCGACGTTCCGCTCGTCTTGTTTGATGTCGTCGTCGCTGCCACAGGAGCCAGCTTGGGTACCTCGACTGTATCTTTTTTCTGCTCAGACGAAAAATCATTCGGGTCCGCGACGGCACGAATCTCGGCTTTGAGTTCGCCGTATTCGTTCCATTCTTCTATTTGCTCGAGGTCCTATTACAACCAGTCATTAACACCAAACCACACCATGAGTTAGGGAAAGGGAAGGGGGGGTAAGGGCATACCCCGACGATAGTGTTGAACTTAACCAAACCAGGCAACTTGCGGCCCTTAGAGTACCTCCCCCACAGCCTCCGGGCTGCATCATCGGTGGCGATGTCGATAGCCTGAAAGGGGATCTTGTTGGCTTTGAGGATTGTCTCGAGGCGCGAGGTGGCGGTGATGATGTGCGAGGAGCCCGCGGTGAGGGAGGTGTAGAGGTAGAGGGTGGAATCTGCCATGTATTTTTATTCTACCGCGTTGTTGGTTATTGTGATTGTATGTTTCGAGTTGAAGTCGATTCGATTGCTAGATCTGTGTCCGTCTGTATATGCCAGTAAAGTGTAGTAAATTGTGTTGAATAAAGTCAGGAGTTGTAAAATGAAAGTGATGCAATGCGGTGGGCGATCACGTGTATTTCCCCGCTCTCCTATCCTAGTATTGTGTTTCGAGATAACTAGTTCAGAGTAAGAATAGTTAATAGAATAATGCAGCTAACGCTCTGCCTCTGCGGCCGGGAAACTCAAAAATAAATAGCTGTACCTCAACTCGTCCTGACTCAGGCTGAGGCGTTTGCCAGTTTGCCAGTCGTCGTGGCAGACCAGAAGGGAGAGTGGATGCTGACGTCAGAAGATGAAGCTGCGATAGGTGCGTGTGGGCAAGGGACATCATATCAACGCAATTCTCCAATTTTCTGCCTTTCATGAATGCTGATTGTTGCCTCTTCTACCGGCTCCAATTACACAAGTCATTGGTTTTCTCATTCTGTGTAATACTGTCAAGGACGGTGGAAATATGTATCCATTCAATTGACTCTGTTCTACCACGTATTTACACCCGTCCCCTTTCCTCAACCCATGGGAGAGAAAGGAGCTAGAAATAAGCATACCGATAATCAGGCTTCCCCTTACTCTCCCTCCGCATCTTCGACCTCGGCCTCGAGTTCGCCAGTCTCTTTGCAGCACTGCCACTACTCCTACTTCTCGATCTGGAGGTTGACGGTTTCCGGCGCGGTCGACCGTTGGATTCGTGCGCAACGCGTGTTCGGCCGCGCTCGTCGCGGTTGTAGGTATGAGGGTCTTCGCGCGATTCGGAGGTTGGTGATTGACGCGAGACGCTGCGAAAGACGGGCTCGGAGGGTTGGGCGAAGTCGCCGGGGTGTGGGCTTTTCATTTTTTTTATTACTAGCTCGCTTGATGTTGCACTTGATGTTTGGAAGGTTGATAGGTTGTTTTGTTGGTGATACGGAAGGAATTGGAGTGAGTAGGTGAGTATGTAGTCATTTATATACTTCGTACACACACGTCAGAGGCAAGCTGTCGAGACATGGCAAAATCGGCGCCACGACTACGCTGCAATAGAGGCAAGTATTGACCTCATGAACCAGCTGCGGAAAGAATATACTTTGCCAACCCCAGAATACTAATAGCCAAAACCATGGAAACGATTAAGTTAGACGTACATTCTCTACACTTTTAGAAGCGAACAAGAGAGAGAGAGAGACAAAGGAAATCGATTGAGGGAATAATAATAAAGTAAGAGGAAAAAAAGAGTAGTTTTAGCTCCGGTACAGACCAAAAGAACCAACACAACACGAAATGGAGAGGAAGAGAGAGGGAATGAAGGAAAGTTGGCATAAATTGACGGCTGGACTCGATTGACTCGATAGAATCGACGCTATTCATCCATCCTTTATCCACATTTTAACCTGCTGCTGGCGAATAGCTTAACATCCCTCGCAGCACTCAATACAATCAAAACAGCACTCGCAACTCTCCTCGCACAGGAAACAGCAGCACAGCGTCGCGAGACAGGCACCTAGGCAGCCATGGTCGCGTCCGCCGCGCTGCTCTTGTTGGTATTGTTGGGGAGGTGGTTGTTGAGGGTAGCCCTGTTGCCAATACAAAGATAAAGATTAGCGATTTTCACTTTTTTTGCGAGTGGATTGCCGGGAGCAAGAGGGGGACTACCTGAGGAGGAGGACCGTAGCCGGGTTGTTGAGGAGGACCGTAGCCGGGTTGCTGAGGAGGGTAGTAGCCGCCTTGGGGAGGGTGACTGTTTTGACTGTCAGCATCGCATTTCCATCTTCTGAATCTTCTGATCTTTTTCGAGTCTTTCGAGGTTCTTGAAGGGGACGCACGCTTGAGGAGGATGGTTGGGATATCCACTACCGTAGTGAGGTTGTTGTTGACCGTAGTAATCCTGCGACGACATTTTGTCTGGCTGAGTCAGTACTCGTAGACCTCAAATCATCGACAAGACAAAATTCGCACCTGACTGAATTGAGTTTTAAATATTTGGTTTGAATAGTCGCGATACGATAGAAACCGAGTTCGTTCGGAGTAGTGTGAAGTGAGTACTTGAGAATACGAAGAGGAAGATCGGGGACGACTTGTACTAGCTAACTAACCAAGTCAGCGCTCAGCCCTGACTGCAGTGGACGGTGGAGCCGTTCTTCTTTATGGGGACAAAATGACTGGCCGCCGTCAGCCACAGCCAAGCCTCTCAACATCATTCCCTCTGTCGGCCCACAGCGACAAACACAGCCAAAACGATCCACGTTTCGGCTCCTTTACTACTTACTGCATACACAGTATTCATCGACATGGGCTGTGGTCGCAGCATATCGCAAAATGGTGCCTTGATTGGGTCTAAGTGTGGCTCAATACCTTCTACCTTCGACACTAGACACACTGTGGAGAGACATAGCCGCCTACCACGGATCGACCAGCGCGTACGTACTGCGGTACGTACCTATTATTATTTTATTATACACACACTACGTAGAAGTGTGAATACTATGAATAGAGACACAGGCAAACACATTTCATTTTCGAACATATTTCGAAACACTCAGTAACACACCGGAACATTCGGGTTCCCTGCATAGTCATGCTCCAGGCAGATCAAAAGTCGGTGACATCCCAACACTCGCCAAGTCGCTCATTTTCTAGTTACATCCCTAGGTAAAAATCTACTCCACTCACCGGCTAAATTTGAGTCATAGAAAATTGAAAATAAAGTGCATATTATTCGATATTACGATGAATAATAATATAAACTAGTAGAACGAAAGAAAACAAACATCAATGAACCAGAGAAGAAACCAGGAGGGGAACAATATCGTCACATCGTGTCATCAGTCAAATAGTCAGAAAACAAGAAAACCACCGCGCTGACAGAACCAGACAAAAAAATGCAAACATATATTAAACAGTAGCCACTAGACATTAAATAGAAAAAAGAGAAAATCTATACAGCCGTCTGCACAAGATACGGATCTTCGCCGACGACCAACGGCTGAGTACTATTCATGTAATAATTCATATACTCATTCGTCAGGGGCACAGTCGGATCCCATGGGAACATTGCCGTCTCAAATTCTGTCGCTGTCGTTGCAATCTCAGATTCCGGGTATTCCGTCTTCGCGACCGGAGCGGCAGCCATGGTGGTAGCGGTCGGGACGTCATCTTCGATATAAGGAGCGTTCTCAAGAACGACTTCCTCTCGCTGCTCCATCCAATGCTTCAATACATCCATCGGGGGAAGATTACCGCCACCCTTACCGCCGCGCTTCTCGCTGTCCTTGCCCCGACCGCCGCGACCACGTTGACAAGGATTGAAATGCGTCCGACGCAGGTGAGCAGCCGCGTTGTAGTTTGCGCCGTATCGTTTGCCATTCCGGCAAGCCTTGCAGTTGGCGAGAAAGGTCTTGTCGGGTGAGATATCGACACAAACCCAAACTTTGCGGACAACTGAATGGACACGCTCGATGTGTCGGCGCAGTTCGTGTTCGCCATGAAATCCCTCTGGCTGATCACTACACAAATGACAATACGTCTTGGGCCGAGGGGGCCGCTGAAAAGACGCCTTTGGAATGGCAGCAACTTCTTTGGAAGTGCCATCTTCTGACGATATGCGAATCATCCGGTGGTTGTCTTTCTTGACAAGACTATTTTTAGTAGTCGGCACCTTGGGTGCAATGAGACGGGTACTCTGAACAGCTTGTTCACTGTTCAGAATACGCCGTGCAGTCTTAGACTGCGGTGTCATAGACACTCCCGAGGCATTGCTCTCGGTGGAAAAAGAAGCCTTCATCTCCAGAGATGCAGATGAAGGAGGCAACGAATAAGAAACAGGTGCAGAAGAAGAAAAAAGAGAATCAGACGATACAATTGGAACATGAGACATGTTACAATTGGTAGAAGGAAAAATCACGTCTGTAGACGAATAGTCTGCAGACGGAAGAACGAAATCAAGCCCGAGGTCTGGGACATGTTCCATCGCTCCTGCAGAGGACTCGAATCGGAACATGTCCAGACCTCCGGAAATAGAATCTGTCGTGGTACTACGGCTCATCTCAGTGGCTTGCATCTGAGTCAACCCTAGATATGGTTGTTGAGCGTGTTGAAATAGTTGTTGCTGCTGCATATCAGAAATGGGCATAAATGGGGTACCTTGATTGACATCTTCCAAACACTGCGTGTATTCGGATGGCGAGTATTCGAATACGTTGACGTTGCCGTGTCTGTACAAGGTGGACTCGGTCGATTGTCTGCGTGTTTCGACCGGTCTGGGGGGTGTCGGGATTTGTTGGCTTTGGGAGCGGATCATGTGTGGGACGGTAGCGACCGTCTTGACGGCTCGCTTGGGGCTGGTAGATTCCGCACTCTGCCAGATGTCAACCAAAAGGCCGAAAACAAGGGGACGATCCATAACATACGGTTGCACGTCGCTTCGATGATGCTTCAACAGTCCGCGGTCCTGGCCGAGTGCGTTTTCCAAGAGTATCTGGAGACGGTCGAGGTGAGGGTTTTGAAGTGCTGTCTGTCATGAACTGGCTGAGTCGTTGGCTCCATGCGAGATTTCGTTCGGCTTCAGAGAGATGTTGGTGGCGGTCCCAAAAGGCGTCCCGGTAGCCAGAGACGGCTCTGGTGAAGAGGTCGTCGTCAGCGATAGAGACGGCCATGATAGTCGGTGAAAGGTCTCTGATGCTGTTAGCAAGAGCTCTGTAGAGTTAGCTGAAACTCACAATAGACAGTAACGTGCTGGTTGTCTTGATATTGAGGTATGGTGTATGCCTTAGGATGATGGAATAGAGAAGAGGAAGGAAGGAGACAGGAGACGACAGGACAGAGACATCGGACGGGTCAAGGTGATCAGACTGTTAGCCGCAACAGTCCACGGGTAAACGATTGGAGTGCAGTCCGTAGTAATTTCAGGCCTGCGTAGCCTGATCTGGTCAAGCGTGGGTTATCAAATGTTCTAGACACCGCCCGTATCGACAGGACACCAACCGGTTGGGCTCTCCCACGAACAACCAGACCGTCCGAGGGTTGTAGCCTAGACAATAGTGGTTAGTAGCGTACGTACTAGCGAACGCTGAAGGCTGCTGCTGAAAAGTGAGCCAATACTGAGAAATCAGACTGGAATGGAGGTCAAGAGGACGCAGAGGAGAGCGTGGGAGAAAGTGAGGCGACCATACGGAAGGCACTGACAGACTGCCGGACCAGCCAGAACACGTCAACTATACACTAGCTGTTTTAGTCGTATTTATCGTACGGCCGGTCTACAATAATTAGTATGCGAGAAATCTTCCTCCTCGTATCGAACGTATCATGTATTTCGTATTTTGTGCACCACGCTAATTATGGACGTGGTAGGCGCTCTATCCGTAGGGGCGCCCGGGTTCTTTCAAGCGATTCTCATAGTAGCACCCGCCCGAACAACCCCTAGAAACCGCTGCTAAGCCGCTAACTGTGCGACAACCGGTTTCAACTTTTCAAGACTTGCGAGTCACGTCTCATCTTCGTATTCAGTCAGCATGTCCGTCGTCGCGGCTGAAAGTGCTCTCAGACTCTGTAGAGTACGTATCATGATGAATGCCGCCTCGTACGTCATGTCGAATCAATCCTACCCTGATCATAGACGCTCGAAAAGAGATGTTCACGGTTCGCTAGAAGTGAACCCATTCGACACTCAACTACCGTTGTAACCGGGAAACACCATCATGAATCCCACCCAAGCCATGGCAGCATGCATGCTCGACCCCGAAGGAGGGTGACTAAAATCGAACAAGAGGCTGAATTCACAGCCCAACACGACCAAAAACAACATCAATTGGTCGGATGTACTACATAGTAAGTATGGACCAGTTCTAGATCACCGGATCGCCGTGGTCATCTGTATTTCTCCGGCGGGTTTGAGATAATGTCTGACTAGTTTCTTCAACATCGCAACATCGATCGCGAGGTCGATTGAACAAACAGAAGAGAAGTGATTCAGGCAGAAGATTCTAAGAATGACATATTGATTCAATAATCCAGCACATACTATGTAAGTAGTCGTTGTATTGATCGAGTTGACGAGTTCATAGTCATACTTCAGAGTGGACCAGGACCGGCCCGTTGCGGACCCCGCGTATAGCCAATCACCACACTCTACCCGCGTCATTCTACTGTACGTACTACATACATACTATGTAGTAGTACGTAGTATTCTCAGATTCTGATCCATCCATTTCTCAGATTTGTCTATTCCTAGACTAGCACGTAGTAGCGAGTAGGTTACGAGTTGCTACCCAAAGCCAGAGTCAGAGCAGAAGCACTTCTAGTTACAGACGTGAGCCAATCCAATCATGTACGAGCATTGAGGCTGATATGTGTCCTTAATAAGCATTCGGCTCGTCTTGTTCTATACAGTATCAGATGATTCGATGCTATTTGATGAGGATGCAAATGCAGAGAGACTCGAAAGACGAAAATGTCTAGATGAGCATGAACAGTGATACAGACCGAAAAGCCCAACTTCATCGACTCATCAGTCAGATATTTGCTCTAGTCGCGATTAATCACGCAGAATGTTGTACAGTCAGTAGATATAATTGGGTAGCGAGCGAGCTACGGCATAGTGCTCAGCGCTAAGCGAGACAATGCATGCGTCGAGGACTCAAAGTTTATGCAGAGTAAAGGCTGCGTGGGGTGCCCGCAATATAAGGCCGATGTTCAGGCGACAAGGCAATAAGGCAGGAGTCTTGACTCCTCAATGCTATGAGTACTCTCCTTCCACGAACGACTCGGAGAAGAGCTCAGCAGACTTACTGTAGTAGTCAATCAAGGCCTGAAAGAGTTACAACTCGGCCATGAGACCCGAGGCCATCATAGAATGGATCCTTTAGATCGTACGGTACAGTCTTCAAGCCATGACATCTATTCGAGCTTGCCCTACGCTCGTGTCTCAATCCAGGGGCCTCGGCGTCGTAGTCATTCGACACGAGTACACTACATCGGAGTTCGGCGCCGTCAACCTATCGACATCACGTCCGTAACAGCCCTAAGCCCTGATTACCTAGTCCGGAAATACGATACAGGCGGAGCGGATTGGCGACGGGGCCGCGAAGTGGGGACCGCGCCCTTATGTAGATCAACTACTCACCCCATGGTCGCGATGATATCAATGCGATTGCGATTGGTAATCTGACTATCTTAGAAAGAGTAACTGTCATGTGTCTGCGATGCATCACGTAAATGAGCATCATTGTGGGTGAATGAGTGAAGTATCAAGTCATACTACTACCGTATTATTACCATCTACTACATTGTTGGAGGGAGATAAACGGGACAAAGACGAACAAAGAACAAAGAGCACATAGAATCGGCTAGCTGCATGATCTGATTTTCAAAATTTCTGAGCTACACGATCCGCCATGGAGGGCAACAACGACCCCTTCATATTCGGGCCTGATGCCTCAACAGACATGGAAACTCTACATGCAATCCACTACGGCAACAACGACAACGGAGCCTACAATCCAACTAACCCTCACGAATCATGCTACCTCGACGCGCCAACCACATCGTCCGACGACGTGGTGACAGACTGGTCAAATCTGCAGCTGTCGTTGAACGGTATTTCGCCGCCGACGACAACGAGTAGTCAGAGCAGCGTCGTGCATGATGGTACCATATTCCAGGAAGCGTTTCTAGCGCATCATTCGCACGTTAGCAATTTGACGCTGGCTATTGAAGGGATGAACAATAACAATGCGGCGGGGTTGTTCGATGCTATCCCCGCTTCAGCTTCCGGCTCAGATGAGTTGAATCTCAATCCGCCATACATCGACGACAAGCCGGGGCGAATGACGAAACAAAGTCTCCGCACACTCAAGGACTGGAGAGCGCAACACGGGGATGCCGCGAGACCTACAAAGCAGCAAGTTCACCGTCTACAGCGACGCACGAATTTATCTTCTGAGCAGATATTGAACTGGTTCAATCATACGAAGCGGCGAGCGGAGACGTTTGGGCATTCCCATACGCAGCAATTGGGGACTGTACCACAGGATTTTTCGACGTCGAATGCGAATGTGAATGGGAATGCCGTGGAGCGGCCGTCTACGCCCGCAGTGCGAGATATCATCTACGCACCTGGCACGCCTTTAGGCGACATGGACCCGATGGAACGCTGGGAGAACTCACCACCCGAACACGAAGCCGCGCTGTTTAGCGACATCGCAAAAGCACTCTCAAATTCCCCTCTCGCAACCGCTACTGTTCCAAACAAATCGCAAACAAGCACCCGATCTGCCTCCCACGCAGACGATTCCGCATCAACACGCTCATCAATAAATCATCGCGACCCATCAACCTCATCCTTGGACTCAGTCGTCTGGTCCGACCACTCCGGCACATCCGCACAATCAGGCCGCTCAGACACCAAACCCGAATACCGTCGACGCGCACGCAAGAGACGCACAAACCCGTTGTCTCGAGGGTTGAACCTCAACAGCCTGCGCAGCAACAACGTGCCCAAAACGTTTCAGTGCACATTTTGCACGGATAGTTTCAAGACGAAGTACGACTGGTCGCGGCATGAGAAATCGCTTCATCTCGCGCTTGAGTCGTGGACTTGCTCGCCTTTCGGTGCTGTCAGCCACGACGACGAGAATGCCGACGAGGAGCCGAAATGCGTCTATTGCAACACTGGCTCGCCTACAGAAGACCATCTGCATACCCACCGCTACCTCGCCTGCGACGGCCGCCCGGAATCCGAACGCACATACTACCGCAAAGACCATCTCCGGCAACACCTGAGGCTGGTGCACGGCTGCCGCTTCATCCCTTCAATGGAAAAATGGAAACACACTCCCGAATTCGTGCGTTCCCGATGCGGATTCTGCGATAAACTGCTGTCCACATGGCAGGCTCGCGTCGATCATTTGGCCGCGCATTTCAGGTCTGGCGCATCGATGGCCGAGTGGGTTGGTGGATGGGGGTTTGAGCCACAGATATCACGGTTGATAGAAAATGGGATACCGCCCTTTCTGATTCATCAGGAGAGAAATACGGTTGCGCCGTTTACGGGGAGTATTGCGCTGCAACAGCAATCCAAGAAGCAGCCTGCTAATAGAGTTGGAAATAATGATGAGGGCGATAAAGCGGAAGAAGAGGAGAACTCGAAACCGTATATTAATCAATACTCGTATCCAGCTACGGGCGAAGGGTCGTGGTATGATTGCTTCGAGACGCAGTTGGCGACGTATATCAATGCCGTGATTGCGACTGAGGGCCGGATTCCGTCTGATAAGGAGATTCAAGATCAAGGACGCAGGTTCGTGTTTGATGATGATGATCCGTGGCATCAGACCATTGCCGAGAATGTGATGTGGTTGGAATATTTCAAGGAGAGGCATGGGTTTAATAGCCTTATTCTCTAGTCTTCATTTTTTCGGTTCCATGTACTTTACTCGCTACTCTTGTATATAAAGTCTATAAATATAAATGGCATGCGTTCGTTATATTTGGTATCTAATCATGAATACTTCTCCCCAATATACTTCTCTCTCACCCCTCTCCTTGCAGTCGTAATCTTCATATAATTATATGCCACCACACTGGCCATGATAGCGACCACACCACATACATTGACGCTCGTGAGCTGGTCACCAAACACCACGCCCGCCACACTGATAATTACTACTTCCTTCAAAATTCCGCACACACTCAACGTGACCACCGACGACCGCTGCAGTAGCGCGAATTGCGATAATACCATACAGAATGCGAGACACCCAGGTAACAGCAACAACGAAATAGCGGTCGACGTACTCCCGCAGGATTCGCTGAGAGCGTATAGTGCGTCAATGATTTCGTTCGGATCTTCGAGTGAGATCGATATTCCGATCAACGTGATAAACACCACGGGACTGAGATGAAACAGCATCGATACGGGGTTCGAGGTCGCGGGATGTTTCAGGATCAACAATTGCGACAGAGCCCATCGGAATCCAGAGAAGAACGCGGACCCGGTCACGAGCGCGAAGCCGGGGAGACTGAATGTGACTTCTCCCAGGACCATCATGACTTCGCCCGCGGTCATAACGGCGATTATGGTTGCGAGGCGCAGGGATGGCTTTTCGAGGCCGAAGAGGAATGCAAACAGCAAAATAAAGACGAGCGTGGATGATTTGCAGGCTGTCATGAATGTGAGTGATGAGAAGCGTAGGGACATGTTGCCGAGGCCCATGTCGAGAGCGGTCGCGACGCCGCCGGGGATTAGGTGGATGAGGTATAAGCGTTTGAGCGACATGCCGCGTTGAGGGTCGGCGCCTGGGAGGACGGCAGACGGTGGGAGGCTCATTCGTTGCGGTCGGAGGGAGGGGACGAGGTAGAGGAACAGAGCGGAGAGGGCGAATTGGACTACTTGGTGCAGGCTGGTCATGAAGAGAGGGAAGGGGAAGGAGATGATGTCGCCGGAGAACATCCATTTATTGTACTATCCCAGGATATTAGCATGTTTCTTTCAGCGAAACGGAAGGGTTGACGGGGGCGTACAATAGAAATAGCCAGCGAAAACGTATGCCACAGCACCGCCAACAAGGCGATGCTGAGCGCATGATGTATAAAATCCAGATCCGACAGCGTCTCGCGGACAGTCCGTTTCGTGTACAGCACAAATTGGTCTATGGAGGATGTGCGGCGATGCGGTTTTTCTTTCTGCTGCTGTTGCGAGGATAGGAGTCCGACTTCTTCGGCGGCGGCCAGGCTGATGTCGTCGTCGGACGAATCGAAGATGCTAACTTCGTATATATCGGTCATGGCGGTCATTTTTTTTTTGTCTTTCAATTATAAGGAGTGTGTTGAAACGAGGTTAGGACGAAAGGACGGTGTGCGATCGTGCAGCCATGAATCCCTCTTAATTTCAGTCTCGAATTGTGCGTCCTCGTAGGTGTCGTGTGCCGTGTGTCGTGTGTCGTGTGTCGGGAGAAAAGGAAAATGGCGAAATTCAGATCGTTGCTTGCAAAGTGGTTTCAAAGGAGTCAGTCACCCTTTAAGCTTTCCCACAGAGTGAACGGAAAGAAAAGCAAAGCCCTTGTATGTAATACTACGGATAAGCAGTTTCCATACGCCGAGAATTACAGAGCAGTCAGAACAAATAACTTCCGCCGCGCTCCGAACGTACAGGCAGCCAGGTTTGGTCGTTACTTATTCGAGTTGGTACCAACTTCTACTAGTAAGTGGATCTGCTCCAGAGGCTCAGAGTGACAACACATGATTTTTCCTTTACTGTGCGCATACATACAGACTGCACAAAAGGGCAATGGGCCGGCCCAACGAACTGGACGGACGAAGAATTCGGATACGAGCAGTCTAGCACCCCCGGGCGGATCCAGTAGGCCAATCACGCAGCAGAACTAGGCGCAATCCCTGTATCAGAAGAATAGGGCCTAGGCTAGACGGGGTTAAGCTTTTCAGGAGTGGAAATTGGAGCTAGAAAGGGAAAGACGTGGAGACTTGCGAAGGGATGCGATTAATACATAGTACAGACACTGAAACGGAATGGGCGGTGCATTCAGCCGTACGGATACTCCCTACACTCCATACAGAAAAGAAGAAAAAGGAGTTGAGACTGTTTGAAACATAGTACTGTCTGTAGATAGTAAGTGAATAATAATACCGCGGTGTACTACTGTGGCGGTGTCATAGAGATGCCCGATCGACAGACTGTAGTACCTCGGCCAATATCCAGTACCAGCATAGTATGTGGATCATTCACATCTCGACTATGATGACCGGAATACATCATGATTCCTGCTAAAGTTGCTATGGATCGGTCTAGTCTGTCGTCTCTGTGTAAATTGCAAATAGTCTGAATATTATTTCTGAAGAATACTTGGAAGTTGGTATGTGTCATAGCCATGTCATTCCCCTTGCTTGCTCCAACCAGCTATCATCGACTATTTACGTGGGAGAACAACTAGCGAGACGATCGCCAGCTCATTTGCGGGGTCTAGCTCTAACCCTCCTCTTGTCGCGCGACTCGATCAGATGATCCGATCGTCTCTGCTTTTGCATATTGCACATTATTGAATCTTAATCTCGAAATGTCCGATCGTAAAATTTTAGAAGAGTCACCTGAAGAGTCAACTCTTTGACCGCCAAAAGTCAGCCGTGGGAAAGCCAGTTGTTCCCCGCAGCTTCCCAAGGTTGGCTTTTCGGCCAGACACATGACCTGCGTGCCCTACTTTCTCGGTATGACTATGCAATATATGCAATATTATGCGATGCTAGTTAATTGTATCATGACTCGAGAAGGTATTTCGAATTTAAAATAAAGCTGACCATGTGGCTTCTTTCTTTACGTGGCTGGAATTCCCCCGAATACGCATGTCTACGGTCGGACATGGTCATTGACAGCTTACCTACTACGTACTACTACGTAGTCAAAAGTTACTGAAACCTGTTGGCTGTTATTGATTCCCGATCATTCAGCGTCTCAATATCGTGCAGAACCTGGAATATTTCGCCATACCTAGGTACGGTCATCCTGTGTATATATAGTATATACCCGTGGACATCCGGAGCGTTCGGCACACGACAACCTTGGATCCTGGCACGTGTCGATTCGGTATAATCTGCACACAGTATCGCTAGAACCACCACCAATTTATGTGCCTAGCATAATGCCTAACATAGAAACTTTCACCGAGCCAAGAACCAACACTGGGATCGTGTTGGTTTGCACATTGTATCGGTTCCGTTCCTGAGCGACGGACAAAACCTCCAGTGAAATGGATGGATTGAATCAATTGGTGGCGATTGATAAGCCATTGCTTGAACTGCGGACTTTATGAAGTCATCAGAAAATACTTCATTGACAGCCTTGGACTAAGGGCATTTAGTAGAGCTTACGATCTTTGAATACGGCTTTATCGAGCGTTCAACTTAATGTTAACCGACCCTTCCTAGGTCATTCGAGGTCTCGCGAAATACATAACTTCATCATCTTCTACACCTAGACAGATGAAAGTCACCTGATCTTACAGCAGCTATAAAATTTTTGATTATCAAATTAGAGATGTGACAAAATTAAAGAAACATTCTAGCAGAGTAAGCTCTAAGATCGATCTGAGCAGTAATAGAAATAGCACCAATTAAAGATGTGTCGAGCATAATGGCAATGAGGGAGGCCTTCGAGAAATAACGGACAAGCTCCTCCGCTATGAACTAATTAAACAAAGTGGAATGGTATTAAATTAATATTCGCCCTAGCAATGCTCGAAAAAATACATATTACTAAAAATTCTCTCTATGACAAGGTCTTTCACTCGGACAGACTCGCAACCGCATCCTTGACCCGAGGGATTTTCTCCTCAAGAACATCGACGACTTCAGTCCACATTGCCTTCTGCAAGATCTTGCCTTCGTCACTCGTAATATACTTGCCAGCTCTAATGTATTTGTCAGCACAACCCCATTTTCTCCTCTGGAAGGTTAACTCACTGCCCGTAGCTTCCATCTGCAGACAACCACCGTCCGTGTGAATCCTCCCCTAAAGTGGATGCGCCAACAAGCACGCGAGCGCCATTTTCTGCAGGTCTCAAAAGCAAATAAGAGCCGATGCCCTTGATAACGACGAATAGAGTGCTGTCGAACTCTCTTGCGACGTCGCTTCGGCATGCACCAGGACACGCATCATTAACAATCACCGTTGGTTTGCCTTTGCCATCGACACAGCGATATGCTAGCTCTCTTGTAATCCACATCATGAATAGCTTAGAGGCCACATGCTGCTGATACGGTCCCACCCCAAGGTCACTGTTGTATTTGTGGAGAAGCCGATCTTCGTCTTGAGGTTTCAACTGCACATCAATATGCCCTGTCGATGTGACTACAACCAGATGTGCCGGTGAATTTGCAGTATGGGACGCCTGCAGCTTTGGGGCGAGGAGGATCGCTAAGAGCGCAGTCCCAAGAGTATTGACTTGAAGATTGTTCTCCCATCCCTTCTCAGACACCTTGAACGTGCGAGTCATGATACCTGCGTTGAGAACAACGATATCGACCCTTTTCAAGCTCTCAACTCGCTTGGCGAATGCATCGATGCTTTCGAAGCTAGCCATGTCCAATTGCCATACTTGGACAACGCCTGCCCGTCCTGTGGCTTTTTCAATTTGCGATTTTGCCAGCTCGCCCTTCTGCAGACTCCTGACACCCAGAATGACTGTTGATGCGGCGAGTTGGACATATTTGAGGGCGGTTGCATAACCCACGCCGGAGTTTGACCCTGTCACGATCACGGTCTTGCCTTCGAAAGTCGTTGTGATTTGCTTGGGTGGGAAGAATTTGCCTCTGAGAAGAAATAAAGGACCGGGCATTTTGGAAGAAATGGGGAACAATAATTTTTTTACAGCGAGCCTGACCAAGGAAAGTGTTTAATATAATGGATGTGATGGAAGCCTTTGTTCAAGGCTGATGGATTTTGTGATTTAACTGCTCCATGGTAGCGATCGAAGTCCTTATATACAGCCATAGGGGATTAGTCGGCAGCGGAGACTCCTGATTCTGCTTAGAAATGATAGTATGGTGATGTATCGATCATTCCATAAGAAAACGTCTCCTATATTGTGCTGCCGAACCTTTGAAGGAAAGAAAATGTCGGGAGGCTACGGAAAACCCGATGATTCTCTATGCGTTAACCCTATGCCTGAAATAGGTTAGACCATTTAATTACAGGCTTATCATTTCGGGTCGGAATCGCCGATACCGTCTCGTACTTTCCGACCACCGATGTCCCCTCAAACATCAGGTTGTTCATCTCTGTATATAAAATTGCAGATCAACACGGACGTTCCGAGTCATAATTGATGATGAACCCACGTATAAGGAGGCGAGCGTGTCTCAGCTGCACCAGCGCCAAGGTCAAGTGCACTTCTTCTTCGTTGGACGCAGAATCATGCGGAAGATGTGAGAGATTGGGCAAAGTGTGCAACTATGCAGAGCCTTCTTCTGAGGCAAGACGAAATAGCAGAGGGATCTCGTGAGTGTCGCAAACTCATCTGATGTCTGCATGGTCTTGTAGGATTCGAGAGCGCTTTGGAACGGCGTGCTCATAAGAGTCACTTGAGTGCTTGATAACATGCCTCCATTCAATCGCTGAACTCGACCTAATGACCGAAGCGGACTCAGTGATTGAGAACAACCCTTCCATATTGACCAGGTATTTCAGTGCAAGCTAATACATCCTCAGATCTGTCAAGAGACTTGAGGAGAAGTTGGAGCTGTTGTCTACACAAGTAGCTACTTTGACTCAACATGTCCACTCAGCCTCATTTCAAGGGTCCCGAAGTAATCAATCTGCCCATGAGAATCTTCATCCCAGCCTTTCACCCTCACGCGAACGGATAAGCGGAAATCACTTTGCGTCTTCCCGGTCCCTGCCCAGGTCTAGAGACGTTCATAATGATAGCTTGACAAATGTGGTTGTACGTGATCTAGGAGGTCTTACATCTGCGGATCGTCAACTTGAGACTTTCCGACGAGCTTTCGTTAACTATTTCCCATTTGTGGTCGTGCCTACCAAAGTCAGCGTGGAAGCTCTTCAAAATGATAATCCATTCCTTTTCTTGTGTATTATGGCTGTCACTTCTTTTGAGGATCCCATACTACAACGCAGACTAGGAAAGGAGATCAAGCAGCAGATTTGTGATCGCTTAGTGATGGGTTGTGAAGCTAGTATGGATCTTTTACAAGGTCTTTTGGTCTTCGTAGCCTGGTACCATTACTTCTGTCTGCCTGGGAAGCACCAATACTTCCTCATGGTACAGCTTTGTGTGAACATGTGCCATGAGTTGAGATTGGACTTGAATGAGAAGGGAAAGAGAGGTCTAGAGACGGCCCATACCCAAGGGAGACCACGAACTCTGGCAGAGATGAGAGCTCTTCTTGGTACATATTGTTTATCATCTACGTATGCTCTACTTGCACAGTTACAATTGTCGTGAACATCGAGCTGACTATTGACTCTAATAAGGTTATCGATGGTGCTGAGAAAACGAACGGTTATGCACTACACATCATATATGGACGATTGTTGTACATCTCTCACACAAGGGAGCAATGTTCCTAGCGATCAGTTGATCATGCCATTTGTGGAAATCCATGTTCTTCAAAGGAAGATAGGCGATGCTTTTTGCTACCATGATACATCTACCTGCGACATAAGAGGCGAGCGCGCACTCCAGATCACCGTTGATTCTTTCTCTCATGAGCTGAATAGACTAAAGAAGGCTATTGGCTCAACAAATAGAAATGCTATTCTGGTGCAACAACTTCACTCCCTGGAAGTTTGGATCTATGAATTCGCCCTCTATAATGAGTTTTGGCAAAGCAATTTTGTCCCTGCTCGACTCACTCGGCCAGAGACTAACCGCTCAATTCAATCCTCAATGCAGCGGACTAATATGCTGCGGCAGCTCGTCGCAGCAACTGTCTCATCCCAAGATTGGTGTCTGTCACTCAACAATGCCGACCTACTTCATTTTCCATTCTCCTGGTGGGCAGAACTTACCTACGTCATGATTGTCCAAGTCAAGACTGTTTTTCTCGACTCTGAGACTGGACTCACAGGACAAGAACAGATGAATTTACGGCAATATGATCAGGCAGAATCGCTAGAAGCTGACTTCAGAAGAGCTGCTGAAAAGGAAGTCATGATACCTCATGTGCTGGATATGTACATGGGGAAACTGGCTATGTTGACCACGCAGGCTGTTGATGATGACGGCTATAGGGACATGGTATATAATTATGGGGCTATGCTCAAAAGCGTAAAATCTGGGTACGAAAGCCGACTTGGATCTGCGAATAGACCTGCTCTGGGGCAACTCGAAATACAGCAGGATCAGTCATCCCTTTTACACCACGCGTATCCCAAAGTCACGAGTACGGACATGCAAGGATCGATGCCGCCAGCAGTTAGCACCAATCATATCGAGCTAGAATTAGGTGACCTGGACAGTTCTTCTACAAGCCAACTGAACTTGCAATTTGATTTACCCCCACCTGGATTTGACGACTTCGTATGGGACACGATGATGAATGATTTCTCATTCCTCATGCCCCAAAATGGTCCATCTATTTGATGTCTCACCGAGGTTGGCTCACACAAGCTTGAGATTGTCATCAATACTTGTATCGATACACTGCTTTCGAGCTACTCGAGAGGTTAACACCTGCAAACACTCGCACATGCGGCACTTCACAGTCATGTGAGGTTGGAGGATGCGAAGGAGCCATCAGCGGTGGAGTAGCGACTTGCTAAGCGTGGTCAGCCAAAAAGGGAGATTGAAAATGATTATATTGCAGGTTTAATGAGCGAATAGAATTCTTTGCACATGTTGGACGGATAGCCGTCCAATATCTGTAGAGTGAAACTTAAATTCAAATTTGTCTTGATATTATTGTTTCCTAATATTTGGTATACTATGAAGTATGTAACCAAGGAACTGAATAGAGATTCGAAAGGCTTTTGCTGGACAGATAACTATAGATTAAGAGTCAGAAGAGAAATTCTAGCAATTATTGCACAACCACTTCCCAACTAACAGGAAATGAAAATTGTTCAAATAATTATAACTCTGCAAGACCATACATAAGAGACTGATCAAGACCTAGACTGGCCATAATTTCTCGATCCCTGTTCCAGTCTTCATCTTTGTATATGTGCATTAATCTCGGACTGATGTCTTTTGCATTCCCAAAAGCTATAAACCAAATCTTCATCTTCTTGTACGACATCATCACACCTCGAACATCATGTAACGGCATGACGCCTTCTGAACTCACTTCAACACACACTTTCTCTTCCCAGTGTATAGGTACCGGAATGTCGACCTCGGCTCTTAACGTTCGCCAACTCGTATCTGAGGTCGGATCAAATTCCATTAACGATTCAAACAAGGGTATCGCGTCACCACCTCGTTTGAAGATGACTTTGAAGTGATGGCTACACCTCCATTGTAGAAATTGACGACCCGATAGGACTAGTCGTTCGTCCCAGAGATAGAGGTTTATGGATGCCGTGCGGAGTATAGGTTCGAGGAGGTGTGCGTCACCTTCTGTGTAGGTTTCGTTCGTGGGGATGAATATGATTTCGCCTCTGAGTTTGATTGTGTCAGTGTTTGTGGGAGGTGGCTTCCTGAATAACATATCAAACGTTGGTATAATGATACACAATGGTGGATATAGTCCACTAACCTGTCACCGGAAACTTCTGCTATTCTGCTAAAAGGTAGTCGGAACATTTATATTAGTGTATCTCCCTCAATAACAAAATATACTGAGTTATAGAAGATTAAAAGAGATGACAGGACCTAGGGATCAAGAGAATATACCAAATTTGTCTCCCTAGTCAGGAGATTCTACATACACCTACCACCATGTCCTCATTGTCATAAAAATGGTATATCTTAAAAACGATGAACGACCCAATAATTTTCCATTCGACTGTTTCACAGAACACAATTTACTTCTCCAAAGTTCCGAGACAAGCTACGAATTGAGTATGGTCAAGTTGTACAATTCCCGAAACGTTCATTCCGTGATGATTGATATGTTTGATTGTAACCCAATCCTATGAATTACTATTCAAATCTAGAATACAGCATGCTTTTGAGCATGAAGCGTGGGAAATGAAAGGTCAACAAAAAGTATGTTAGGTATCACTCCACTTCAAAGTATTTATGTGATCATGAACTTTAGAACGGAAAGTAACGCCTATTACCCGATTCGGAAACATATAGGGCTAACGGCATTAATTCCTCTCTTTCTGCCGATAAAGTTGGAATATCGTGAGACCGTTTCAGATCGAGACCTTGACGTACACCAATTACGTGCAGAGCTAAATCTTCTGGGCATCGATTGCCATGTGCTGGAAGTAAGCAATGCACTATCCAAGCTTACCCGAATCGTAACTCCGGGAATTCGTATGCCGCACGAGAAAACTTTCGCCTTTCTTTCCTCTTTACTGCAAGCATCTATCCCGAATGAGTTGGAATTAACTTGATCAGTCTAGTGTTGCTAATTCTGAACTCTAATCACTTCGGTCTTCTATCCAATTGACCCAAATCTGTCACACTAAGAACAACTAGATTGTTTAGTGGCCAGTGCACCCACAACATTTAGACTATTGTGTAAGATAGTTCCTCCCCGGAGAATTCATTCTGCATATGCATATGAGCTAGAACATTCTCATATCGATCCGATGTCCATCCTCGAACGTTGTATATCGTCAGGTCTTTTCATAGATTCTCATCCTCTCGGCTATGATTACCACCAACTTACACGGCTGCAGATCACACGCTTCAGATGAGAAACATTTGAAGTAGACATTCGATCTGCTCCAAGCTCTCGATTGGAGTGTGGGGCTGCAATAAATCTCCGGAGTGTCTCCAACTTCATGATTCGTGTTGTCCCCGCAAAAGTTTTCGGCATATAGCCCAAATCGAAACTACCGAATACCCCATGGGGAGACCAGAGAAGAACGACGTACAAATACATGTGATGACCCCAGATTTTCAGTAAGAGTCTTTGAAATTGCATTTCTGACAATGTGCGGGTATTCAAATAGACCCATCTAGTGATAAAAGGATACGAATAATGACCCAAGACTCCAAAACATCCCAACCCATTCAGGGTACCAACGAGGAAGTGGAACAGATAGAAACACTGTCTCCACAGGTCAATGATAATATCAATGAAAAATCCAAGATCAAAGAAGAAACGACTGCAGCACCTGAATATGTGAACGAATTCAACGAACAAGTCAGCCTGAGTTGGCGATCATGGATGGTCGTCTTGGTCTCGTGTTTCGCCATTGTTGCGCAAGTCTTTGTCGTCACGGCTGCTGGTTCGGTCATCGCGTTTATAATTCGCGATCTGGGCAAGAACAGTCCCGATGCGGGTGCTCTTGCTGGATGGATCATTCGTATGTCTTTTACCTTTCTCATTGCCTTCCGCGGACACTAATGATACGAATATAGAGGGTCCCCTCCTAATGCAATCCGTATTGTCACCTATCGTCGGACGACTCAGCGATGTCCTTGACAGAAAATATATTGCCTCTGTGCCTCCTTTGATTGCTTTCGTCGGTGCCGTTGTCTCTGCCAAAGCAACTTCTATCAGTATGCTGATTGGCGGCGGTATACTCATTGGCGCAACGCTGGCAACGATTGCTATCGTGCAGGCTATTCCGAGTGAGATCTTGCCGTTGAAGCATCGAGCTTTGGCAAATGGATTCGCTTATATGGGTGGTGCTATTGGCGGAATGTTAGATCCTCTCCCTTCATAGCGGAAAGTAAAAATACCTGACTTTCAAAATAGATCGGGAGGTTTAGTAGCTGGCGCAGTTACAGAAGCAAACCCCAGCGGATGGAGAGACATTTTCTGGATCCAGGCTGGCTTGCACATTGCCACAAGTGCTGGACTTTTGCTCTTCTATCATCCAACCCGCCGAACTGATTACCCCAGAATGTCATTCAAGGAACACCTCTGGGCCTGTGACCCTATTGGATCTCTTATGTTTATTGCGAGTGTGACATGTCTGTTGTTGTCTTTGAACTGGGCCGCTGGGTTGTATGCGTGGTCTGATGTACATGTTGCTGCTCCTCTTGGTGTCGGTCTGTTCCTGTTTGTTCTTTTCTGTTTATACGGTAAGTTTGATCAATGTCCCATTAGCAAAAGGATATTTCCTAACCCCAAGTGTAGAATGGAAAGGCAGAAACGACGGCCTTGTGGCCCACGTCTTCTTTCAAGGCTCCCCAAACTTTGCTTTATCAGTCTTTGCCTTTGCCGTCGAAGGATGGATATTTTACAGTGCCGTTACCAGTGTCATCCCACAAGTTACTCTTTATCTTGGCTTGGAGACGAGTGCTTTGATCATCTCTGTCAGAGGTCTGGCTTATAATGCTTCGGCAGCTCTTTGCTCTATGGCCATCACGTAGGTTTTCCCCATACTTTTCTGGAGGATCAAAACTAATATCGTATATACAGATGGTACTCGACAAGGACGAAAGATCTGAAGTGGCCTTTGGTTGTTACCTTTGGTTTCTTTTTGATTGCGTAAGTCTCCCTTACTTGTCGATAACCACACCACTAACAACCAACCAGAACAATCACCTACACCGTGATAACCCCCTCAATGAATAAAGCTCAAATCGGGTTCAATGTCTTGATCGGCATCGGTCTCTCTGGTCCCTTGACTTTACTCGTTGCTCTCGTCCAATTCACTGCTCCCCATCGCCATCTCTCAACAGCCACTGGACTCGCATTTTCCGCTCGCGCAATCGGCGGCGCTTTCGGCTCCGCCGTTCTCGACGCCATCATCAATGGCGTATTGGGCAACACATATGCATCCAAAGTCAGCACTGCCGCCGTTGACGCTGGATTGCCGCAATCAGACATCTCTGCACTTTTAGCTGCCATGTCCGCGGGCACACCGTTGACATCTGTTCCTGGTATTAATACGACTATTGCTGCGGCTGCAGAGATAGCGAGTCAAAATGCGTATGCGCATGCATATCATTTGGCGTGGGCGAGTATCATCCCGTTCGTGGTGTTGGGTATTGGCTCGGTGTTGGGGTTGAAGGGTGTTAAGCATCTGATGACTGAGGAGATTGAGGCGACTGTTGAGCATGTGCCGGTCAATGATGTTGAGAAGCCGTTGTAACGTCTTTTGTATAGTTGGTACGCAAGTACCATGGTGGCATATTGGGATTGTACCTACATAAATACACGTACTCTGGTGTACGCATACGAGAGATCAGCGTCGTATCCCTTGCATTCCATGACATTAAACATCTCGTACCACGTGCTCCGTAGATCTCATTTAAGGCAATACTCACTAGATTGGAGCAACCTTCATGCATTACATAACCGATACCTCTCGATGGAAGGATGAATATGATAAAGAAACCCTGATAGACACCAGTAACCCTAAGCGTACGATAACTTCGTATTGTACGGAAATTTACGATTGCCGCCGGCCACTTCCCGCCAATCATATTGAGGCTCTGGTTGATCTCCTGTAGGCCACGAGCCTCATACTATGAGGCTCATAGCCGCCGCTTCTTACAAAATAAGAAGTATGAAGCTTAGCGTGAATCGATTCGAGACAAACGTGCATATGCACTTTTCTGGCAGCTAGCTACGTATCATCTCGTAGGAATTAAGGAGTATTAGGGATGATTAAGGCCTTGATCCAAAAAGGAGTCTTGGTAAGTTACCGTATTCCCGCTTTTGTTAGCGCTAGCACAAATACGGTTGATCAGGCTCTACCTACTGTAATGCGATTGGCTCACGGAGATAGCTTGGCAGTTGGGCGATCCGCTGAGGCTGAGCTTGTAGGTTTGTTACAGATTCCTTGGTGGCTTGAATAAGCTGCATTTCCGTTTTGACTTGTCCCTGGCTTTGTTTTGTCTGAAACATGCATGTCTCGGTGAAGTACGTGCTGTACATTGCAGACAGTCGAATGCGAACATCTCTCGGAGTAATTGATATTCCCCCTAGGGGAGAATAAAGAGCCAAAATTTGGCCGGATTGGGCTGGACCTGTGGCACATGGGGGCATGCGGCTGTTGATGGCGCTAATCCAGAAACAGACTAACAGGGTCATCAAATTGGGTATCATTGGTTACTGTCTTATCTCTAGGCCGTAAACCGTTAGTGTGTCCTCCCAGCCAGATTCTCGTCGATGATTCTATGCTGAACTCATCCAAGTCTCCTTCTGCAAAGTCATCACTTCAGTCTATCCTTACTCCAGCACGCCTCGTCCCTCACGACAGGCTTGGATAGTGTTGCGGCTTTTTGGGATTACATTACTCGACTTGAGCAGGCGGATATACTATTTTTATTGAATATGGAATAGTTGCGCAGAAATACACACATCACGGTATTGCATCCCCGCTCAACCTCACGATGGACCTGTCCGATTTCAAATCGCTGAGGCGCTGGAGCGACCTCCCTCGAAAATTTTCGCATCTTTCCCGGATGGCATATATGGTATTTCTGGCAATTACTGGATTATTCTTGGTTACTTTGTCATGGGTCATGTTACAGCAGCCAACGGTAGCTTCGACGACTTCTTCATCCTCCTCCATTGATTATGCGAACGGAAAGGTACCTGCAGCTGTGCCTACGGTGATTCATACGCCCGTCCCAACACCTGAGCTTTCGTCCGTGACGATTCATCATTCCGACGAGGGCACGAGCCATGTCGATCACTCCGCGACGCCACTGATAAAGCCCGATGGAATGCGCATCGTTGGAGTTATATTTTATGGACGTCGCGATCGCGCGTCGTTGCTCGAGTGCTACCTGCGAAAGAACTTGGTATCTTATGGCGGGTGGCTAGATGAGGTGATTTGGGCTGCCAACACCGATGACGCCGACGATTTGGCATATGGAGAACACATCGCAGCGACACAAAATGAGTATACGTACTTACCTATCTCGAGTACGGATGACCAGGGCGAAGGATATATGAACATTTATCGAAATGCGTTCAAAGAACCCGATACGATATATGTCAAGATGGATGACGATGTTGTGTTTATCGACCAAAGTGCAATTCCGCGAGTAGTCATGACCCTATTAAACAATCCACGAGCTTTGCTCGTATCAGCAAACGTCGTCAACAATCCGGCTCTGGGCTGGGTGCATTACCATATGGGTGCAGTGCATCCATACGTACCCGAAGTTCGACCGGATGGCGACAATCTCGCCTCAAAAGAAAATGGCGCATGGCGGTCTTCAGAACTGCCTACATGGTCCGGGGCTGAATGGGAGATGCCCGAACTAGACCATTTCTACTCCCTTTTCGGTGTCAATGACAAGACCAATGTGCCCCTACATCGATGGATACCGACAAGAAACTTGAGTTTGTTACATAAGACACCCGTCGCCAAATCGGAGTATAATGCATTTGGAAACAATCTACATTTCTGGCCTCTTGCTGCACAGGCACACTACTCTTTGTTACAGAATATCGAGGAGAAGAGACTGGGACGGTATTTCATGGTTCACGGAAGTGACGAAGAAGCAGTCAGCACCTGGGACATGAACGGCAGTCGCATCAGTATCAATTTCATGGTTATCAAAGGAAAAGATATCATTGATAATATATCAAACCTGCAGCCAGATGACGAAAACAAACTTACCGTGGAATTACCCACACTTTTGAATCGAGGTAGGCCAATATTTTTTTCTACTTGCCATGACCATGAACTAATGATAGACAGCTGTTTTGGTCGAAACCACCTCGGTCGTATCGCATTTCTCTTTTGGTCCACAGAAGAATCTTGCCAAGACCGATATTCTTGCTCGATATCACAACTATGCAAATCAGAATATCTGTCCCAATGCCATCCTAGAACCAGAGGTGTTGCTTACCACAGACAAGATGCCCGGCGCTGTCGCTTAGTTACCCAGCAAAACCTGACATTAGAACAAAACTACAAACGTGGACTTGCTTGTTGCAGAACATCCGTCATGTTCTCAAGACTTTTCAAGACTCCGGTTCTTTGTATGTACATAACAAACTTGGGCAAAACAATAGCCCCCTTTTCTGGCGACGGTCCAGGTTTACCTATTTTGGGCAGATTTATGCCTGCATATACCCTTTACTCTTCGTCTCACCTTTCAATCCAGGCAGAGCGATCTATTATAAATTTCTTGATCTTCGTGTGACATATTTTGATTGATATTGGATTCTACCATTTTGGCTTTACTATAAACCATGTTGGTGTCTTTCTATATACAAGCGTTGTATTTTGTCCTGGATATTTGTGAACTGAATGTCTTCGAGGTTGGGTCTTCCCATGATGCAAGTCGCTCAATTGGTACAACATGTAAAGTCGTTATGATTCAGCACACACTTTGATCATCGCTCGTCCCAAACTTCTCCGTCCCCTGTCTCGCAAAGCGGTTCTAGCACCCGCACAATATCCTTGTATCCATGTCTCTTAGCCCAATACAGCGGACTATCCGGATCTTCCTCAGCTTGCTACCAAGCTCCATGATCGAACAAGGTCTTGACCACCTCCAAATGTCCCCCTACAGCTACAAAAACCAACGGTCTGCGTATATTCTCATTGTAGGGATATCGGGTGTGATTAGGGCTAGATATCTGACACATATCCACGAGTATACATCCACCCTTGGAGACTTTTTAAATCCTTAGTAGTTACTTAATTGAAGTCCTACAAAAGAATGTTAATCTGGCCAAGTAAAAAATAAGGCACGACCAATTTTGTCTCTTCTTATTTCTTTATTCAATAGATACTCTCGAGGGTCGCGCGAGACTTCAAAATAAGCTGGCAGTGGTATGTACGAAAATTGCGCTGCAGATAGAATCAACCAGAAGAATCATGTGAGCTGGTCAGAAGCGAGAGACAGGGCGTAAAGTTACACCAGACAGAAAATGATCATGAGGAACCAGGCGGTGCAGACTCTCTCTCTGAGCCACTTCTCCATCTCCTAGCCGCTATTCCCTCCTCTATTACCTGCTTCATCTCCTCGCTTCCCAAAGACTGCGCATAGGTTACTGCCGTACCCATGCCTCCTTTCAACTCAGGATTTGCACCATGCTCTAATAGCCATCTTACCCTCTCAACCGCACCAGCCATGACCGCATGCACAATCGCATATCGGGGCACCACATGCTGTGTTTCCTCTGCCTTGTTCACATCTGCCCCATGCTCGACTAATAATGCCATGACTGGGATTGTGCTTGTATCAAACTCCTTACTTGGTGTTACCCTCTGATAAAGAGGATTTTCGTCGTTGGGGCACACGCCTGCAGCATAATGTAGGGGTGCACCATTCTCAATTTTTGCACCGGCATCTAAAAGCATGCGCACAGCCTCAGTGTTTGCCCGCGCTGCGGCTGCCGTGAGGGCTGCGCACGAATCGGTCTCTGGCCCACCATAACGATTCTGATAGTAGCGTTGGCGCCCGAGGTTAGGGTTGGCACCGTGGTCAAGAAACCAACGGAGAAGGGGAATATTAGTGACTACACGCGGAAGCAAGACTTCGCCATAGTAGCCGGGGGTGTTGGGGGTCCAGCCTTTCTTCGTAAGAAGTTCAAAGAGGGCGATTTGTAGATCAGCAGGTGCCAATAGAATACTTTCAGGAGTGTTGCGGACAAGAGCCGCACCAGCGGTAAGAAGGTAGTCTGCGATCTCGACATTTCCCGCGCTCAGTGCAAGCACGAGGCCACTATGTAGGAAGGCTGGAGTACGAGTTTGCGAAGAGACGATGGCGTGAACAGTGGGGAAATATCCATTCTTGCAAGCGGATTCAAAATCGACAACGTAGTCTGGTTTCGGACCGATGTAGCCGAAGTCATCCGGCTCTACGATGGGAAGTTCATCATACAGTCCATCCGTTGTGATTTTCCGAGGCGGCGGTAGGGACCTCTGAGGCCTCATGCCGTTCTGAGGCTGCATGTAGTACCCCTGAGGCCCCATTCCGGATCTTATTGTTTGCCATCGCTGCTGGCGGATCTTCTCTAATATTTGCTCTGGAAATGGTTGTGGCTGCTGCCTGTCAGCCATAGTGGTTCTATGTGACTGGAATTGACTGAATCCAGCCTATTATGTGTCTATCCGCTAGCAACAAGGTCCTTTTCAAAGAAGAAAGCCCGACAGTCCGGATATTATGTTCTAGGAATAAATCGCGGAAGTAAAGAAGTTGTTATAAGGTGGACCTTGATCAGCTAAAAAGAGATCCACGTGATGAGCACACCAACGGCTATGTCTGAAACACGGGGGTTACGGGAATTGCCCAAGTTATCTGGATGGATTTTGATCATCAAGGCAATTATGTTACTTCAGGCCCCCGACCGAGTGATTCTCACTTTGAATTTATTAGATTTTTCTCCGTACCCTGTGCCATATGGACAGTAGCGCCCTTGGCGATAGAAATGCATATCTTTGGGTTCAAAAGGGGCTCTAGGCGTCTCACATATTAATTTCAAACGAGTCTCGATGAGATTGTGACTCAGGGCTTTGTCGATGCGGACTAAAAACCATATTGGATGTGTAGGTACTAAAGATAACTGTTGGATTTCTGATAAGCTACAAAGTTGCACCTACGGGATAAAAGCTCACTACTAAGGTATAGTCTAACAATCAATATGGTAGGGTCGGTGCTTTCTTCTTTCCTACAATGTTATATACACAACATAGGATAATCCTCGAAGGCCGTGGGAGCTACCGTTTTCATGCCAACAGACTTTCGTTGATGATGGCTTCCACGCTACTTTTCCTGCTGCTAGCTAGTACTGATTTGAGTAAGTACCATGGATGTGGAGATGTATTTAAGTAATTAATGACCGTTTGAGCTCGGATTATAGCATTTTAGCTTCATTGCTCATATTGATGAACTAACCGTGGACGAGAGACACAAGTTAATGGTATATTGAGCCTCACCCTATCATAGAATAAGGAGCATGGTCTCAACTGGTCAATCGAACTGAAAATAGTCTTGAAACATATTGGAGTATGGAATGTGGAACGGCTTGAGATAGATTTCGTACATTCTACTCCGTAATAGATTCATCCATATTACGACTAAACGATCCTCTGTAGACGTCTTAACAAGCCATCAGGCTCAGCAACACCCTGCACAGCAATTTCATCAGCACGGTCCTGCTGATTGGCAATAGCGTATATACGTAGCTCATCGGCGTTGCCGGAGGGCCGGAAATGAGCAACATCACCGTTACCAAAATACATGCGCACGCCATCGGTATAGTTGATTCGTACGATGGGACCAAATCCGCGTTCAGACGAAAAAATAGTTTCCAGCTTGCTGCGGATCTCTTTAATCGTATCGACTTGAGCTTCCGTGACATGAAGCTGAGTATTGTTCGAGTCCCGAAGTGTTATATCTCCAGATACATCAAAGGAGACATCCATCGTGATCGCATCTGGAGGAGAAAATCGCTCTATGATTTTGAGACTTGTTGATCGGGGAAATTTTCTTAGAAGCGCAGCACGACTATACCTTTTGGGTAGGGTAGCAAAAAGGTCTGGAAGCGCCATTTGCTGGTTCTTTGCCGCGAACAAAGCACAAAGCAAAGGTAGCATGGCATCGCGTGTGGGTAGTGCCGATAGTACTTTTCCATTGCGGTTTATGTCGGAGCCAGTGAGAAAGCCACCATTAGCCTCCCAGCCGCAGACATGGCTACGGCCTTTGTCGAGTGCTAGCTGCATGCCTGCAATAACGTAGGGACTGCCGATTTTGGTCTTTGGTTCTGTGATTCTGGCCAGAGATCCGTGGTCAATGGCATCATTTGCGCTAATTGGGACGACTGCAGCATCAGCACGGAGATATTGTGCGACTATCATGCCCAAGAGATCGCCACCGAAGAAGCACAACTTGTCGTCTCGGGGTGCAAGGATGAGCGGACGGTCACTGTCGCCGTCAGTAGAGACGACAGCGTCGATTGATGACTCGCCAGCTTCGTCATATAACTTTTGAACGACATCCAGCTGAGCTTGATCGATAGCTTCGGTATCAATGGGTACAAATGTTTCACTTCTTCCAGAGGGAATCACTTTGGCGCCAAACTTTTCGAAAATTTCTACCAAGAGATCACGACCGACGGCTGAGTGCTGATATGCCACAACCGTCACTCCCTGTAGAGTCTCCCCTTCGAAGAAATCTAAAAACCGTTCGATATAGGCACTTCTAGCCTCATGTGAAACAGGCTCCAAATCTAAAGGCTTGCTGCATAACATGCCCTGCTCATCAAAAAGAGACTCAGAAAACGGCTGTGCCATCAGCTTTTCCCGGGTAATAGCCACCAATTCATTAATCGGCTGTTCGTCCTTTTTCATAAGCTCTCCTTTGCTGGTGTTCAGCTTATAGCCATTACGGTCAAAGGGTATATGGCTTCCCGTTACCATAATGCTGCCTTTTCCCTTTTGAATAGCAAAATTTGTGAGGGCTGGCGTGGGGATAGCTCCTAAATTCAATGGACGCATATCGCCATCCTTAAGGGCTTGCTCCACGGCTTGACAGAGACCGCCCCGGTTGTTTTCTACATACTTTGTAGAGCTAGGTCGTAAGTCGTAAGCATAGTAAAAATTATCTCCGGGTTGAATACCGCCTTCAGTCAGCGGCAGAGACTGGAGATAGCGGACCTCGGCGAGCACGTTGGTATATATCTCTAGCTGCGTCAGGTCAATGACTAGTCCACGGCGACCACTGGTGCCGAATTTGAGGAGTTGTGGTTTGTATGCCAATTGATCGTGCAGTGTTCCAGGCATTTTTCTGTTCAATGTGCGAGAAAATAGCGTCGTTGAGATTGTAAGAGTGAATCCTATCGGTGGTAAGGTTACCAAGTCCAACTCCGGTTGATAGTATCCGATCGATAGAATTGGCGTACTTTGCGAATATGTGGACTAGATCACTGCGGAAAGTTTGTTTTGGGTTTAGGAAAGAATTTGAAACGTGGCCAAATATGCAATATCCACTGGCCAATTACATTACCAGTACTTGGCGGAGTTATAAGGGGTTTAGCAGGGAGCCACCGTGCGATGCTCTCGAGCCACAGTCTATTTTTGTCAAATGAACAGGTCTAAATGGATATAAGTCCGTAAATTTGAGAATCATCACGGACATACCAAATGACAAAAGAGATCACAGATAATTGAAGTTCTTTCAGGGTTATAGTTAGGGTTACAGGTATGAATGATGTTGGATTTAAGCGAATTCCTGCTGAATTAAATAACTCTTCAAGGTTTACAGCATCGGATAAATATCAGAAACAAAGTACCCAGGTAAAGATAAATCTCTCTCCCATCTTACACGTCAATCAAGACCTTGGCAGGTAAAGACTCGATAGACAGATTTGAACACATCTTGAAACACTTTCATAAAAGGTATACTCTATAGAAACTCCCGGTCGATTGTAGATCTTTATAATAAGTACCTCATCTTTGAAATAGAATCGCCGAATTTTAACGACGTCACTGGATGAAAAGACTCAACAAAAGGATGTTCTATGGAACTTCGTCAATGCTTTCAACATCAAGAAAACGAGGTTTTAGGTTTGACCAATTGAACAGAGGCTAATCTCTAAACTGCCTGTAGATATCTATTTCGGAATCTGGGAAGCTACGGGTGAGCTTCTTTCCTGCAACTCGCTGTACACCAATGGTGTTGAAACCCTTCGTCAAGATGATGTTATCTGGTCGCCTCCACCTGCAACCAGTATTGGACCAAAGGGTGTGAAGAGCAGCGGTACACTGGGAAGCTACGTCCGATTTGGGAGCCTATTCTTGATGTCGATGGGAAGTCAATGTAAACCTTTCAAGACCGAGTTCAAATGCCCATGTAGCTCTGGATGACGAATTCCCAAGAAATTACAAGAAATATGGTGGAATCAAAACAATATACCAGTAAAGCATCCTCAGATGGAGTTTCCCCTCTTATCAAGATCGTAATGGGGCTGTATAGGTACATCAAGGTTAGGTTAATTATTGGAGCAGTATCTGGTTGAATATGAAACATGGCACGCTTAACTTTAAGACTCGAACAATCCGCAATACAACTGTTTGAAAAATCTGCCTGTGACATTAATGGCATCTGGCAAACGCAATACAAACAACAATCCCAAATTCAAGAGAATCCTTGCAACGAACGTTGCATTGATTGATGTCAAAGACTGTGTATCATTATTAGAGAGTGTTGTTCTTCCAGAGGACCTGTTTTCTTTACCCTGTTCGGGCGAGATATGGACACTTCTGGGATACGAACAATCTTCAGATTCACACCCAATGATCCTTTAGACTGCCTATGAGAATTTGAATGCAGTGATCATCATTGATTCAGTGTTTTCAATCTGTGATGACATAAAACCCTCGACAGAGGGAAAAAAGTGACCGGCTCTGGTCGCGTCGAGACCAATGCCCAGAGAGCATCTACATAGCAACACGTAGTTTCAACCCAGCGCAATACCATATAGGCATGGTTCTATTTTTGCTCAATCTCAAGATCTAGAGCTATCTATACCATACCTCAAATTTATCGCTGATGTAGAAAGACAACAAGAGGTCAGAAGAAGATTCTGGACGAGGATATAAGGTCAAGTAAGGTTATCATTATATAGCGCTAGCCCTAAAGCAGTGGAGACTAGCCCTAAATAAGTTGCTAGACTAACCCCAAGGAAGGCGTCTCCGGTTTTATGAGGTCAGAAAGTCCCCACTGATGGGTCTACGTAATTATTAATCGCATAATGATAGAAATAATTAATGATTCTTTTCAATTCGCTAATCGTGATGGATTTGTCATTTCGGGGTTTGCTTGATGTAATCATAAATACCAGCCTGTCCCCGAACCCTGCTGCTTGATTTTGAACGACAAACGTTGAATATCGAACAACGAAACCGACAAAATGAAGGCCGTCATTGCTCAAAACAAAACCCCCACTTTGGTTTCTGATAAGCCCGTCCCTAAGCTACGCGACGACTATATCCTCGTCAAGACCGTAGCCGTTGCCCTTAACCCAACCGACTGGAAGCACGCAACTTTCGGTCTTGCTGCTGAAGGCGGCCTGCTTGGTTGCGATTTCGCTGGCATTGTCGAAGAAGTAGGCTCCAAAGTCACCAAGAAATGGCAAAAGGGCGAGCGAATCGCTGGTGTTGCACATGGTGGAAATCTGGTCCAACCTGAAGACGGTGCATTTGCCGAACACATTCTTGCGAAGGGCGATATTCAAGTAAAGATTCCTGATTCGTTGTCCTTTGAGGATGCGTCAACCCTTACTTTGGGCGCGACGACAGTTATGCAAGGGTTGTATCAAAAGGCGTTGAAGTTGAACCTACCGGATAACCCAGTCAAGGGTAATGTTCCACTTTTGATATATGGAGGGTCCACTGCGACTGGTTCTCTAGGTATCCAATATGCCAAGTTGTAAGTTCTTCTTATCATTCTTTGAAACACTGAATCACTAACTTGTGAAAGGTCCGGTTACACCGTGATAACGACATGCTCCCCGCGAAACTTCGATTATGTCAAAAGCCTCGGTGCTGACAAGTGGTTTGACTACAACGAGCCCAACGTCGGTGCCCACATTCGCGAATATACCCAAAACAAACTCAAATACGCCTGGGATACCGTGGGTGAAGAAGGCTCTGCCAAGATTTGCGCAGAGGCACTTACCTCCGAGGCTGGAGCAAAATATGGCAGCATCTTGCCTGTAAAGAATCCACGAGAGGACGTTGAATCCACCAATACGCTCATGTATACTGTCTTCGGCGAAGAATTCAAATTTGGAAAGGACACGGTGTTTCCTGCTAGTTCGGAGGATTTTGAGTATACCAAGAAATTCATCGCGTTAACCGAGAAATTGATAGCTGAGGGCAAAGTGAAGGCGCATCGTGTCAAGGTTGGTGCTGATGGTCTGAAAGGTGTGGTGAAAGGATTGGAGGATATGAAGGCTGGAAAGGTCAGCGGACAGAAACTGGTATACCGCGTTGATGAAACTCCATGAAAGTTCGTGATGCTCAAGGGGAATTCTTATTAGGCATTCGCCTAGACGATGCTCAATCATTCAAATCAATGTCTATGCGGAAATACGCTTGCGTTTATAGTCCAGAAAAATTCAAATAAATTCAATTAAATCGACTACTCAGCATTATTCAAATTTCTCCAGAATATCTAGAAGTCCGCTTGTCTATTTAGCATTGATTTCGCATAACTAGGTTCAAGGTCTGTGGTAATGTGATATCATCCAACAGCTTCCATAGATGAGGGTACCAACTGCGTGTTGGGAATTCCATGCTTTTATTGCCAAACAGTCGAAAGCTTCTATGAAGGAATATTGAGCAAGGCAATTCAAATATGAATGTGTTGTTCATCAGTTGTAAAAACTGCAAGGGACGAAGGGTTCGCTGCGCATGGAGAAATTACAAATTCTGCTAATATCTAGGAAAGGAATATTGAGATAACTTGACTTCTACCACTTCGACCCTATACTTCCCCTAGCCTCGCAAGTCTGCACTACCCATCATCTATTAATCTCAACTTCATTAAAACGCTCAGCTTCATCATATCTCACCTTCAGATATTAAATGTTACTTTTTAATCCACTCGACCGTTCCTCATGAAGACCTTACCTATCACCACAAAGTCACAAATCTCCGAGTTGTTCGAACAATTTACACAATGCTTACTTCGGGTATAACGATGAAAATACACTGATGGGGCCGGCCGCTTGCCCAAAGTCTGTTTGTAGCAGTAGTATCCACTCCTTACACTCTGAAGCAAAATGAACCATATTGTCGTCCTAGACCAAAGGACTACTTTCCAGATCATCTCCGCAAGGACAATGACCCTCAGTTGCGAACTAATGCCAGGCTAAGAGTCTATCGAGTACACATCCTGTCTACTAGATGAGAAAGAACATAGTTTTTGGGGAAATTGTTGGTGTCCCAAATTTGAGAGTGACGTGCAATTAAGTGTGTTTGGTAATGCAGATTTTGGGGGAAACTCTTCAAGGAAGAGTTTGAGTCTAAGAAACTAAAAAGCTTTACCCAACTTGATTACATGTAACTGGTCAGAGTTGTCTGATCATGGGTGGGGTAGCTAGAAGTAGGCCCGTGGGCAAGCGCATCTTTCCCACGGCACCGGGTAGCAGGGGACATACATCCTGTCGTCGTTGTACCTCTCTGAAGTTAAAAGCGCCTATCCTACGTCGCTTGTAATAGACAGCACCCATGTCCAATACTTCTAACACGTCTGTGAAAGCAACCAAGAAAAGTGCGTTCTCTTGTGACTCTTGCAGGAAGAGAAAGGTGAGTTAATCTTCGAGTTTTCATTTCTTGATCCGTGTTGTTTGCTACTCCCGATGGATTGCTCGACAGGAATTCTTTGCGAGCAGACTTGTCTCCCACCTCCTCAATACTTCCCTCGGCTCTATATATCTTCCACCCTTGATGACATACTGACTCCGGAATTTTGCAGGTAAAATGTGGAGGAGAACGACCAAGTTGTGGTCGCTGCATTGCCCGCAACGACACCTGTCTATACAAACTATCTCCAACGCTCACTTACACGGAAAGGCTCGAAAATCAGGTCAAGGAGCTTAATTCACTCATATCACAGTTGCAGAGTCAATCTACTGGATCCACCTTGGAGGCTCCAGGTCTTTCGCACCCGGCTCTCCAAAATCCTCCGACTCCAGGCGAAGTTTCAAAGATAGAAGGAAGGTTTGAAGGACTCAAATTTGATGACAAGGGTGCAATTACATACCATGGTGCGACGAGCTTTTTCCAGCTACTGAGAATGCCTGCGACTCAAGAACAAAACCCCATTAGTAGTTCTTGGGAGATACCAAGTTACCTTGATGACGGGGGATTGCGAAGAAAAAGACTTGTCAACAATGCATGGCAGCAGCGTGCGCTCGAGACTATGTCCAAAACGCCAGTAAGTCTCCCACAGATGCGACTTCAGTTCTTGATAATAAGACTTTCTTAGGAACCGCTCCAGTTTCTACTCGAAGTTCATTGGTGTTGGGTTCAGCCCCTCTTCAATTTTGTTTACAGGCCAGCATTTACACGTATGTTGTTTAAACATATGATGAGACCATCGCTAATAAAGAGTCGCCAGGCGATAAGGAAGTAGGAGGTCCTTACTATTCACATACACTGCTCAACGCCATGCTCTCGCATTCTGTACGATGGTGCAAAGGAGACGCTCCGATCCGTCAATTACTTGCCCCGTATGAGGATGGTGATTTATTCGCTCGACAAGCACGCAATCTACTCTTTGAGGAATTAAGGCTTGGGTACAGTAAAGTACCCACAGTTCAGACACTTCTTTTGCTCAGCGCACAAGAATGCAGTGCTGGTAACCGAACACAAGCATGGTTATACAGCGGCATGGCATTTAGATTGATCGAGGACATGGGCATATGTATTGATGGACAGAAGTACGCGTCCACTGTACAACTGTCTGACGAAGATATCGAGATTAGACATCGATTATTTTGGAGTTGCTACTTCTGGGATAAAATGATCAGTCTTTACCTGGGAAGATCGCCCACACTACAACATTCGACTGTCAGCCCTCCGCAGATCATGTGTACGTCACTCCAATTTCTTTGTTTTAAGCTGAGGGTCGTCTTTATAAGTGAAGCTTACCATTCCTCTCTAGTGGACGATTTTGCAGAGACCGAGCTCTGGATACCACACGGGATAGTATATCCCCACGGCATGGAGTACCCACGCACGCAAGCCCACTCTACCTCATGCTTTATGAGAATGTGCCAACTTTCCGAGATTTTCAACCAAATACTTATTCATATGTATAATCCGCTGGGTCAGAACTCTGAAATGGAATTCAAGACTTGTATCTCTAGTGAAGGTGAAGCCCTGAGAAGGTGGTGGGAGGCGCTACCTGACTTTCTTAAAATTGACGCCATGACACCTCCATCTTATAGTCCTCCGAGCCATATAGTGACTCTGAAGTATGTCAGCACCCAAGAATTGTGTGAAATAGAAGCTAATGGATTCTAGTTGTCTGTACCATACTTTCAAGATCCTGCTTTATCGCCCAATGCTATTTCGACGCGCTTCGGCTACTTCTAGCCAGGAGAGACCGGATCCGAGCCACCTAATAGAGTGTATTACGTCCGCCACATCAATCATAACCATCTTTGATCTTTTTTGTCGCACCTTTGGAGAGAGGTATTGTATCCTTTCCCAATCCTACAGCGTTTACACCGCTGCCTCTATATTCCTCCTCCAAATACAAGCAGCCAGATCTCAAGATGATCAGACTTTGAAAAGGCTCCAATTCTGCATACAAGCACTAGAGCGGGTGAAAGCATTCAATCCAGGTAGGCATCCTACTTCCCGTCACGTATATATCTACTAACATACTTCCTATCAGTAATTGGTAGTTCATTGGCTCTGATTACCCAAGCCCTGTCCAAATTAGGCATCGATCTATCCACAAAGTCTGTCTTTCAAGAATCTATGCCCCTTCAAGACCCTTCATTTAATTTGGGTACCTCTTTCCAATCTCCTTTTCCTGAGATACTCAGGAACGAAACTTTCGAAGCTGGCGGGATCTCTCAAATATCACTGCAGGAGAGCTTCAACCTGGAAGACTTTGAAATATCTACAGAGATTCTTGACGCTTTTTCATCCCTGGAGCCCATCGATGCGACAGTTGGGGCTCTTCTTGATCTTGATTGATCTAGTTTGATCACCGAAATAGTTGCGGTTGATTTGGCCTATACCACAACCTGCAGCACTACAAAGACCTCAATTCTTCAAATTGCCTCCTCTGAAACAATTTGGCAGCCCGAACGACTTGATCGTAAACGGCAAATGTTATGCTACTGGAGAGCTGTGGATTTAGAAGATGTTAGTATGAGTGGTACGATTTCAATTTGGTTCCGCTCTTACCGTCAGTCGCACTAATCTCGGCGTTGTTCCTCTCCAAAAAGCCCCAATCCCTTCGTCTCTCAATGTCAAACCTGCGCAATGGAGCATCCCCTTATAGTGGGACCTAGCACTCTGTATTCGCGTTTTGATGTTGTCAAACGGCATTGACGCATAGCTGGACCTACCGTTAGCTAAGCTATCAAAGTAGACAGCTGCCACTCACACAGTCACTATCCCGCTCAACGCGCCAATGAGCAGCGTAGAACCAACGGAGCCCTCTAAAGCAGGCCATTGTCTCGCTAGTTGCTCTTGCATCATTCCAAAACTCGTGAATCTCACGGCCGAGTTAGTGGCCTGTTTACTTAGCACCGGAAGTGCTCCTCTCCACAAGGCACCAAGACCTTCCTCGCGAATCACGAATGATATTACAGCAACTATTCCTTTGTTCGCCAAACGATGGTTGCCCTTTAACGCCGCATCCTCTATCATCCTCGTCTTCAGCGCCTCACCCGGCGTCACCACCAGCAAGGACTCCGCTACCCCGGCGCTCAGTCCTGCTAGAATGTTCACCCAGGGGCTCCGCTGGCCTTGCGTTATATTGAGCACTTTCTCGAGATAATCCCTTGACGACTCGAAAGTGAAGAAGCGTATGCCACTTTTCAGTGCATTGCTCACTGCGAGTGGTGGACAGCCTGAGTAGAAGCCGAAAATTCCAGAGTTGTGGTACGTCGACTTCAGGATTGAGAGAGAGGATATAGTTCCGTGGGAAAATTGAGGCAGTTGTTTCCGGGTTTTGACAAATTCAGCTGGGTACTTGGAGGTATTGGTAAGTTATTAGTTCAATTAGGAATCGTGTCGTAGCAAGTTGAATACCTACAGTGATCATTGTTTCAGATGCTCCTGCGATACTTCCCGCAATAATCTTTGTAGCAACTCCCGACTTATCTTTAGTCTCCATAATTCTAGTGTTTCTAGCTCTCCGTGCTAAAATGCCTTCGTTCGACGTTGTATGTGTAGTACTGCTCTGGAAGAGTGTGAAAACAACAGATATCGCTTCTGTGTTTTATGTGGTCGGAGACAACTAGACCAAATGTATACCATGGATTTCTATACAGGGAAATTCATTAAATTTGTCCTAAGCCCATGGTGGTCATACAGAGGTGGTCTGGATCGCTTCACTGGTGGCTTGAGACTTCGGAAGTTGGCCGAAGTATGCCGCCAGCTCGACTTTTGAGTTATGAGAATTGATCGGCCTAAAAGACTCAGATTTTCTGTCCGGGAAGTCGCGGCATTTCCTCTTTTTGTTGAGCTTGCCGGCACGTTATGTGAAATTTGGTTGAGTACCATAAAGCCCGATTTTGATGGGATGACCAGGTGGTGTAGATCGTACGAATATAGTACCTCACCGTACCCTAGATTGATCATATTGCCCTCTTAGTATGCAAGCTATCACAGCTGGTGGTATGTCCCGCCAAACGATAAAAGTCTTAGAAAATGAAGAATCTTGTATTGTGAATAAGGGTGTCTGCAAATAAGAACTTATGCAGTAAATTTTTGTATTCATTCTCTAGTACAAATAAAGCCAGTTCCCTCTATCATCTCTATTTAGCGTCGGAGCACGCGATCTCCTCCTTCATCCATTGATATCCCATACAGTTCTTTGGCATTAGACCTGAAAACTCTCTCCAGTAAGACTTCATCTTCCTCACACCACTCCACCACTCTCTCTATAAATGGCCTAACGTCCAACCCTTCAAACCTCGTGTGCGGCCAATCCGTTGCAAAAATCGCCCTGGTTCCTCCGGCAGCTCTTAGCAACTCTTTCGCAATTGGCTCTAAATCTTGCTGACTGTAGTCCATACTGATCCGATACGGTGCAGAAATCTTTACATAGGTGTTTCCTTGTTCTAGTAGACTGACAAGCGATTTGAATCCCGGAAGTAGGTATGGATCGCCAGTTGCGGAATAGAGCGATTTACCCTCGTCATATGGGAGCTCAGGCTGCCCAAAATGGTCAAAACAGACCTTGACTCGTAATTGTGGAATGGTTTCCTCCAGAGTGCTTATGGTAGACATAGGCACATAAAGCTGTATTATCCATCCTAGCGGCCTTATCATGTCAGCGTATTGGCGCAGGAGGGAGGATAGCTCATTCGATTCCATTGTCTTTCCTACAGATTGCAGATTTACTCTCACGCCGCGTACTCCGATCGTGTGCCATTCTTGCAGGGTGGAGAGTGAGGTTTTGTTTGGATCGAATGCTACCACGGCGCGGGCGGTTTTGGGACCCCTTTCGCGGAGCGCATCGAGAATACAGGCATTGTCATTTCCGTAACTTGAGGGCTGAACCAGTATAATGTTGCGAATTCCTATAGATGACTCGAATCTTAGGGCGTCGGATAGGAGATGCTGTTTTGGAGAGTATCGTGCCTCTGCAGACAATGGGTACTTGACAGGGTCGAAAACATGCATATGACCGTCCCAAGAATTTTCCGGAATCTTGTAGAGTAAATTCCCTCGTGAGTGTACTCTGTATACTCGGTTTGGAGTTTGCCCTAATGATCGTTTAACGAGGTTGATAGGAAAGCGCAGGTGTTGCAACATGAACCTGATGAGGAGCTTGAGAGCCGATGAAATCATGATTTTAATCCTCCGTATGAACCAAGCCCCGAGCAGGACAATTGTAAGGATGCAGCGTGTGGGAAGGCATAAAAAACATATTTGCCCTGGAAGATTGCCCAGGCTAGCTGGTCAAGGGTGGGTTCGCGATTCCGACTTAATCAGTTTAAAAATAGGAAGAAGCAGAACTGTCTCTCCCAAAAGGGTTTCCTATAATTTCAGGCAAGTCTATTGTTGAGTAGAAGGTGAGGCTAATGTCAAAATTGGATCCTCGGAAGTTGTCCGAGTTTCAACATCCCTTACCAATAGCGAGTAAGCAACCCCACAAGCAGCGCTTTTTGGTGCAAAGTACTCCTTGCTCTTAGCAGGCTCGGTCAACTTCCGTCAGAAAAATTCCTCCCCACATCCTCCAAGCGGCCAACCATGCGATGGTTCTCCATTCGTGGATTTGCTTTTTCTTCCACTCTCGAGAGTATGAGCTACCCTTAATGCCTCTGAGCCATCTCCGGGAGAGTGTGGTTAGTCGTTACTGGTCCTACTACCCGCTTCCCCGTTTCCCCATTTCCCCGGAACCAAACGAGCCCATCTCATCTGCGCACTATAAATCACACAAACCATCACAACTATCAAGAGTCAAAGTGCTACTCTCTACCTCCATCGTTGTACACAGTAATGCCTTCTGCAGACACTAAATATGTTTGACATTAATCCATATTATATTTTCACGGTCCTTGTCATCGCATCTGGTGGCATCCCTAAAGGTGCAAGCACTTTCAGTCCCTTATGTGAAGACTTCTAACCTGAACAGGCTACGATGAAGGTGGATTCAGTGCATCTATCAGTTTGACTTCGTTCAAGCACGATTTTGGACTATCAGCCTCTCTTTGGAAGAACAACGAATCGGGTCTTGCAAGCCGCACCGCAAATATCTCCTCATTCGGGGTTCTGGGAGCAGCATTGTAGGTTATGGCAGATTTCTAGTCATCGCGTCCTAAATCCATCAACTAAATTAAATGATTTGCTGACTTATCCGCTGTGAAGGGGATCATTGCTTGCCCTTGCTGTTACTGACAGGTTTGGTAGACTACGCAGCTGGCAACTCTTCGTTGCTCTCTGGGGAAGTGGAGTCCTCATGCAAATATTCTCATCAGGAATCATTGGGTTCATGCTTTTCGCCAGAATATGGGGAGGACTTGGTGCCGGCGGTCTCACTGTCGTTGCGCCGCTCTATCTCTCGGAGTGCGCGCCTGCTAAGTCGCGGGGAATGATCGTCAGTATCTATATGGTTCTTTTACTTTCGGCTCTTACACTTGGTGAGTCTAAGTCAACATATCTTCTATAAATCTAATTTTTCTTAATGAATTACTCCAGGTTTCTTCATAAACTATGCCGCAAGCGTAACGATGCAGGCTCACGCTACCCAATATCGACTCGTACAGAGCATTCCCCTTATCCCTGTCGGCATCGCTCTTATTTGTTCCTTCTTCTTGTCCGATACACCTCGCTGGCTAGCTTCGAAAGACCGAGGTGATGAAGCACTGCAGGCTCTTGCTCAACTCCGCCGTTCGGTCAAGAATGACTATCGCCTCTCGGATGAATACAGAGAAATACAAGAACAGATTCGAATGAAACGTCAAAACCTGGAAGGCGTTCCAGTTTGGACCATCATCAAGGAAATTGCTACAATCTCAACTTATCGCAAACGGTTTCTGCTTGGTGTGACCATGCAAACCGTTGCTCAATGGAGCGGCGGAAATGGTATCACATACTATATCCCTCAGGTGCTACTCCTCTATCAGATATTTGTTCTATATTTTCTAGATAACTAACAACATCCATAGATTTTTACCTATGCAGGAGTGGTCGGCAACAATACCTCTTTGATTACCTCAGGGGCATATGGGGTAGTCAAATTGGTTTTCACGCTTGTTTTTACATGGGGGCTCGTCGATGTGTTTGGACGCCGTCGTTGCATGCTCACCGGTCTCGCTCTGCAGTGCATTACTCACGTTTACATGACCATTTACATGTCACTATTCCTCCAGTCAGGAAATAGGTCAGCCTCTGACGCAGCTATTGCCTCAGTATTCATTTACGCTGTCGGATGGTCTATCGGTCTCTGTACAGTTCAGTATCTCTACGGTACTGAAATCTATCCGACACGCATTCGAAGTGTGTGCTATGCCACTAATATGGCACTTCACTGGTTCTTCCAATTTGCTGTGGTCCGCGTCACACCAAACATGTTTGTCAGCTTGAATATTTGGGGGGCGTATGTCTTCTGGGCCGTGGTGTGTGCTCTTGGCTTCCTTTTGCTTGGTATTTGGGCTCCTGAGACTAAAGGAGTTCCAATGGAAATGATGGAAGAATTATTCGCCGGTCACTGGTGGATGGGCTGGAAGGCTCATGTAGACTTGACTCGGTGGATGACAGAAGATAGGATTCTAGAGGAAAAAGAGAGTAAGAATGTTGGCGCAACAGAGTTACAGAGAGTTTAGAAGTAATGATGGAATTATCTTCAAGATCAAGCATATCCTACAACTGAGGAGTGAGCAATGAGTGTAAAAGGGCACATTTCTATAGACATTTTGAAGCTCCCTCTTTCAGCCTGCTCAGGCGTTGACAGCCTCTATTCCATGCCAGTACAATCTTCACCAGAGGGTGGGTGGCTGTCCAAAAGTATTCGAAAAAAAAAAAGATATGAAGCTGCCCAGGTGGAGTAACTACACTAGCCTCTTCGGAGCAGCCCGCTGCATATATCACGCCACCCCTCGGTCAACTTCCGAGATTTGAAGCTCAACAACTTCTCGGTCAACTTCCGCACCTGAGTGGTGGACTAGTACGGATCCTGGCTTTTACCCTGCAATTATGTGGATATTTATCGACCCCGAGAATGCGGGGATGGAGAAGAAATCATGCATGTATATTCAACGGATATGGCAATTCGATCTATAAAGTCTAGCCCGCCGCCCTCCAGTTTACGTATCTGCACCCATTCAATCACCGCGGACCAAATCACTCGCTATTATTGTCTTCTACACTCTCCCGCAGCAATATGACGACGGGCGACAAGCACAACGACGATGAAGCTGTGAACCGGAACAGCCTTGCTCCAGTCGCAGCTCTCCAACAATTTTACGATGAGTTAGACCTCATGAGCCCTGAAGAATATGCATTAAAGGAAAAGAAACTCGTTCGAAAGATCGATCTTCGACTCATGCCCTTACTCTTTCTCATGATTGTGATGAAGTAAGTCAAGTCGCTACTCCGTGCACGGGAATGAGTATCACTAATACCTCCAGCTATCTTGACCGGAATGCTTTGGCGAATGCGCGGATCCAAGGAATTGAAAAGTCACTACACCTTCATGGTACTCAGTTCAACACGGCAATAAGCGTTCTCTTCGCTGGGTACCTCGCTCTCCAGATTCCTTCGAATATGATCATCACAAAAGTCAGACCCTCGATCTACCTCCCATCTTGCATGATCGTCTGGGGCGTAGTATCTGGAATGACTGCTGTTGTGAAAGACTTCCACGGTCTGGTAGTCGTTCGTTTCTTTCTTGGTTTTGTAGAAGCGTAAGACATTCCATGTTCAGAATTGGATTTTCTGCGACTAATTGAACATAGGCCTTACTTTCCAGGAGCGCTCTTCCTACTATCATCATGGTACACCCGTAAAGAACTTGCGCTTCGCACTTCAATTCTCTATACTGGCTCACTTCTGTCCAGCGGATTCGGTGGTCTCATTGGAGCAGGTGTTCAGCACGGGCTGGATGGGGCGAGAGGGATAGCCTCGTGGAGGTGGCTCTTCGTCATCGACGGTGCCATCACAGTTTTTATCGCCATCACTGCTCTGTTTATACTTCCTGACTACCCACACACCACCAAATTTCTGTCAGGGGAAGAAAAGGCTATCGCCACCCGCCGGCTCGAGACTTCATCTGGAACTAACGATACTGAGCGCGGCTCGCTCCTAAGCGGTCTCAAAATGGCGTTGGTAGATTACAAAGTCTGGCTCCTAGCTCTCATTGTCATCACTAAAACTTCAGCTGGTGCTGTAACGTCCTTCATCCCAACTTTGGTGGCAACGCTCGGTTACAACCAAGTCAACACATTACTACTTGTAGCACCTCCTTACGTCTTCGCCGCCATTACAGCTTTAGCTGTCTCCTACAGCTCTGATCAGAGAGGAGAGCGCTGTTACCACATCATGGTGCCCATATTCTTTGGCATGGTTGGATTCATTATTGCTGCTACGACACTCAACTTTACTGCTCGGTATATCTCCCTTTTCCTAATGCTCGCGGGTGTGTACGGCAGCTACAATGTAGCGCTTGCTTGGATCTCCAGCACTCTACCAAGACCTATTGAGAAACGTGCTGCGGCAATTGCGTTGGTAAATACCGTTGGGAACCTTGCTCAGATCTACAGCCCATACCTATATCCCTCTACCGATGGTCCAAGGTATCTGAACGCAATGATTGCGAACGCCTGCTTTTGTGTTGGCTGTGCAGCGGTTACATTTACCCTCCGTCTCTGTTTGGTCAATGAGAATAAAGCACTCGCTGTTACCGAGAGAGAGTTTGCAAATGGCCTCCAGGAAGAGAAGGTGGTAGTGGAGGAAATTCCTTATGTTTCAAATCCAGAGGTTTTTGCGGCTCATACTCCTGGTTTCCGATATGCTCTGTAGTTTTGATGCTTGGTTTCTCTTGAAGATAACGTTCTATCGCGAACTGCAGGGATGATATGTACTTCGTACACTTTTCTTTTCATTAACGAAAAAAGAAAAAAATTCTTGGCAAATTTTACAGTGTAAACGTATTACTTTAACTTGGTTGTTCGGTCAACATAGCATCATGTAATTTCCCACTCCCAATGGTAAGATTGTCTATTTTCCTTGATTGTTAAGGATAAACATAACCGATTACCGGTTCGGGAATCCTAAGGGAATGATAAAGCCTTTACATTGGATACGTGTTCCAGACCTTATGATTGTGGCAATAGCCAAAATCACAAGGCGTAGTCCCGTACTTGTATTCCGCACTTTTCATTTTTTTGAGATTCTTGAAATAGCCCTACTTATCAAGTTCCCTCCATAGTGATGGGATGCTTTACAATAATTCAATTAGAAGAGATTCCAATGCAAAAGGACACACTTTTCTAAAACTTACCGGACTTCCACCACAGCACATTCCCCCCCCTGGACCACTTTGACAGCTTCTGCCAAAGTCGAGTCGACCTCTCTAACGTCCTTGATGACTGCACCCCATGCTTTGCCAGCTGCGGTCGCAATTGCGGTGTAATCTGGAGATGGTTCGAAGGAGATATGCATATCTTTTTTATTGAGCGTAATTTAGTATGAAAATAACTTCTGGATCACGGAGCTTGTAGTAATTTACCTCTTCGATTAGCTTTTGACGATAAACCGTTCTCATGTACTAGAATGGTAGAAACTTTCGGCGCATTCCATCCCCCATTGTTCAGAACAATCATGAGGAAGGGTATGTCGTAACGTCGGGCGATCCAGTATACGCTCTCCATCTGTGAGAAGAGGAAGGTACCGTCACCGACACTAGGGACCAGTCAGAATTGTCTTAATGAATTCTGAGTGTCCTCGATGTTTTATCACGAAGAAAGGAGGGAAAACGTACATTCCACAAACGAACGAGTCCGGTTTGGCTAACTTCACACCGAGAGTAGCACCACCTCCGTATCCAAGCCCGCCAGCGCCACTGGCGTAGAAGCTTCCGGGCTAGAGATCTTCTGGTCAATTTCGCTCTGCAGAAATTCTCGAGAAACGATATACATACCTGCGTGAGGTTCAAATGGTGTATCATCTCCACACTGCTGGTCACTGCTTCCATCACATAGGTGACATCCGAAGGCATATGGTGGCGCAACCGCGAAGTGAAGTACGGGAGTTCAATTACTCCCGTGTCGGTTGGTGATTCCAGTGCAACTAACCTTTGCCTAAAGCTATTATAATCACCTGCCCGTTCCGCGAATGCGGTGGCGTAGCGAGATGCATCAAGGTGCTGCCGATCAATCCAGGCATTGAGCTGATGTAGGGCTAATTCACAGCTCGCCCGGTACCGGAATTTTGCATTGAGATAGAAGACTAGTAGCACAAACATTAGTGAGAATCAAAAGCCTGGAAGAGCAGTAAGGAACCTAAAACTAACCAGGCATCTGTTGTTTTAAAGGGTCTACATCAATATGGAAGATTTTCGTCGCTTCGAAAGTCAGTGTTTCTCTTGATTCAATCAGAGCTCGGAGTTCAATTTACCTTTCGACGGCTTTCCCGAGGTTGGAATCCAGGGCACATCACAATCCATGATGAGAATGACATCGGCTTTCAGTACCTCGGGATGAGTGCGAACAGTGACCCCTACGTAAGCCTCATGATCACTTCGAAGACACACATCTGAGCCGACAGTTTCAAGGACACGGATAGGAAGCTTATCGCACAGTTCGGCGAGGAGAGGTGGTGCTTTCATGTTTCGACCGAGATATCCACTAACGATCAGGGGCCGCTTGGCCTCTATCAGGGCCTTAGCAATTATCTCCACTCCTGTTTCCAAGTCAGCGACATCTCTACCCCGCCAAATCGCAAGAAAGGTGTTTTGTTTACCAGAATCCGGAAGAGGTGGAGGCATAATGGGGCCGAGGAGTTCATCATCTAAATTGTTCGGCGGTACCATCTGCAAAATCGGGGATTAGATTTGACGGTGATGTTAGTGGGGCTATAAAAGCCGATATGGTACCTCTTCCAAAACCTCGCGTGCAGCCATGAGATATACAGGGCCTTTCGGATCAGAGGTTGCAAATTGCATGGCCCGGGCGATCATCTGCTTGATGTTACGCCCCGTCTTGATTTCTCCTGAATACCGACAATACTGTCGCAGGATAGCGGCTTGATCTGGGACATCTTGCAGCCAGTGGATGAATCTGCAAGCGATTCAGTAGCAATTTCTAGCACTTCATGATAATATTCCTAAATAGGCTGTATCTTACTCTGTTCGAGATCCAAGCAACTCTCCATCCTGTGTGTAAGGACTCAGGCCGGCAAAGCACAGGACTGGAACACGAGCGATAGATGCATTGTGAATCGACTGCCCCATCGCTAGAGTTCCACAATCAACATGGACAATGACACATTGCTAGCCAGTCTATCAGTGATGGAATCTGTAGCGGTGAGGGAGAGGTATCACATACTGGTGCTCCCGTGACTTGTGCATAACCGATCGCAGCGGACAAGCCCACCAACTCTGACGGACATGTAATGATATTGGGGAACGTCTGGGAATTCTCTATCGCAGTGTCAGCCATGCCGCCACGAGATCTTCGTCCCTTTCGTTTATAACTAATCTCTACCTTGTTTTGCCTTTAGCATCGCCTCCAGAACCGCCGGATGATCGCTGCCTCTGTAACCCATGGGGTTCGGTAAATGAATGATGGTATAATGAAAGAATTCAACGAGTCAAAACTAACAAGTTCACAAAGCAGTAACGAACACCGGCCTGATCTAAAAGTTTTTCAGCACAACCTAATGCCCCAAGAGTGGACCGGAATACCTGATCTACGTACGGATTGCCTCGAAAAATGCACTGGCAGCTGAAGCCAGTTGGCCGGGTGCCTTGGGAGGTTTTCTTTCGTCCATTTCGTATTCGCCGTTCCCAGAGACTGAACAGATTGGCGAAAAAAGAATCAATGTCCGTCAAATCTAGGTAATATCCAAATCCAAAACCAGACCATGCGATAGCGCAGTCTCCAACTTTATACCTGCAAGAATAACTTTATATTTATCCGGTGATTTTCTAATCAAGATTAATTTTCGCCCAAGAAAAAGCCGAAAGAAATTGCCGATTTGCGGGGGAGAGATATTTTGTGGTATCAAGTGCAGAGGGCGACGCTACCTGACCTGGGGATGAGATTAGAAAGTTTACTATTTTCCCAAAAGGGACCTTGGAGAACCTGCCCTTCCCAGGGCGGCTAATTCCCGTAGTTGTAGAAATTGGGGCCCCGCATTCAAATTACCGGGAGGAAAACACGGGAATCAGAAGCATGACCTCGTCGTCGCAGTTTTCTTATAAATAGGGTTATTTCGGATGGTTTCACCATGTCTCCAGGCAGTGTATTTGCTCGTTTGTGTGCTCATCATTCACAAATATATGACAAAGAATCAAGAATCGAGAAAACGTCCAAGATGAGCGATATTGAGCAAAAAGGTGTTGCATGTGCCGTCGAAGACGTTAATGCACATACTGCCCCAGAATCCGTTGACCAAGACGCAGAAAGGAGACTACTCTGGAAAATGGATATTCGTATTCTTCCCATCCTCTTTGTTCTCTACCTCCTAGCATTCATGGACAGAATCAATATTGGGAATGCGAAAATCCAGCATATGACTACGGACCTGCACATGGTTGGGAATGACTACAATATTGCTTTGTTCATATTCTTTATTCCATATATAATTTGCGAGGTTCCTAGCAACATGATTTTGAAAAAGGTTGCGCCTTCGACCTGGCTCAGTGGCATCATGTTTTCCTGGGGTATAATCACCATCGGTCAAGGAGTAACGAAGAGTTACGGAGGTTTAGTTGCGTGCCGATTCTTGCTTGGAATCTTTGAAGCGGGATTCGTACCAGGTAGGTAGTATAACCTTCGAAAGTTTTATTCTCGTATCATTCTAATAAAACATGTTTTTCCCTAGGATGTATCTACTTGATTTCAATGTACTATAAACGTCATGAGCTACAGTGGAGGGTCAATTTGTTCTTTTGTGCCAGTATCATAGCGGGCGCAGTCAGTGGAGTAAGTATTGGCTACTCTATATCTAAGGAACAGAATTTTAAACTAATCATGATAATGATACTATCCAGCTTCTAGCTTATGCTATTGCTAATATGAATGGTATTGGGGGCTATGCTGGCTGGCGTTGGATCTTCATCATCGAAGGTCTTGTTACAGCTGTGTTAGGCTGCTTGTCCAAATTTGTCATTGTGGATTGGCCAGAGACTGCCGGGTTCCTAACTGAAGAAGAAAGGGCCCTTTTGATTGCCCGCCTAGCCGCTGATGTAGGAGAAGCAAGGATGGACCATCTGGATAAACCTGCAATGAAACGAGCATTTTCGGATCCAAAAATCTGGCTTGCGTATGTGCTCCTTTACCCGGATTTTGCCCGGATTGCACTTGAATATCATACTTATTATTCTGACATCTTCCCAGTGTTCTCATGTACATGGGGATTGTCAACACAGGATACGCAGGCTCTTTCTTCACTCCAACTATTCTCACCCAGTTGGGGTGGACAGCGGTAAGAGCTCAAGTCATGAGTATCCCAATCTATATTGTTGCAGCTATTATTGCACTAGCTGCGGCCATCGCAAGTGACAAGCTCCGTCATCGTTTCGGCTTCGCATTCCTTGGCTGTGTTATAGCTACGGTGGGCTATGTCATATTGCTTTGTCAACGATCAGTACCCGTGACCGTTCGATACTTTGCTCTCTATTTGATCACTGGTGGTGGATATCTGACGCAACCTATTGTCATCGGATGGCTCAGTAATAGTGTGGCTGGGCACTATAAGCGATCTATAGCATCCGCTATGCAGATTGGACTTGGAAATTGTGGAGGACTTGTAGCTAGCAATATTTTCATCACTTCACAAGCTCCCTACTATCCAACTGGTTATGGCGTGAGTCTGGGGATGGTTTGGCTGTGCGGAATATCTTCTGTTGTGTTTCTCTGGATCCTTGTACGCGAGAACAGGCTTCGGGATGCGGGAAAGAGAGATTGTCGCTATCAGTTGCCTCGTGAAGAACTTGAAAATCTGGGAGATGATCATCCCAGTTTTCGCTTCACATATTAGTTTACGTGGAAGATCAACAGATTCGACCTGTGGCTCAGCTGCAATATGCGATGAATCCACCTTCGTGTCGCCCAATCCTTCTTGAGCCAAATCTCAATTGGCTTTTCCTTCCACAGCAGTCTCTGACTCTTCTAAACCCTCCATTTACTCTGGGCTGAAAGGTTACATGAGAATATATACGACTCTCTGTGTACAGGCATATTAACTTATAATATCAGTTTCACAGTACTAATCCTATCCAGATAATACAGGACTTTATCTCCACTCCGCATTGGCTCCGTGTTTATGCCAGTGGCTATCAGTCACCTGGCCGCATATTCGGCCAATGTATCCATCTATTTAATTCTCTTTTCGTTTAGGTTACCTAAATACTACTGATTATCATTATCCACTTGCGGGTAATCCATGGCGTGATGATGGGATATATCGTTAGTACCTTCAGACGGTGAGAATTACTGAGTGCTATGAGAATATATCCCGAAAATATCTCTCGAATCTATGGCCACTTAAAATATTATGGCAATAGTACAAAAATTTGGCGATTTTTTTCATAGAAAGCATATTAGATCAGAGGAAGATCGCCAAGCTCATAACCTGGATGTCCCTGGATAGAACAGGACATGCTAAGATGTCAACCTTGATTTTCTATTTTTATATTTGACTTATACGTATGATTTCCATCGTCCGTTATGTTCTTGTTCTTGTTCCCTCTTTTGGGTTGTTACAGGTGCTTCCTTTTCGGATCCATGCAATCCAAAATACGCAGGTATCTGTGATCGCAGCGCGACTGTGGTTGAATGAAATCACCATGAAAATTGAGAAACCCCGAGAGAATGATCATTGTGCGAGAGATACGAACGACAAATGCCACATGTTGCTAATTACCTTAACATGTGACTTTCATCTCACAACTTGGATTTGTTCCACCAGATGTCCGGTCGCCACATTTCATTTAGAAGTCGGCTGGCGTTGACCATCTCTGGCCGCAGTTGGTCAAACGAAGAAACTCCCAGCATCTTCATCGTAATTTCAACTTCCTCGGCAAGGACTGAAATTGGGTTAGCAAAGGGCATTTCGTAAATCTAGGACTTTTTGCATGCCAAATAAACATACCGTCAGTGCACTTCTCGACGCCTTCTATACCATAGGCTGCCATGGCATAAAAGTATGGCCTACCCACTCCTACAGCGGTTGCCCCAAGACACAAAGCCTTGAGGACGTCGGCGCCATCCCGGAGACCACCGTCGACAAAGATCTCCAACTTGTCAAACGCCTCTGGGTAGTACGTACGGGTTTCCAATAGGGTCATTAGTGCGCTGGGGGCCGAATGAATCTGTCGACCACCGTGATTACTCAAAAGGACGCCCTGCACGCCGTGTTGAACGGCCAATTTGACATCTTCGACGGTTTGGATCCCCTTCAGAACGATCGGTCCGTCCCACTCGTCGGTGATCCATGCCAACTCCTCCCAATTGAGACCGGGGTCCAGGGACCCCGGCACAGGCCGGCCGCCTAACGCGGGACCAAAGGCATTACCAGCTGCAGCCTCCGGAACTGTCTGTTGACCTCCTTGATCGACAGCTTCTTGTGCTTGCAGGTAGCGAGCTGCCGTTCGTTTTCCCAGTGTAGAAGTGTCTACTGTAATCCATAGACTATGATAGCCAGCCGCTTTGACTCTCCGAATCAGTGATCGAGCCAAATTCCGATCCACGGGGACGTACAACTGGAAGGCCAGCTTGGACGGGCTCTGATTACCGAGTTGACACTGCTCGTCAAGGTGGGCCTTCATAATCTCTTCCAAGGACTTAGTTGATGCCGTGCTGACCACGATATGTAAGCCCTTCCGGGTAGCTCCTCGCACTAGCAAGGGCTCTGCGCCTGGGTGTGCCTCACCCAGTACTCCCATAGCCGAGACGAAGAATGGCTGACTGCCGGGTTGACCCAGGATATACCGAGTTGGATTCGGCAATCTAACACTCCTCATGATGCGAGGGCGGAAGTTGATTCGAGACCAGTCATCTAGATTGGATTGGAGTGATAGACCCGAGGCTGCGCTACTGGAGGCATAGACCCATGCTTCTTTTGGAAGAACTGTTTTTGCAGCTGCCTCGAAGTCTTTGGTAGTGACACAGAGGGCCAAACTGGGTGGTGCGGTATGGTGGTCGTTTGCCATGGCGTGTTGTTTGTGAGTGTAGAGCCCGTGTGAAATGCTTTGAAGTGTCTAGGAAGCATAGCAGACAACTAATTATGAGTAAGACGCCGCACACAGCATCTTATTGGAAAGAATCAGCATAAGATATGTGCATAGATCTTAAAGAATGTAGGACTTTAAAGAGCGGAAGGTAGTACCTATACAAAATACAGACTCTCCATGTGTGAATACAACTCTCCTTTCTCGGGTCTCTTCCGCCCGAGAGACCGTTGGAAATCGATCTCTGACGGAAATTCGGGCCATGGATCACTCTCATCTTCAACTTCACTTAACGGGCTCAAGATCAGGCACTAGCTAACTAATGGTTCGGAAGGCCGGGAAATATCCGCGACTGGAAGAGCGGTGTTGGGGTAAATCCAGACCTTTAAGTGGACGAGGAAGTATCCACTCTTCGAACTTGGCTTTCGCAAATTGATTCATACTTGGACTTAAGAAGATTATATATTGTCGAGACATGAAGGGGTAACTTACTACTCAGGCGGGTGGATATTGAGCACTTTTTTGTATATGTTGGTTCTATACCGTCGTTGCAGTCACGAAGGAAGGTTTGGTGCAAGGCTGTTCCTACTAGCCCACAAGGTGAGCGACCATATGTTAAATAATTTCATTGATAACTGACTTCTATAATTAATTTGAACATGGGAAAATAGGTAGTATTTATGACTAAACAAAGGGTCTAATGTGGCCCTGATTTGGCAAGAAAACGCTCGTACAAAAAGCTACTATGGTTTGGGAGAAACCATCGTTAGGACTCTAAGGGGTCCGTAAAACGGAGGAAAGATTCTCATTGGGGTAAAGATGTGATGGCTTCAGGCTAGGAGCTATGACAGGAGAGAGAGAGAGACAATCTGCGGGGGATACCACCCGACCTTATGGACCAGGTTCACCGCCCCCTGCAGAAATGCCTCACATGAATGACACGAGGTTGAATCCGAGACGGGTCTGCTTTGTCGGGAAATATCCGGCAACTGCGAATTTTGCGTACCGTCGTTCGGGTACCGCTATCGTTCCAAAAAAGCAAAAAACAAAGTCGACAATCGCCTGATCGTGCTCATCCCGACGGATCCTACGAATTCCATAGGGCTTTTTTGGTCGTGACCAGAAGTTCGTCCTTGGATTAGCTGGAGATATCCCACCAAGCAGTTCCTGACGTGAACAGGATGCAACTAACAGAGCTGTTGTATGTATAGCAATTGATTGCTGTCCAGGTCGCTTGCAACAGTGAGGTTTTACTTTCTTCATGGGCACGACGCTTTTCGGTTTCGTAGACATTCATGAGTACCCTATTGAAGCCTCACCTTGCACGTATGATGGTGACGGTGCTTAAGAACTGTCTAGCATGATCACTGCAGGATACACTGTCAAGGCGATCTCAAGTGGGCTCTTAATCAATTGATTCGTCCCACTCTAAAGCGTCTGGTGTAGTTTAGACGACTCAGGGTGGGTTGGGAAATAGAAAATCCTCGTCGATCCCCTGCAGAAAATGAGAAAGCCTGAGATCATCCAAGCCAAAGTCCCAACCGTGCAAAAGGGGGCTCGGAGCAGTAATTGGAGCACTGTAATGGCAATTGCCGTCCGGAATGTCACGAGCTACGTTATGCACTGCATCTCCATCCTGGCCAGTGTCTGCTCCACTTTCCCCTGCGTGTTTACCCGGTTGTGTTAGCTGTTCACGTTGTTGTTTCAAACCATTCAAGGCGATGGCATAATCCCGGGCGGAGGGATGAACATCCACCATGAGAAATAGAGTTTGCAAACAAGAATTCCATGCGTCGTCTCGTCGACGGCTGCTCACACCATCGATTACCGTGCCGTTTGTCTCTACTGCGATAAGAATAACACCAGCACTAATGAGATCTAGAAGAATGACGGTCGTTAGCTCCATTACACAGAATTCTGACCCAAATGGACCATAAACCTAGGACGCACAGAATATCCCGTACCACCAGGCCGCCGTAGCACCCTGCACTGTCGACTTTGACAATGATTCAATGAGCTCACAGGCGGCTAGGACACAGCCCTCTGCACAATACCGCTGGCCTAATTCGGACCATGAATCAGTCTTGGATATCGGGTAATCCTCTGCCTGCATAGTTACACCTCGGGTTCGCCCTCGTCTCGAGAGTGCTGTAAAACAATACGCACTAAAACCCGGGCGATATAATAGAAGTTTGAGGTGAAGATATCTGAGGCCAATGATGAGAACACGACATTGTCACTTCTAAATTGATGACTGCGGACGACTTACCGTGCATGGAGAGAATTTGATAGTCTTTTAAAAATAGGGTCCATCATGCAGCTCCATACCTGATTAGAGTCCCATCGGAGGCCAGGATGGAGTGACGACTGAAAGCCCTCTAAAGCACGTTCGATATCCATGACGGCTTGTCCATCTGAGGGAGGCAATTGGAGTGGTCCTTTGCCAGTATCTGCCTCAGTACTATGATAAATCGCTGAAAGTATGCTACCCAGGATCCCAATAAGTCTCATATTCTCGTATACGAACTGATTGTGGGAGATTGCGCCTGCTTGTGATTGTGCGTCCGATTGAGTCACTGTCGACAAACATCTGTCATCAACTGGTGAGGGGAGGGGAATTTTGCATGGGAGTCGAGTCATGGACGGGCGTCCCATAGTCATGCTGACCATGCTAAGAATCTGTCAACATCGCACGTCCGAGCGGGAGGAACTAATCAATATCCTTACATGTCCATCTGCACGCAGGCGCACCAGACTCGCCAGCGAATCTCTCGCTCCAAAGTAGTCAATTCATCGCAGCTTCGACTTAGATGCAATCCAATACCAACTGATATCCGATATGCCATACCCACAGCGTTCCAGCAACGTCGAGGATAAGGTGTGCATTGTAGATATAGTGAGGCTAGCAGCAGTGCCTGCACGTGGCCCAGATTCCCACTATCCAGTATATCGATGCTCATAAGGCCTTTCATGCGGTCATAAAACATCAAACTAGAGGACTGTTTCTCTTTGACGGGCATGTTGGAGAATTCGCATGCAATCGCGAAAATAGCATTCAAAGCACAATGAAATACCTCCATCGAGCACCCTGATCCCCCGATGCCCACGTCAGGTAGGCCATTCGGAGTTTCCTCGTCATTGCTAGACCACAGTTGCTCATAACATGTCATGAAACTTTCCCTATGCACCCAGGGATAGAACATGTGAGAAGTCTCGAAGTAGATCCCTAGAAGCCAGTCCGCGACTCGGCGCTGTGGTAGCGAAAAATCACGGGAGAGGTAGCATTTCAGAGGGTATTCGGTGAGGGTTGTAGATAGGGTGGATGGAGTAATAGGTTGAGTAGATCGGGACGTTGGAACCCGTCCAGATTTTTGGTTTGCAGAGGTATGGGTACACTGTTGAATGAACGACACGAGAGAAGACTGGCCGTAGTATTCGTCGGGGCTCCGGATGTCACAGATATCCGGTATAGCCGCTCCCATAGCACTGACGACATTCGAAAGGGTCGGTTCAGGATGTGATCGCTGATGCTGATGCAGCTCTGAGCGCGGGGAAAGCTGATACTCGATCTCTTCGGGAGATACTGAGGGGGCTGGAGTTGACCTCGCAACATTAGCAGTACTTTGTGCCAACTGATCTGTCGCACTGGAGCCGGCTGGGCTTGAAATCTGGCTGTCTCTGGAATTAGAACGTTGGCTAGTGGATTGTTGCAAGTATGAAATTTGCTCCTTGAGCATCTGCACATATCTGTTATACGGTTAGCAGGCTCGGTACAATAGCTAGCCTTGTTAATGTCCTGGAAAGCCTAGTAGCCCTGTAGCTTACGCTCGTTCAGTTTGATATTTAGCCGTATCTGCTATCACTAAATATTCACATTGGTCGGTGGATGTGCCTCGTCGTCGTTTGCAAGTGGAGCACACAGGCCTCAATCCATCACACCGGACTTTACGCTCTCTACAACTCTGGCAAGCCAATGCGACACGTTTTCGCTTTGATGAGGATTGATGCATTGACCCCTGGTTCTGTTCAGTGTGACAGATAGGACGTTGTTCAGTTGGAAGCTTTGGTGACGCGACTTTAAAGGTAGATTTGCTCAAAGGACGTACACTGTGAGACGATGGCGGCATGGCGTGATATGATAATCATTTGATTCACGGTGTTCTCGGATCCTTGGAGACCTCAGGAACCTTCTCGATCAGGGCCTGAATAGGGATTAAGGTTGGGGATAGTCGGCAAAGACATTTACACTGGAAAGTTGAAGTTGGGTTGAAATGTTGCGGGAGACTTCCGACGGCCGCTTAACGATTATTTGGTTCTCGATCAGCTTTGGACATGTGACGGGCTTTCGGGAATTACCCGCGGAAGGGGTCGTGCTTCGTCATGGACTTCTCTCCGCTTTCCCAAAACCCAATCAATGCTCAAGAATGGGGCCCAACATACAAGATAGTGCCAAACAGATCGAGGCTGCCGAGGTCTTGGTTTGAAATTTGAGACCCCGTTGAAATTACTGTAGCGTATGAGTGGATTGATTTGTGGGAGACCATCCTGTTATCACGTACCTACGAGGTCGGGGACCGTGGAGAGTGGGACAGGAACATCATTAGACCATGCTTCTGTGTCCCTTTCTCTTAGGCAGCGCATACTCCATACGGCTTCTTTGCGGGTGGAACAGAGGGTACCTTCAGTGCCGGTGAATAGACTATTCAAATTATAGCCTGCGGATGACTTCCTACAAGTAGGCTAGCGACTTTTCTGAAATGAATAAATGGCCTTGCTTGACAGAGTTCTCTGTACCTTGGTCTTTTGCGAGTTCGGAGGATCTGATCACCCACTAGAACGATGGTCGAAATGATGACAATTGTATTTCCCTGGAAGGACTGAGCATTCAACACCAAGTGGTATCTACAAAGAGTTCCCTCTTGGAAAGCCCTTACTCGATGTTATCATACAATGAATCGTTCGCATCCCCGCATACTATCGAGTATGGATTTCCTGTTCTGGAAATCAAGTAATTGACAACTTGCGGAGTGCTTGCCAATCAAGGTACGGGTTGTCCAGGTACATATATTGGGGTATCCCTGCATCTATAATTTCATATTCGACACAATATACTCAGCTAGAGTGAGAATCTTTTCCTCCTGCAATCGCCGACCGACCAGCTGAATCCCAACCGGAGCACCATCGAAGATAACTGCGTCATCTACGCTGCAACGTTAGACCCGACGCACGACGTCTTCCCGCACAGCGGTCCACTTACAGTCCAATGTGACCAGTTTATCTACCTCACTGAGGTACTTAGCTTGGACTGGGTTTCTGTCCAAGGTTTTATCCACATGAGTGACTGGAATAACCATGCTAGTGTAATCTAGGACGCTAACAAATGTAGTGTACCCAACGTCCCTAAAGTGTCCAGGGATAACGGCTGCTTGGGCCGCAACAGGACAAATAATAGCGTCAACTGGCCGCCCAGTACCGGTAAGCTGCGTGGTGGAATTCCAGTACTCTAGGTAAGCTTTCTGGTACTGTCGTTTCCGGACATTCAATGCGGCTACCTGGCTGGCATTTTTCTGTGTGCCGCTGTTAATGAAACTTTGCGGAAGTAATGTTTCGCCAGATAGTGAAAGCTGAGACAGGATATCCTCGCCCCCGTCCAGGCTGAAGGCCGTTGTCTAATCCACATCAGTATTAAAACATCACCTCTGTGGAAAGCATATACGAACAGCTATTTCAAGAGCCTCTTGGTGCGAAGGAGGATGCCACTCGATAGTCTACTTTAACTTTTAGACTGCATTCAGAGTATGGCCGATTTGCATACTTACACGGTGACCCAGCCGATTCAAAGTGTCAACTACCATCTTGATGGCACGCTGCACTGGTGGGTGAGGCTGAACAAATCCATCATGGAGCATGACTCCAAACGTAAGAACCTCCCCGTTGCTCTCGATCTGCGACCTCAGATCCAATTCAATGGAATCTCGCCAAGCCAGCTCCAAAACCAGCGGGTCATGTAACCACGGTTTCTCAGAAAGAACAGCCCGAAAAAGCAACCTGAGTGAAGAAACGCTTCTTGCGATTGGCCCAATCACTGACAAAATTGTGTTTTGGCCATCCATCGAGTTTGCTGCACCTTCGTAAGGCATTCGGCCTGTGGAAGGACGGAGGCCAAAAAGGCCATTGAAGACAGCCGGCACACGGATACTTCCACCAATATCAGTCCCAAAACCAGCCGGCGATCCCTGGAGTGCAATCAATGCTCCCTCGCCGCCAGAGCTACCCCCAGCAGAGAGTTGACGGTTCTTCGGATTACATGTATAGCCGACTATGTGATTGGCCGTTTCGCCAGCCATCAGAGTCGCTGGTACACTAGTCTTGCAGAAGAGCACCGCACCAAGGTTTTGCAATTCGCGCACGAGCTCACTCTTAAAGGTTTTTGCACGACGGTCTCCCCGTTTCCCTTCGAAAGTTCCTATCCACCCGACGTAGCCCATCGTCGTCTCAACCCCTGGCACATGGAATTGGTCTTTCAGGCTGACTGGAAGACCGTGTAAAGGTCCTACTGGACGCCCCTTTTCTGTGAAGTAGGCGTCGAGCTTCCTGGCGGCAATTATAGCTGCATCGAAAAAGATCTCATGTAAACAATTAACCTGCTCAGTTTTATCCGGCTCAGCGTTAGTAATTTTGCCTCTTCAAGATCCAACATACCAGCTGATGTGCAATTGCTGCTCTATGACAAAAGGCTTCCGTCACTTCTACAGATCTCCATTTTCCCGAAGTCGTATGCTCCGTGATCACAACAGCGTCCGCGTTAGTGATTGCTATCTCCCTGGGACTCAAAAATTGCTGGATATAGTCTCCAGTAACATCGGCTACTTCTGACCCCGGACTTATTGATCCAGGAATTCTCCATTTTGGCGGAATTGCGTCAAGGATCGCCTGTTGTTTAGCTCTAGCGGTGTTTTGCCACGGGGGAAACTGGGTGGTCATTTTTCACAGTTCGGATGCTAGCAAGTATTGAAGCCAGGATATGGGAAAGAGATCTCAATCCCGACAAATCAATTCTGTCTTCTATTTAATGGTCGTGCGTGGATGGTGGGTTGGGGGGGAGGGTTATGACCAGCAAAGCTAATGGTCGGTCATTGGTTGCGGAGAATACCCGGCGCAGCTGTTGATGTAGTACACACTTGAGGGCACGCTGAACATGAATGAACCATCTACAACCCGAACCACCGTGTTTCTCTCGCCCATTGAACCTTGTTCATGGCATCTTGCCAACTAGCAAAGATAAGAACGGGTACTCCACCAATCACAGCATTATGAATAGCATAGAAGTCATCCACTGATATTGGTCACGCTCTCGGGTAAAACCCAACTTTGTGGCGGTTTGGTTCGCAGCATGCGCCGAAACTCGGCAAATAGCCGAAACCCCATATTCATCCGTATCATCACAAAATCTGGGGAAGCTAAGCAATGACGCCGATCGTGGATTCACTTGTATATAAAGCCTATATTTATTTCGCAACCTTTCCCCGAGTTTTGTATATCACTTCTCTGAGTTACATTAATTAGGAATCTTCGTCATCCTTGGTTGGTTATTACTTTCGTGAGCCATTCCTGCTCCAAAGTCCGAGAATTGACTCAAGAGGTCCAAAATGGATCTCGGAATCCTCAGGGACACCAAACTCGAGCATGTTCCAGGCACCGCTCCCCTGAGTGAACTTGGTCGTGAAGTCTACAATACCAGTGGAGTGGACTCGAGCATCCTCAAACATGATCCAACCGGCACTGTTATCTTAGTTCCTCAACCTTCGGACTCCCCCAACGATCCTTATAACTGGTCGCGAGCCAAGAAGGAGCGATTCACAGTTGCTTTTGCGTTTGGTTGTGGTGCTGTTGGTGGTTAGAGACCTCACTCCATCTTCGAAGCATGGTTGATAACAAAGCTAATTTTATTCATAGCTGTTGGCCCTCTTTTAGGAGCTGCGTTTGTTGGACTTGCAACAGAGTTCGACGTCCCTCTGTCCACCTTCATCAGTGGAGTTCAGGGGGGTCTCCTCGTTGCTATTGCTTTTGGTAGTTTAATCTGCAATACTTTAGCTGTCAAATATGGAAAGCGACCAATTTACCTTATTACCACTATTGGTTTGGTGGTCACCTGCTTTTGGGCAGCGGTTGCCAAAAGTTTCATTTCACTGGTTGCTGCACGAATTATTCAGGGATTTTGTATGGGACCCCTCGAAGCTCTCGTGCCGGCTTCGATCGCTGATGTTTGGTGAGTCTCCAATATCTGGTAGTCAAGTACTGAATCTAACCCTCTCACAGGTTTGTACATGAGCGTGGGTTTAGAACTTCAATCTTTAATCTTGGTGTTCTTGGGGGAATCAATCTTGCACAACCAATTGGTATGGCTCCCTTCTTTCAATAAGATCTAATCCAAGCAAAGTTTGCTGATACCAATTCCCGCAGCGGGTGCTATCATTCAATACGGCAGCTATAAGATTGCTTTCTATGCGATGGGAGGCGCTTTTGGACTTACCTTCCTCCTCATCTTACTGTGGATGCCAGAGACTGCTTTCGACCGTGCGAATGCGCGTTCGGTAAATTTGGATATCGGTAGCAATAATGTGAGATTCAGTGTTCCCTACCCCGAACACAATGAAGCTAACTTCACCTAGATTCTGACAGAGCTCGAGATTGTCCATAAGATGGATACTAAACACATCGAGAGAGAAGACAATTCATTGCCTGCAACAGACACTGTGTCCCCCCAGGCTTCTGAGGAGATGCCTTATACGTGGATGAGAGAGATGCTTCCATATGGAGGTTACGTCAATCATGTCTCCTTCTGGAACACTCTTCTCCGGCCTTTTGCTATGCTTGGTTCACCACCAGTAATGTGGGCAACCCTTCTCTTTACCACTTGTATTTCATGGCTCGTGGGAATCTCCATCACGCTCTCACAGATATTTTCCGCACCTCCATACAGCTTCTCGGTCATTGGAGTCGGCTGTACTAATCTTTCCTCCTTTATTGCCTCGCTTCTCGGCACATTCACAGCCGGCCCACTGATTGACGGTATCGTTCGGAAAATGTCCCTAAGAAATGGTGGAACTTTCGGTGAGTTCACTTGTACTCCACGTCGCTGCTTGATTCCTCACCATATTCATTCTCTAGAGCCCGAATTCCGTCTACCTATCATGGTCACATACCTCCTCTTTACCGCCACTGGATTTTTTGCCTGGGGGCAATCGTCCTATGCTCAGAATCCATGGCCGGTTCCCGTGATAGTTGGCCTTGGATTCATTAACTTCGGAATCCAACTGGGGACCACGGGTGTTGTAGCTTACGTGGTAGATTGTCATCGTGAAAAATCCGGTGAATGTTTTGCAGCGATGAACTTTATCAAAAACTTGTTTGCTTTCGGGCTGTCGATGTATTTGAATGACTGGGTTTCAGTGCAGGGGGTGCGGAATGTCTTTTTTGTCTGGGGTGGAATTACTATTGGGGTAAGCTTTTTGACTATTCCAATGTATATTTATGGAAAAAGGGCAAGAAGCTGGACACATCGGCATAATATTGCTGGGAAGGCTTAAACAGCTGACAGATGGCGTATTATTTTGCTGCGGTGTAGCTATGCATGGCTGACGATAGAAATTACTTCACTATAATCCCGGTCAGCAAAATTGGAGCGAATAGAATTCGAATTCGGGCACCTATATAGCCCATATACAATCCATAAAATAGTATAGAGCCGAATTGGCTCCCAAGAATGGTTAAATTAGTAGTTTCCTCAGTCGAGAAATATGTAGCTAGGTCTCTAGCTTGACCGGCTCATCTCGTTATTTTTTTTTTGCGATACAGTGAGTGTTCGAAAACTGATAGACAATCAGCCCGATCCAGACCAACCGAATTAGGTCAATACAAAAATAATCATGGAGCGGAATCAGACTATACAAAAAAAATCAGAGTTAGTTAAGCCACATGAGAGCATGAGGATAAACAGTTGTAGCACTTACCTTGGCTCCATTTTGAATGTTTACAGTGCAGCACTAACAAAAAGAAAGGCATCAAGTACCAATCGATGCACCTTTAGTGATGTTCATCAGCTCGAACTTCTAGACATACCTAGGCCGCCCAAGAAGTATTTTCTCTCTGGAATTTTCCAACTAATCAGCAAATTTTCATGCCGCAATTCTATGTACGACCGGTGAAGAATGTTGTGACCAGAGTCTACTGCAACAACTCCAGCCAGCCACTGGAGACGGTAGTATCCTCTAAGTGTCTGTACCAATCATCAAGATGCATGCCTGAGTGTATAAGACCCCTGCTGATGACGTGTAGCCCGGAAAATTGATTTCCAATTCGAGATTTTCCAACGAACTGATCAATTTTTAGTGCCCGAAGGCTCTCAGAGATCTTTAGTGGGACAATTAAGTATGTTAACTTCGAAGTCAACAGTTCAGCCTGACAGTATCCCGCCTCTTATACAAATAACACTTCTCTATTCATAGTGCACCACTATAACGATGAAGATATGGATGATCTGATGAAAAAAAGAGGTGAAAAAAACCTCTTGAAAGAAATCTGAAAGGTGCGTACTTCGCCGATTAAGTGTAGCGGTAGGTAAACAAATACTCACGCCCACAAGCCATGGAGCGGGGAAGGTTTGATGAAGACTTCCACAAACAGCAACAAGAATATGTGGACAGACTTTATAGAGAAGTAACGGATGATACATGTCAGTGGGTCTACCAGACACAAGAGTATTGCGATTGGATCAAGCAAAAGCACGGTGTGCTTTGCATCAAGGGTTCTCCTGGGTCTGGGAAATCATGTCTACTCGCTTCAATAATCACCAATCGGTCAGGTCTGGCGCCGGAGCTCCGTACAAACTCTTTGGTCATGAAACTTTTTCACAATCATTTAAATCGCCCAAGTTTCTCGCAGATCCTGAAAGCTATACTACTAGAGGCTTTAGGAGAGAGTGCCAAGTCATATATTCCGGTCGATCTGAATGGCCAAGTTGAAATCAGCGATGAGGACTTAGAAGAAGTCCTTTTCAAAGTCTTGATTGACATTGGTCAAACCAAGCCAGTCTTTTTACTCCTTGATGATATCATCAACCTCAATAGCGAAGCGAATGGTCCTCTAGTACCATTTCTCGGACGACTCTTCGACAACGCATCTGCTGCCGATATACCATTACGTCTTTGCTACTCCAAACGTGACTATCCACCATTGGAATTGCCTCGCTCCCTCGTTGCCATTCATCATCAAGTTCGGGTCGACGCCTATAATCAGCCAGACGTTCGCTTGCATGTTGAGAAAAGGATGAGGAGAATATTTTCAGGTTGGGGAAGGCGTCCCGAGTTATCCCTAGTCGACCAAATAGTTGAAATGGTCGGCACAGGATTTGCTGTTGCGAACTCATACCTGAACGATTTAAAGGAAGTTCATCCAACGGCGATGGAAGATAAGTTGATGTCTGGGCGCATATCTCCGACACAAGTACATTCAATGTGGGAGCATATTTTGCAGGATGCACTGTCGCTGAATGGATCGCGCGAGACAAAGGCAGTAGCTATGATACGGTGTGCACTTGCGGCCCAAAGGCCACTGAGTATTGAGGAGTTCTTCAACATCTTCAATATCTCGAGTGGCACTGAGGTTCAGGAGATGGAATCTTCATTAACAGCAGAATCGCTAGGTTTACTGCACACCTCAGTCAATGAGTCTAGTTACGACAAGCTAGGAAGGCAACGAAAATTTGTTTCCTTCGTCCAGCCTACATTAAGAAAACACTTGGAAAATCCTAAATCCGGTGATTTTCTGATCACCAGACTGAATCAAACCCAGACTGAATTCATTGCGGAAGGCCATGGTTTTTTTCTGAGGAAAGGTATCGAAAGTTTGAAGGCATATCTTCCTGACTATCGGAATAAATGGAAGAAAGTCCTTCCAGAATTTGTGGAAGCAAAATTATCCTTGGACCCCGAACGCAATCCTCTCTTTGATTTCAGCCCTATATTCAAATCTTATCCATTCCTCAAATACACGCTATATAATTTGTTCATTCATGCTGCGCGGATGAGAGGCACGGACGAAGAACGAGGCCTGCTTGCAGAGTTTCACGAACAGGGACATGGTGTTATTAAAGCCAGCAAATATCCTTGGGAAGATCATGAACAATACACTATTTTCGGAGTTTGGTGTCATCTGAATAATTGTTTACTAGGGCTCAGAATATATGGACCATCGGTAACTTTGATGCATGTACTCGCTCAATTCAACATGTCGGAATACTTATCCTGGGGGCTTAAACGGGGCTGGAATTACAAGGTGAAGACCGAGAGCGACCAGACAACTCTGCATTGGGCAGCATACTACGGAAGTGAGCAAGTTGCGAAAGTTCTTCTGGAACAGACCTTTGACGACGAAATTGATGTTTTTTGGAAACCAACACAGAACAAGGACCCATTTTATGTTTGGTCAACTTATATAGGCTACCGCGAATGTGACTACATGAGAAGCGCACTCCATCTTGCTGCTGCCAAGGGAAACGTAAATATCGTTACTCTGCTGCTGTCTTTCAAGGAGGAGCTAAAGGAGGAGCTTCGAAAGATCTTGCATGGCATGCTTCCAATAGCGAAAATCAATGAGGATACCTTAACAATCGATTCCGCTTGGGATCAATATCTCAATTCCATTGAGTGGAAGGTTCCCACTGTCCTTGAGCACGCAGTTGAAGGACATCATGCAACTGTCGTCGAGAAGCTTCTAGAGCATGGGGCGGATTGGAGGTTGCACTCTGGCCCACAATCCCCCTTACAGTTGGCGATGAGATTGGCACAGGATGAAGCCACTCTACGACCCGCTACCAAAACAATCGTGCGGATGCTGAAAGCTGCAGCTTTTGCAGTTTTAGATAATGCGAGTAGTCTCGAGTACGAGGCCATCTCATACGACAAGCTATTTGAAGCTACTCGGATCGATATCAATCGTTCCGGTGTAACAAGAACTCAGATTGCAATTCCTGAGTTGCTAAGTAGCCACGAGCTTTGCAAGGGCAATTCACAACAACTCACTTGGTATCATCTTCCCGCAAATAATGTCAGTTGTTACTCTACAAAGAATCTATAGGCAGCCAGCTAACGACATTACAGATGAGATGGGCAGAGGTATTTGACTCCGTGGTCGGATGTTGGTTCTTTTATCAATATATCTGACTTTAAGTAGATTCTGATTTTTCGTTTGTTTGGAAAAGACAAACGGGACGAAGTACTACGCCATGAGATGTGGACTGAACGTCAGATTCACGGCTCTGAAAGGTCCTATATATCATTTATGAGACCTGGATGTGACAAAGTCGCTGCGGAGGACTTTATTCTATTTGTAAGTCAGATCGACTAGGAGCGGGATCAATACCGATGGATGTTGAAAGCTAACTTTTCCTATTTTTAGATGCCCTATATTCATTGGGAGACACAGAAAAAGCAGAGGGGATTAGAGACTCTTCTACTCTGCAAGTTTCTTTTGGGGGTGGACCCTGATAGGCTTCCCTCCCTTGTCCGTCAACTATCGGCGGAAAATAATGATCTTCTAAACGCTTATGCTGACAACAATTCCGGTATTCCTGGAATCGCCACTCTTAGTCAGGAGTTCCAACTATTTTTAAAGGTAGTAGACAATTCAGAGAAAAATATACAGTCTGCGAAGCATCGTCTTCGACGGGCCATGAATGACTACAAATCTGGAGCCTGCGTGTCTGATCGAGATATGCGTTTAATTGATCTCTACACGATGAAGCCAGGCAATAAGCATTCTCTGCACATCCGTAGGACGCTTGATCAATCGTTTTATCATACTTTAGACAGCACATCCACCCGGAACAAAGATCAGGTGGTCACACGGTACGGCCGAAGAGAAAAGCGAAAACAACCTGTGGTCATGATGGTAGACCAACTGTGGCTCTGGTGCATTGACGGTATGTTGCTTCTTCCCTGTCATGATTGAGATATATGGCTTTCGGCAAGAATCATAAGGATGACATCATTTCAGGTACTGTGATTACCTGCTTCCCACAAAGACGCGAATGTGGCCTTGATGATCCGGACAGGTACGACATGACAGATGTGCTTGAAAATATCTTTCAAAATATCAGTTCCGGCATCTTGAAAGAACAGACAAAGAAAATAAGGGCTCTTTTACCCCAGCTAATTATCAATGAGTGCATTCAAGCATGTTTCGATCCGATGAAAAATCTTGAGGATGATTTCAAGTTTCTAGACATGTTCAGCAACTCTATCAGTAGAATCGTAAGTTTATTGGCTGGTCAGAAAATAGCTCTTAACTAATTTTATGTGTTCATTAGGCTGATGGAGAAGTTACTAGCTACGAGCGCTTCGTAAAAATGCTAAAGATATCTGGCCAACAGGATCTGATGGACATAGACACTGAATCTTCTCTCCTTCGAGAAATGAAGGACATACTCGATGAGCTGCGCATGATAAAATTGGTCTTCATTGATCAAAAAAGGGTAATCGAGACCTTTCCTGTTCAAGAGAGTGCGGTTGCAGACTGGACGGTTGCCCGCAAATCTGTAGAAATTTATTTATACAAAGTCAGATCGATGCAGGACGAGGGGGAAAGGACAGTAACCTCGGTATGTTAATGTCCTACTATACAGTATTTGAATTATGATCCAATACTAACTAAATTCTAGCTTAATGCTCTGATGGATCTTCGCCAGCGACATGCCACACTCTGGGAAGCTAAATCAACAGGGAGACAAGGAAACACCATCATGGTCTTTACAGTTGTTACGATCCTTTTTGTAAGCTCCAAATAACTACCAGACTACGAGAATCGTTTCCTAATCGATTAAAGTTGCCCGCATCATTCATGGCCTCCTTTTTCGCATTGCCTGTGCTGCAATTTTCTAGGACAGACTCAGATAACATGAACCTGACTTATGTCGTGAAATGGATAAGTTCGTTACACTTTACGCTCTAAATCCTGCCCCTCACGTCTGTGAATGAGGATCGAGAACTAATAAGACTATCACTCAGTGATATTTACCATTCCCGTCGCTGTCTTCTTTGTTTCGCTTGCTTTTTACATCAATGATCTTCTCAACGCTCTTTCGCGCATTACCGGGCACGAGCAGAGAGTCGCCAAGAGATTAGCTGAGGCTGAGAGAAAACAAATGAGGCATGGGTTCATCACCGGCCTGGACGATTGGAAAAATCAGGACGAAATGGAAGGGAAGTATGGAGAAACCGCGAAGCAAGACTTTCAGGGCAGTGGAGGACAACGAATATTTCAACCAGTGGCTCAAGTGGAAAGTTGGCTCAGAAAACGAAAGAGGAGAACAGATAGTCTACCTAGGTAGTGTAGCACATGTGGATAAACCAAGAACGTCGGATCAGCTGACTTCAGAAACCCTCAAATACTCCTCCTCATTCTCGTTGACAACCAGTAAACAAGCAATACGGTCTACGAAGACGTACGAAACCATCCACATATCTATCAAAAGTGGACATTGATCATAACACATGTACTAGCCCTGTCTGCAGCATTTGCCGCCAGCATGCACCAAGCCCAACTATATCCTGTATCAGGATTTAACTCAATTGAGACAAGTAAGCGACATCCATAAAAAAAAAGAAGTGTCAAGTAATCAAACGACCGCGTCATAACCACAATCGAAACAAGCTCTCATATCTAGGTATCTTCTCAAATAACCAAACATTCATTCTCCGAGCGCCCATCTACAAACAGTGATGGCCCCTGCGAAAGCATTTTCCTCTTTCAATGTTGCTTTTTCGTTCAGACATCCGGCTATTGCGATTTGAAAAGTCTGCACTGTCTGTATTTCATTGGCTACATTACTTGGTAATATCACGCCACTCGATCATAACTACCTTTTCCAAGAGGCGCCCACAAAATGGCAATCAATCAGCTTATTGAACCTCTCATGATATCCTCCGCTAGTCATATACAGCATGATCAATTGCTAAATCTCAACTAGTAGCTAGTGGCTCACAACTTCCGAGGTTCATGAATCTGTCTCGATAGTTTGATGCCGAAATATATTTATCCGCAGCTCTGCTCACCAGACGTTTAAGAATGATGTTGCGTCTCATTAGAAATATCTGTGGACATTACCTACCTAGGTAAGCATGATACTACATGTAGATCCAGGTAAATACAACCTCTTAAAAGTCCGATCGTCTGTACCTAAGTAGTCATCCATCTTATAACTACATAGCACCAGTCTATCTACCTAACCCTAAGCCCTAACCGAAGCTCTGGCCAGCCCGATCCAGACCAACCGGATTAGGTTAATACAGTCGCTGTTAAACTGTTTCGCCGTGTTTAGTTCTCGACTTATCGTTTTTCTGATGGATATGTAACCTAGTTGAACTCTGAATTATTAATCTTCAAAATATGTAGCGCCTTGTTTATAGTGTGGCTGCCATCAGCCAATCAGCTATAGGACTATGCAGGCGAGCGAGAAACCGTCACTTTTTCCGTGTTGTCTAGCAAATCTATCTTTAGCAGCCGGCGCTTACTGCTCGTCCAATCCGCAACGCCCATCCCCTCTCTGTTGTGCTTCTTAAGATGCATACTTTTTGACTATCTGGCAAATCGTCGACGAGCATTGACTAGTCGCCTGCAATTCCTGGCTTGTTTGCGATGACTATTGGATGCCCAACCACTTTAGCGTTCTTGCTATCCACTCAGCATCGAGCAACAACATAAACACTCGCGCCGAGTGTTCTGCAAGACGATCAGCACAGGCCAATGGAGGCCACCGGGCCTCCTCCATGGCCTGTTGATAAGGTGTTTATCGATGCATTAGTCTCCCTTGGTCGCAGTTCGCGTGGGGTTTGTGAGATCATTCTGCCCAGCCAGTGTTCGTCTTACCCCGGTGTTCTTTTTTTATCTCACGTATAATATGGTGGCATCTGGCTCAATCTCTTCGCTTTCCTCAATTCACCGTCTGTGCTTTTTTCATGTTGGATTTTCCGTTTTTCTGTTTCTCTTCGACATTGTCTTTGTCCTGATCTCTGTTTCTGTCTACTAATAATACATACGATCTTTGCTGGTCAAAGAGATAATCATCGCCAGTCCGTTGATCGGACAACCATGACATTTGGAAATACCCTTCGGACATATTATTGCCGTTGAGATCAGGGCAAAGTTTTTATCGCCTTATTACGTTTAATTTGAATACAAGTGATCCGGAATCACTTACATACACCATGGCAGACTCTCACCATCGCCAGGTCGCGACCTTGAGCTCGCCGCTGCGGCTGGCCCGCAAACCACTTCTTAATACTATAATGGAAGCCAGTGAATACTCACCCAAAGAAGACTCACCCCGTGAACCACAGAGTGTGCGACACGGAGTGACGAGAGAGAGTTTACATTCTATTCAGATCGCAATGTCATTTTCGCCGGAGACAGCGCGAAGAATATCGACTCCGGCGGAAAGTCTATCGTCGACTTCATCGTCGTGCTCGGATGAGGAATGGCAGCAAGGTTTACGACCCTTTGATGATCTTTACGATGCATCAGATGACGATGAGCGTGAATGCCCTTCTTTGACGGAAAGTCGGCCTAGCAGTCTCGCGACTATGTCGATTAGGAGTTCCACATATTCGACCAATAGTCGAAATCGGTATCCGAGTCTTATGATTCCGACGGCGAGTCTGTGGCCGTCGCTCGTGAATCCGCATAAGAGTTCGCCTGTGCCGCCTACTCCCCCTCCAAAGATTCCCGTTTCACCGGCGACGTTGTCGATGCTTCCGGGGAATGTACCGGCATTGCATGCTCCACCCTCCTTGGATGGCAGTTTGTCATCCGATCAGATTTCAAATATCAGTTCTCCAGCCACACCTGATCTGCGTCCGGTAAGAGATCATAACTGGGACACTGATATAATTCGTGTACGACAAGACTCCAATGCACCCAGCAGCGCTGGTGCATCCAGTACCGACTTGAACGCCGACGAGGAGAGAGCGATTGAGACGGGCGATGACTGGAACCCTCTCATCGACAGTTTTCCTGCTATCCCTTCCAGATTTGAAAGTCAAGAGCCGGCTGTCCTGTCGCTCGACATTTCTTATGACCAACCCGTCTCGGCCAGATCAGACAGTCCCGGACTCAACGGCATCATGCTCCCACCAGCCGCCATCGCCACTCTTCAACACATCCCACTAGATCAGACGCCTGGTCCCTGGTCCGAGATATCCGAGAAGAACGACGAAATGTGGCAGCTTTCCGCTCCACCAACCAATCGCCATCAACGATCTTCTCCGCCTCCAGACGCGACCCCAGAATCTGAGCTGTCTGGTTACAGTTTCACGAATCTGAGTATCCCGTCTCCAGGTGGGTTCTTCTCGTCGCTTGACCCCAAATCAAGATATACGTGGTCATTGCCTAGTGCAATTATTCCGCCGACTTCCGCTGTTGCGGCGCGGTTTTATGATGTTCCTTGGAGTCAAGATCAGGGAGAGGTAGTGGAACATGTGGTTGAGGTTTCAGCGGATGAGAGCTTGGCCGATGATCAGCCCACTGCTGTTCCAGTCACTGCAATCCGAATCCCCTCTGCGCAGCACACGCGTAGTGACTCGCACGATAGCACAAGTCCCGTGGTCGCGGATGTGCAGGAACTTGACCGATCAGGCGTTCCCGCATATGAATATGACGAAGCTTACGACGATGAACTGAAGCGTCAAGCTGTCGCCAACCTAGACCGAACAAGTGTGTGGCTCGCAGCTCAACACTCATACTTGTCCGCCCTCAGCGAGACCAACCCCGTCAACGAGGTAGCTGTGAAGAAAGAAATTGAGCCGGTCGATGTCGAGGATCGGCCAACTTCCTCATCGTCAGCAGCAGTAGACTCCCCACCTCGCAAATCAGTCCGTTTCTCGGAGACAGTCCAGGAATTGACAATCTCCCCTCTTCCTCCTCCACCAGATGCAAGCAAAGATTCCATCTACTGGCGCGGATTTCAGTTTGTCTTGCAACAATCTCGTCGTCGCGATGTCTTCTTGCACAGCGATATTCGCTTTGATGCTATTCAGTCTGTCCGTTTGGGATTTCCGCAAAAGCACCGCACTGCATTACTCGGCAAGTTCGAGCTGGAGGCGCCAGAACGACCTGGATACAAGGGACCGTTTTCACAGGCACCACGGAAATCAGTCCTTGCAGAAGTCCTCGCTGATCAAGCTCTGTACTCAAACCTGGAGAAAGAGCAAATGGTTCTTTCACAGATATACCAGTCAGTATGGGCCGTTGATGCAATGCGCTTCCTTAACGGTGGTCGTCTCCTTTCCCGACCAGCCACAAAACGTCTCTCGATCGCATTGAAACAAATGGCAAAACCAAGCCCACAACCCGGGCCCAAACGTCGATTGAGGGTGCTCGACCTCGGCGGCCAAGCAACCTGTGGCTGGGCATGGCAAGTCGCACATGACTATCCAGACGTCAAGATCTACACTGTCGTTGGCAAACACCAAGAAGTCAACAGCCACATCAAGGGACCCATCAACCATCGTCGCGTGTCAGTACCATGCTTATGGAAGTTACCCTTCCGCAACAATCAATTCGACGTTATTTCAGCTCGATCCTTGCACGCTCTTTTGAAAACCGAGCGACCCGCCGGCGAAGATTCCGATGAATACGACCTGTGTCTCAAAGAGTGCTACCGCTGCCTCAAACCAGGCGGCTATCTCGAATTCTTCACCATGGATTCTTCAATCGCTCGTGCCGGCCCGCTTGGAACCGCGGCATCCGTCGAGTTCACCTTCAATTTGAAAACGCGCGGCTACGACCCATCACCAACACGCAGCTTTTTGAGTAGATTGCAACGCTCAAACTTTGCGGATATAAAACGTGCCTGGATGTTTTTGCCGATGGGGATTGAGCCTACGAAGCCAGAACCGATGCGCGAGACTCCTAATCCTAGGGTGAAGAGTCAGATTGATTGTGAAGCTATCCAGGGGCCTGTTGGAAGTACAGGCGATGTGGCCAGCATGACTGGCTTGTTGGGTGGATGGATGTGGGAGCAATGGCTGCTCAAGACACAGATGGAAATGGGCCGCGAAGAGAAGGAGTTGCTCAAGGATATAGGTGGTGTGTTTGATGAAGGGAGAAAGCTTAATGCGGGATGGACCTGTTTGTCGGGGTGGGCGATGAAGCCGAGGCGTGGGAGCCAGCAGCGGTTGACGGTAATGAGTGGGTTGAGTGAGGGGGATAGTTTCTAGCTTGCTACCAATTTCCTATGTTATGTGTCTCGTTTTTTCCGTTTTCTTGAAATATACCCCCTAGTGTTCAAGGTTGTTTTGCTTAATTGTGTTGCCCCGTCTCGATGTGTTGCGAATTATATATGTATCTGTATGTTAATATCACATCTCCCACAAAATAATATCAAAAACTCAACCATAGGTTGATAGTATTCACCTTCAGGTTTCGAAGTCTCATGAAATAAATGGATGCATGAATGTTTAGGAGGCAGAAAGTTGAGTCTGCGATTGTATGTAGACCACGTGACCTTACCACAAAATGCGGAGTCGTACTGACTTTCCGCTGCCCGCTTTCAATCACTTCAGAAATCAATCACTTAAGCTCAACTTTGAAGAAACTAAAACCAGCAATTTCGTGTGGAAAGAAGCTCTTCTTCATATTAAGAGACCGACAAGCAAGCGATAGGCAATGCGATAAAGCTTCAATTGCAGCTTCAGTGACTTTACCTACCACCTTCCCCGCCAGACCTCACCCATTTAATCTCTACAGCATAGGTAGTCACCATGTTGTTCTTCAGGTGCGACTACAATTCCAGGCCAAAACCTCCTCCAGTTCAACATACATTAAACTGACATGTTTTGGGGGTTGGGTTGACAGCTTCTTCAAAACCCTAACAAACCACATCGTAACGGTCGAACTCAAAAACGACATTCGCATCCGCGGAACACTGAAATCAGTCGACCAATACCTCAATATCAAGCTCGACGACGTCGATGTGCTGGATCTAGACAAGTATCCGCACTTGTCATCTGTGAAGAATATGTTTATTAGAGGGAGTGTGGTGCGGTATGTGGTTTTGCCGTCTGCGGAGGTTGATAGAGGGTTGTTGGAGGATGCGACGAGACGAGGTTCGTTCCTCTTTTTTTTTTATAACTATGAAATATGATACGGGTGAGGGCTAATGGGTTTGTGTTGGAATGCAGAAGCGGCGAATCAGGCTGGAAAGGCGCGATGAGGAGTTGTGATGAGTCGCTACGATGAAACAGGAAACGGTCGAAGAATGCGATAGTGTCGGACTCAGAAGATACCCAAATTATGAAGGAGAGATGGCTTTACAATATGAAATATGGCTTATATTCGACCGGCCCAATACTTCGGGCCTGTTGATGATGGGCTGGATGCCATAAAGGTCCTGGACTGATTTGGGGCCGGGTTGGTAGGAAGAATCAGTCAAAACACACCTGGTCACCACGTGTAGGGACAGCAGCATGATTATGGCGCAGAAGACGTGACGAGGTCATGTCAATTCAAATGAAAGGAGTCTGGAGCTAATTCCTTCAATTCATCTTCTTCAATGTTTCAACCAACTCTTGGCCATCAGGATTCTCGGAGTCCTCTCCACACAGCCACTAGAGGCTGTGCGGATGTCTCCTTCCAGTAATTCCACTAGCACCGAACCACTCAATGAGTCAAGGTTCTAGAGTCACTAAACTAAAATTATCGAAGAGCCTCCGGAGTAACGATCTACACAATAGTGCACATGATCTTAATTAAATCTCACATGTTACAAGTCAGCACTAAAAATCGTTGAGGTATCTTCTTACCTATTCCATACTACCCTACCACCTACCTTTTTAACTACTTTTGACTGCGTCTTCGGCTCTTGGTCCCACCACCTCGTATACACCATTTCACCAACCAACCAACCAACCAACCAATACAATGCAGCTAGCCTTTGGGCCTTGGACTTTTGCCAAAATTTGCCAAAGAATCTCCAAACCAGCCGCAGTTTAATTCTCATATCCTAAACCAGAAAACAAAGTTTCAGCCTCAAATGGCCATTGTGGCTTGGCCAACGAGCCAAGATCTTCAGTCGGGCTGTGAATGGTTCGGTATTTGTGGGAAATGAGGGTGATGAAACATACGACCTATTTTTTCGTTGGTTATATGTTGCAATAATGCTACCTATCCTTGTTGAAAATGTGAGATTTCTGAAACGCTGATCACATCTCCTCTTTTGGAACTTTTCGAAGACGTTGATTTCGCTAGTCAATTTTGGGTGCGGGTATTTAAGGATGGGTGAAGGCGCACAAGTTGCTACTGGATGGGCAGCTTGGTCGAGTAAGAAGAAAGCAATCATCATCACAGTCATGGTTTCGTCTATTGTTGCGCTAGGCGTTGGGCTTGGAGCCGGCCTTGGAGTTGGACTTCACCACCACACTGCTGCTGCTACATCTACCTCGACACCAACGGCAACGGTTTCCGCAGCAGCAGCGGCGGCTACTGCTACATCTACTACAATCTCTTCCGCCAATGGCACATACTGGCAGCCAACGGCCGGCACAACATGGCAAATCGAGCTTCTCTACAAGCTAAACGACACTTCCATCGACGTCCAAGTCTACGACATCGATCTTTTCGATACCGAAGCCGACCAAATCTCTTCTCTGCAAGCCGCAGGCCGAAAAGTGATTTGCTATTTTTCGGCGGGTAGCTGGGAGAACTGGCGTCCCGACGCGGATCAATTCAACTCTACCGATCTGGGCGGCGATCTCAATGGCTGGGCAGGCGAGAAATGGCTCAATATCAGCTCGACGAACGTGCGCAACATCATGGTGAACAGGCTCCACATGGCACAGCAAAAGGGGTGCGATGGCGTTGATCCGGATAATGTTGATGGATATTCCAACAAGGAGAATGCGCTAGGCCTGACGCAGCAGATGTCAATCGACTATGTCAATTTCCTCGCCGAAGAGGCTCATTCTCTCAACATGTCGATTGGGTTGAAGAATGCGGGTCAAATCATTGATTCGGTGATTGATAATATGCAGTGGTCTGTCAATGAGCAGTGTGTTCAGTATGAAGAGTGCGATACCTTCACCGCGTTCACGGATGCGAATAAGCCGATTTTCCATATTGAGTACCCCAAGGGCGACGATACAAACAACAACAATGATGTTACGAGCGCGCAAAAGGAGAAAGCGTGTGTGTTTGAGGGGTCGGACAAGTTTTCGACGGTCATCAAGAATATGGATTTGGATAATTGGGTGGAGTTCTGTTCATAAACATGCTGTGGAGTAGAATCCAGAGTTGTAAATAGTTGTCAATAAATCATTGAAGTAGAATAAGTCGTCTCGTCCATGTAAACTGGCTATAGTGCACGTGACTTCGCGACGCCGGTTCGCGTGTTTTTCCGCGTATCGCCACTCGTCCCTCGTCCCGCTGACAAGGTTCATGTCCTCATCATGCATTGACATGTTTCGCAATCCACGAGAAAATAGAAATAGCTCATCTACCTACGTCTCCCCGTCAACTGGCCGCCCGCCAACTCCTCCTGGCCAGACGTCTCGGACGGAGAGACCATCTCCCCCCACCGATTCTGGTTCGATCAAGCAAATGGCTGGAACGACAGTAAAAAGATCGACGACTACACCCACCACGAAGAGAACGTCTTCCGTTCAAACCATTCGAGGATCGTCCGCTGTGAAGAAAAATAACAATGCGAGCATATTAAACTTTTTCAAAAAGGCCGACGGGCCTCCGCAGTCGCAGTCGAGGCAGCCTCGATTGACGCAGTTTGGGGTTACTGTTTCGAGGTCTGACATCTCCAATGGGAATAATAATGTTTTGAAGCGAGAGGAATCTGTTGGCGACGACCTCTTTGTGGAGGACAAGAACCGACGATCCAAGAATTTGGTGGATATTAAAGACGATAGAAAGACGACAAAGACGAACAGCATACCGGTACCGAGCACCATACCCATAGACGAGCCCAAATCAGAAGAAACAGAATCCGATCGATTCAACGAAAGTACCGGCTCGAATAAAAAACGGAAACTCGAAGCTCCAGTCGTCAAAGGCCCGTTCATCGATGAATCAGACAGCGAAGACGACGACGAATATTCCTACTCAGATACTAAGCCGATCGAGCAATCCGAAAACGAAATCGAACCACCCCCACTGGTAAGAGCCGCCACGAGCAACTTTGAGACAAGTGCAGTGGCCGATGACTTTGATGATATAGAAGACGACATAGAAGGCGATGAATTTTTGGAAAGAGCGTGGATGCAGGATGAGTCGGCAGATTTTGGGTTGGATAGTGATGCGATAGATGATGGGCCGTCGTGTCCTATATGTCAGGCTAGTTTGGTCGGACAGTCAGATGGGGTGAGTTGAGTTGATTGGTTGATTGAGTTGGTCACTAATGTCAAGTAGGAGGCATCCATGCATGTCAATGCTTGTTTGGACGGAAACCCGCAGGTTCTGCCTGAGAAGAAGTCTACTCCTGGCTTGACACGACAGGAGAAGGCGGCTGTAGCTAGACCTGCGCAGCAAAATCCCTATGTGGAAAAGTCTACGGGCAATACATCGGCATTCACGAAACTTATGGCGGGAAATGCCGAAGATTCGGCGTGGGCGGCAGCTGCGGCTAATGAAGTCGCATCACGGGGCAAACAGGCTTACGAGCGGACGTGCCCGTTCTACAAGATTCTACCAGGGTTGTACATCACGGTAGATGCATTTCGATATGGGGCTGTGGAGGGATGTCAAGCATACTTTCTCAGCCACTTTCATAGCGATCACTACGGCGGCCTGACTGGGTCGTGGAGCCATGGACCTATATATTGCAGCAGGGTGACAGGAAACCTCGTTCGGCAGCAGCTCAAAGTCGATTCAAAGTACGTTGTTGATCTTGAATTTGAGAAAAAGACGGAGGTGCCAAACACAAAAGGAGTATACGTTACCATGCTACCTGCAAATCACTGTCCAGGAAGTTCTCTTTTCTTGTTTGAAAAGATTATGGACAATGGTCGATTTCAACGAGTGTTGCATTGCGGAGATTTCCGCGCTTGTCCGGCGCATGTTCAGCATCCGCTACTGAAACCTGACGTCGTGGACGCGAAATCGGGCCAGCCACGACAGCAACGTATTGATGTGTGCTATTTGGATACGACGTATTTGAATCCGAAATATAGCTTTCCGCCGCAAGAAGACGTTATCTCTGCTTGTGCCGATATGTGTGTCCGATTGAGTGATGAGCAGGGTGACCGAAACGAGGCACTCGAGTTTCACAAGCGTGGAAAGGTGGATGCAATGACCAAATTTTTATCGACGAAAGAGAAAGAGCCTGCTTCAGCCCCAGCGCCGAAATCACGCGGACGACTGTTGGTAGTCATTGGAACATACAGTATTGGCAAAGAGCGGATATGTTTAGGAATTGCTCGTGCCTTGAAATGCAAAATCTACGCTGCTCCTCAAAAACAGAGAATTTGCGCATGCCTTGAGGACCCCGAACTCAATTCTCTTCTCACCGACGATCCGCTCGAAGCACAAATCCACATGCAAATTGTATTCGAGATTCGAGCCGAAACTCTTTCAGACTATCTCCAGACATTCAAGGGTCACTTCTCCCGTGTTGTCGGCTTCCGTCCGACAGGATGGACCTACCGGCCCCCCGGCGGCCGTTTACTCGACAATCCTCCAGTTGCCAATGTCTTACACTCAAGTAACTGGAAAACCTCTTTTAGTGTCTCCGATCTTGTCCCCCAACGCGGCAGCAATAAAGAGGCATCCTGCTTTGGAGTTCCATACAGCGAGCACAGCTCTTTCCGAGAATTGACCATGTTTTGCTGCGCGTTGCGAATAGGCAGGGTGATTCCGACGGTCAATGTGGGCAATGCCAAATCAAGGGAGAAGATGAAGGCGTGGATTGAGAGGTGGGAGGCCGAGAAGAGGAAGGCTGGGCTATTTAAAGTTGAGGGCGATGCTTGGTAATTTACAGGTACGAGATATGATCGATGAGAAATGTACATACATGAAATACATACATGAAACCTGTATCAGGCATTTGAACCTTGGGGTACAAATAATGAAGCACTGATTGGCTATAACGACGTCCGAAATAGGCAATGTTATGTAATCCGGAGACTCTGCGGAGACAATAGCCACAAAAGGCGGGGTTCTTCAAGGCTTTTCATGACTTTGTCAGATGATTAAAAGATTCGCAAAGATTCTATGCTGTCTTCGAGCGTAAGATTACCGTTGTCACATTCAATTGTACATATGCACAATGTACGTTGACCACCCACGTAAATACGTAGTTGGCAATTCCTGCCTGCATAGCCGATCCGGCCACAAAAATCGGCAGATCATCTATGTCCATCTAGCGATTCCAACATCCAATAATCGTTCACCAAATTCTCCATTACCCGTTATCCGTTCTCCGATGAAGGGTACCCCAGACTAACGGCCATCCGCTGCGCCCTATCTTAAGCTCTAGCTTGATGCGTCAGGCAAATACCGACTCTCTAGGCCGAGTTGCGGGTAATCTAACTGCTTAACCGAGAGGTTTTTGTGAGCTCTTTGATGAGTATATATATGACCTATCGAAGCGGACAAAGAAAGACTGAATGTTTATGAAGATTATACTTTTTCTTTATTTGTTCTTTGTTTGCTAGAAATATTTGAGACCTGTCGACTTTTTTCATTGAGACTTCTTGTTTTACGGTGAACATCTACACCACCACCACCATCAACCTTGGAAACCGTCATTGATATATTGATAAAATACACAATACGAAATGTCCGAATCACACTCCCTCGTCTCCTATCTACTCACTCCCTACGCAATTCCCCTTTTGTTGCTTGCTTATTATGTATTGCCGTACCTCTCCAAAACACATTGGCTCTCCATCCCCGCTCCCTTTCCGGCCGCATACACGAACCTCTGGCTGTTCTGGCAGGCCCGTCGCGGCCGACGATTCCTGGCTGTGAACAATGCACATAAGAAGTATGGCAAATTTGTGCGCATTGCGCCGAATCATGTCAGTATTGCGGATGACGAGGCTATTCAGACTGTGTATGGGCATGGGAATGGATTTCTCAAGTCGTACGTATCTTCAATCTCCTCCCGAGTTTCCTTTAAGGTTCCAAGGTTGTCTAGAAGTATAGCTAATGATGAAGTGACTACTACGACGCCTTCGTCTCAATCCGTCGCGGCCTCTTCAACACCCGCGACAGAGCCGAGCACACACGCAAACGCAAAACCGTCGCGCACACATTCAGCGCAAAATCCATTGGCCAATTCGAGCAGTACATCCACGCCAACATCGAGCTGTTCGTCACTCAGCTCACAAAACTCTCAAACCTGCAACGTAATCCTCGCACAGGTTATGCGTCGATTGACGCATTGAATTGGTTCAACTATCTGGCGTTTGATATCATCGGCGACTTGGCCTTCGGCGCACCATTCGGTATGCTCGAAAAGGGGAAAGATGTTGCCGAAGTGCGCAAGACCCCCGACTCGCCACCTACATATGCACCCGCAATTGAGGTGCTGAATCGTCGTGGTGAAGTGTCGGGCACATTGGGGATTATGCCATTCCTAAAGCCGTATGCGGCTTATCTGCCAGATTCTTTTTTCAGTAAGGGACTTGAGGCTGTTGAGAATTTGGCTGGTATTGCGGTTGCACGAGTGAGCGAGAGACTCAAACCTGAGGTTATGGAGAATAATACTCGGGTTGATCTGCTGGCGAGGTTGATGGAAGGGAGGGATGAGTCGGGTGCTCCACTTGGGCGTGAGGAGCTTACGGCTGAGGCGTTGACGCAGCTTATTGCCGGTAGTGATACTACGTCCAACACGTCTTGTGCGTTGTTGTATTGGGTTCTAAAGACACCGGGCGTCATGAAGAAGTTGCAGGAGGCTGTGGATGAGGCGTTGCCTGAGGGAGTTGAGGTGCCTACATTCGCCCAGTTGAAGGATATTCCTTAGTACGTCCCCTCTTTTTTTTTTTTTCGTCTCGGGGTATATGCTAACAAGGGGAATAGTATTCAATACGTCATCCAAGAAACAATGCGCATCCACAGCACTTCCTCCCTTGGTCTCCCCCGCCAAATCCCGCAAGGCAGCGCACCCATCAACATCTGCGGCCGCACCTTCCTCGCCGGAGACGTCGTCTCAGTCCCCTCATACACAATCCATCATTCCACCGAAATCTGGGGACCTGATGCCGAAGCCTTTGTTCCGGAGCGCTGGGCACCCGAACGATTGACTGCTCGCCAAAAGGCGGCTTTCATCCCCTTCTCTACGGGACCCAGGGCTTGCGTTGGAAGGAATGTGGCGGAGATGGAATTGACGTGTATTGTGGGCACGGTGTTTAGGAATTTTGAGTTTGTATTGGAGCAAGAACATGCGATGGAGACGAGGGAGGGGTTTTTGAGGAAGCCCCTGGGGTTGGATGTGGGTATTCGACGGAGGTCTTGAGGTTTTGCTTCTTGCTTGGAGGTATATGATGGATATGGTGTATTTATGTGAACGGACGAAGTTATGAGTTGTCATGTCTTTTCTTATTCATGGTTGCTTAATGCATTTGAAAATGTGTTATTTCTCTGGACAAAAATTCTACTCCACTCAACGTTTCATAAGAGATTATGCGCAATCGTGGAATGTTGGAGTCATCCATCGATGGATACTGTATGTAAATAATCAACGTTTCATCCAAATGGTACCTGGGTCTGTATGTATCAAGATGGAGAGAAAGTCCGAGCACAGGATTTATCTCAATATCTACTTAGGTACGTAGACATACCGGAATTGTAGGCGACAGACAGAGAGCCTCTATTAATAAAATATATATACCCGAAATTACCTAGGTATAGGTAGTATCTACATGTACTGTCTATTTATAGATGGAGCCTCTAGACTCCAAGCTGGGGCTGCCAGGCGATCTGCCTGGTACGAGTGATGACATGTGTAGGGCTGACAAGATATTTATACAAATATAATAGAATTCTGGACAAGTTTGAACATTCATAATGCATTAATTACATTACACTGTACCTAGGTAGGTAATTGAGCACAAACATGACACGATGCAACATCACAGATGCGCAACGATCAATACAAATCATTATTATCTTGTTTTTCGACAAACAACACATCATCATCCGCCTCTGTAGCATATGTACTACATCTTCTCACTACTTTACTTGGATGGTGGCAAAATTACCAAGAAGTAGGTCCGAACTGGACGCCGGTCACCTGGATAGCGGAGTACGAAGCATCCATAGTGTTGGAGGCAATATCGGTTCCCCACCATTCGGGCATCTCGTGGTTCCACAGCGACAAAGCAACGAAGATCAAGATCGTAGAGAGGGCGAGACCGACGTCCAATCCAGCACTAAAGACATAGTTGTAGTGCATCCACCAGCCGCGCCAGCGGTCACGGATATACTTGTTGAAGACGAAGCCGACGATACCCCAGGAGAGGTAGTTCAGAGGAGTGGCGGGAGGAATCAAAGAGCTACCACCGAAGATGATGGGGGCGCTAAGGTAGCGGATGGGGGATTTGGGCCAGGCACGGGCACCGAAGTAGATCAGGACGGGAAGAATAGCACCGGCGAGCCAGAACCACATCATGTTGGAGTACATCTGGCCAGGGGAAAAGATACGCTGAGGTCCAATGACACCCCAGATAACAGAAGCGTTGAAGAAAACACGACCGTTGGGGCAGCTGAAATGGTTGGCCTGGGTCTGGGAGCAGACATCGGAAATGGCACCGAGAGCCCAGTTCATGACGGCGATCTGGACGACGGAGCACCACAAACAAGATACCATCTGAGCTGCAAAGGTGACACGAGGAGGAACCTTCATGTAGTGGCCAAGCTTCATGTCCTGCAAGAAGAACAATCCCTGGTACATGGTAATGTAACCGTATGTCTTGAACAACATCATGGCCATGGGGCGTCCAGGCTGCATATAACCGATGATGAACTCGGTGATGACGTTAAGTCCGATCTGAATGTTGGTCGTGGCCTGCACAATACCGCAAGGGACGAACCAGAAACAGCAGATAATCAAGGACACGAAGAAAGCCCACCAAGAGAGATGGGTAGGGTAACCAAGGATAACACCGAGGGCCATTCCCATCATGATAAGAGTGATACCGCCATACCACCAGAGAGGAACAGTCTTGAAACGAGACATGAGGCGGGCGTGGACATCTTCTTCTTCCTTGCCAACGCTCTTGAATCGGATCCATAATTCCTTTCCGTGGAAGAGACCAGTGTGGACGAGGACGGCAATGATGGTGGCAAAGGAAAGACCATAGCACAACATGAACGTGGTAGACAAGAAGAGGGGAGAGTATTCCTGATATTTTTGCAGGTTGAAGGTGTAGTCTGGGTTCAAGATGCGGGTGACGTTATACTTGAGAGCATTGTTATCGTAGCTATTGGAGTCACTGATAGGCAAGTACTGGTTGTAGTAGAGCTTGCTGTAGTGGATAGCCGGGGTGACGATCCAGAACCAAGCAACCATACCGATCAAAGTGTTGGCAATACCGAACCAGGGGGTGATCAACGGTGAGAAGTTGAAACCGGAAATTTGAGTCCAGTCAAAAGTAATGGGGATCAAAGACAGACCAGTCCATCCACCAAACAACTGGTTGATTACGGGGTTGTTGGGTCGGATCCAGGTAACCCAGGCGAACGCACTCAAGAAGGGAGCGATAAAGCCGGGGAACCAGTACCACACAAAAGAAGCAATCATAGTGTACAAGAAAAGACGGTACTTTCCAATACGCCAGCCACTGGTCTTGGCGGGGTCAGGGCGGCGATGATCGTGGAGGGCAGTGAACAAACTGGCGTTGATCAAATTGGCGGGCCAAATCATAGCAGCCGGAGTGACGAGGAAACGATGGAAGAAACCAGCGATACCAAACCCGAGCATCTGGGTGGAGATACACATGAAGATCTCGAACGCCCACCCAAAGTTCTGACCGTAAAAGGCACGTTGAGCGAGCAAGACATCAGTAGCGTAGGCAGCACCACCGTTGAAAGTGGCGTTGGCCATGATGACAGTCAAAGCATGCTCCTTCTTGCTGAAGGGACCAGGGTTGAGGTTGAACTTGAGACCAAAGAGGGAGAACTCGCGATTGGGCATAACCTTCTCCCAGAGCTTACCAATGGGGTATGCGACGACCTGAGCGACATAACTGGGGATGACAATGTAGGGATTGCGCATGGAGAACAGCATGTTGAGCGCCGAACCGATGGTCGCGAGAATCAAACCAATGGTCCAGGCGCGGATGGTATTGCTGTGGCCGCCTTCGTCGTAGTTAGGGACGGCAGCACGAACTTCAGGGTAAGGGGAGTTTTCCATCAGTTCGGTGGCGATGCCCACGGTGGTGTTGCCGTCAGCATGCAAGGCCTCGTCAAGTTCGTCGTAGATGTCGGTGGGCAGGTTGGGGTCCCACTGGTGCTGCTTCTTGATGTTCTTGACATGCTCGAGCGCTTCTTCGGCGTCGCCTACTTGGACACCCGTGGACGCGGCCACGGTGGGCTCTGCGACCTTTTCCTCCATGTTGATTACTGCGACTTTTTGACTTGTTGACAAAGGACAAGTCCGGAAGTCTAGTGAGTCAAGGTTGACGTGAGGAGAGAAAGAGGGGAGTCAAGAAGAGATAGAAAGAAGGAAGGGCGGAGGTTATATGTATGTCAGGGTCCGACGGCAGGAACGCCCTCGCACATCACGAAAACGGAAGGAGCGATGGACGATACCAGTCGGCCAATCATATCGCGCACAACAGAAACAAATTAAATGACCACCCCCCATAAAAACTACTAAAAGATAAAGCAAACGCCGCAGAGATAACCAATGCGAGCGATTCAGAAGCGATTCACGGACGCGACTAGCGTTAGCGGCAGATTTGATTGACTGATGCTTGCTGATTGCACTGATTGCAACGTGAGGTCGCACCTAGTCCTGTCTGCTGGCCTGAAATAGATACATGTCGCGCTGCTGCAGGGAGTACATCTACCCGTATACAGTCCGCCCATTGTTGTACATGTACATACAACCAAGACTCGGGACTCGACATCGCAATGTGACGGACGGCTATTGCCCAATCACCCCCTGTCCGTGCCATACAATTGACCAGGAAATCACATCCCCTCAACGTGGTCTCCTTCCTAATCGCGACGATATGTCTTGTACGCCGGACAACAAGCAGGGAATCGGATTAGTCGACCTCTATCAGGAAGGTCCAAATGTAACCCCATCCCTTAGCGCAACCTAATTCACTTTGCTCACTAAAGTTACTAAGGATAAGTTTAAAGACTGTGGCGTTGGGGTCCACTGCCCAACCAGATTCGAAAGGTGCGAGAGCTCTGAGTTGGCGCTATTAAGCATAGTAGGCGACTGCCGTGTTGCTGAATTGTGGTGGCGTCGTCTATCATCTACGAGGAGGGTTTGGAATACGTACTGTCGTACGTACTCCACCATTATCTTCGCAACAATTAAGTTATCGAAAGAATATACCAAGAACTCGATATTGTTCAATTGATACTATATCCGTACGGCGTACGGGATAGAAAGACAAGTAAGCTTTCCAAGGTAGTACTACTCCTTCCTTGGCCCAAATCACGAGCCTGCCATGGCCCATCGGCAGACAACAATCTCGGATGCGCCGTCCTACCGTCAGACATTGGATGGCAAAAGAGGCTTGACCTGGGGAAACCACTAGTGAACCACGCTAATAACGCTAAGACTAGTCTGGCGGCCCCGGCGAGTTGTGTGCAGTGGATTGTGGACGGTTCGACTGTTCTAGCGTTCCTCTGATCAGCACTCTCTTATGCGCTAGGACGGAGTACATAGTACTCCGTACAGGTACGACAGACAGAAGTAGTTGCTGAAGAAGACGGAGTGCATGACTACTAGTGACACAATGACAGATTGCATAACCTCCCATAATATTCGTACTGATCCAGTACATTCCAACATCGGAGAAGTAAGGAAAAAATAGAGAAAGACCTCGGCTCCGTTTCCCAACGGAGCAGTCCCAACTCGGCCTAGCGCAGTCCCGCTGGTCACAAGATCCTCAGATAAGCTGTCGCCTCCTAATTGGCTGGGGGCAAGATGCTTGTTTGATAGTCTCCACTATCTTACTCTGCTGGCATTCCATTGGTGGACGGACCGCGTACCTCTCTATTCATGTTGTGTACATTTATGATTGACACTTAACGCTGTTCTTTGTTCGTGCCCTCAATATAAGCATACTATTACGTACTCTGTACGCTACTCCGCACTTTGTACCCTCAATTGATCTGATATTATTTATATCAATTACCAATTACCAGTTACCAATGGTGTGGAAATGTGCTTATCCGCGTATATTGCCCAGCTCAACTTATCTCCTATTGTTGGTTGTGCTCCGTAGTACGGTGTGAGTTGTGAGACATTCATGAATCTATCAATTGTCAGACCACAAATCATGCTTTTGCGATTGTTTTAATTTAATTAAGTGCCTACCTATATTTTTCATGTTATAGTTGGCTGTGTTTGCTCAGCTGAGAATGGACCGATTCGTGGAAAGTATGCAGATTGGGAGATTAGATTAGATTCTACCGACACAGAAAGATATGCATTCAGCTCGTGGTATGTCTGCATCTATTAGAACATGCATGGGTTTAGATATCGAATTATAGTATAATATCTAGGATAATGTGTCTGAGACATGGATATCATCCGTCCATTATCCATATCGGGCTGCATATTCGCCGTTCGGTGTATATCTTTTTATCCCTTGTTGTACCAGTACCTCCAGACTTGGTACATAAACAGTTTGCGAATTACCATCCGCTTTGGGAAGCAGGAACAACGATCCCATCCAAGGTCCGTGACACGCCATGCACCACCAGGTGGCGGCTCAATTTCCAGCACTTGATAAGAATCATAGGGTGTCTTCCACCACGAGTCAGTCCTTCGGCCTGAGCCGTACGAGCGGTTATCCACGGCGATATCAAATGAATCCTTTGACCAGAAAGAGAGTGAACAAGAAAGAGGTTGGGCTAGTCTCGCGATAAGCACCCTGGAAAGTCGGGCTAACATCCGCCCTAGAACGTTGGCACAATCCAGCAGTCGTTAGACCGCAATGCTAACGTCGCTAGTGGATGCTTATAGGCCCGTGGAAAGTCTTGGGTTGTAGCTCGTATCGTTAGCACGGAGCCACTGACTAAGGTGCAACGCACTTATCGCGTGGATAGCATGCATGCAGCCATGCATGTATTGAAGTGGGGTTGATAGCATCTTCTTTTTGTGATTTCTGCTTATTCTCGGAGGTGTCTCGGTCCTCCCACTAGCACTGGCCTGGCCAAGCTTCTAGAAATGATCCATCAGATAACCGCCCGCCGCGATGGTTGGAGAAACGAGGCAAAACCTCGAGCTCGAAAGTTTATTCGCCGCACCTTCTCGATCGGGATGGATATCTCCATGTCAATGACCCCAAGATGGATATGTGGGTTTTCCGCCACGAGGTCAATCGCATGCGATAAGCATGTGCCAGGCCATGTGAGTATGGATCAAATCGGTGGCAAGTTGAGGTCCGCACCCGTGGCAGGCCACGCAAGATCACTATACGCCTCTGGCGGTAGCAGATAGTCGATCCCGCCATTTCCTCCGTCCAATGCCCACTCAAAATCAGTCAGGAACTCATCATTCAGAAACCCGTGTTCAGACCCAACAGTCGCCATATTCGAGATCGGCCCGAAGAGTAGGTCATTGTTGCTGTTGGTATTGCTAACCTCGTTACTGCCGCCATCCTCATTATTTTCCGGTGCTGATGGTAGTGCATCAGGCTCATACTCCTCCCTCCACCACCACGCCATGTCAATAACAGGCGATATGACCAGACGACTCCTGATCCGTAACGTCCCATACTCCGATCCATCTGCCTTCCGAAACGCTTTTGCGCTATTCCACAACTGATTCAGCGCATTCGAGCATTTGGATGCAATATCTTTCGCATCCAGGATCATATATTTCATCAAATTGAGTCCGCTGAACAGCGCATTTTTGGCCTTTTCGCTATCAATTTTGCTGCTCATTGAGCTTTTCAATAAACGAAGCAAGACACTCGATGCTAAGATTAGCGCGTTGATGATGAACATGGGACTACCGGCGTAGGTTTCGGGTTTGTCGTATAAAACTCGCACATGGTCGATTACAGAGCACGCGGTGCTTGTGAGACGTAAAAAGCAGCTATCAAAAGACCCGCTAAGGTCTTTGTAGAGGTAGAACACTTGAATTTGCAGACGCGCGATGGTGGGATAGAGTGTGTTGTGATCTACGTAGTAAGTAACGACGCTAGCAAAATAGAAAGGACGTAAAACGTACTAGGTGGAAGTTGTGCGACCAGATCACGTAATTGAGCCTCATGCGCTCGTATCAATGCGGACATTGCTCGTTCGTGCTCGGGGGATGTATTCCGAACACCAGTTGTAAATATCGAGATGCAACATTTGGTCACGATATCCAAACATCGCAATTGTAGCGCAAGGATAGGAGTGAGTTGGCGAGTCAGCTTGTGTCCCGAATCTGGCACAAGATCGAGCATTGCTCGTGGCGGTTGACCTTTGCAAAGACATGCCCTAATTCATTAGCTTAGCTCCATGTCTACCAGAACTAGAACATACCGCTGATAAACTATTATACAATACGCCCATAATTCAGACCGACGCTGCATATCCATCATAAGAATGCTTTTATTCGTGTGTGACGGCTCCGACCTCAATGCCCGCATATTCCGTCCAAACTCGTGGCTGGCCATGGGTATATGAATCCCATTCTGCATAGCGATATGTAACAGCCATCCGCTGATTGAAAAGAATGCCTCGAATCCAGGGGGCGGCCACGTCAGAAAGAGCAGAAATGACTGAATCTTGAATACTGGCGCAGCATTCGTGCCCATCGACAACAATACCATCTCTAGGACCGGCTCTGCCAGCGTCGGAAACAGAGTTGGATTCTTGCTATAATTTCGACTTGCGACGAAAATAATTGTCCAGAACAAAAGCGTAGATTGGTCGTAATATGCATTGGGCGTAGTATTCGAATCGAGAATTGGTAGGAACGGGGCGTGATCTTGGAAGAAACTGTCATTGTCGAGTCAGCATCACCACCCAATGACACGCTGTTGGAGAACTAACTGACATTTGAAATATGTCGTCAATCTCCCCAGCATCAACTATCACTCCCTTGAGTGACCTCGCCTGCGTAGGCCCATCGCTCCCTGCCGGCGACGTGATAGCCTGCAACACAACTGGCGCAGGCCTTGCATTAACAGGATATGATTGCTGATATATTGCAAGCGGATCGATAGACTGCGTTGGCGAAGTACCTGTCGTCGATGATCCCAGACTCTGCGGTGTATGACTCAGATCCGTCATACCATTCAACACAGCCGGCGACATAAGTCGATTTCGCGGCCGGGTGTCGTTGTTGCCATTTAGTCGTTTGCGTAATTCCTCGGCTTCATGTTCGAGTTGCGACAGTCGTCTATACATTGTCAGATTTGTAGTCACTTATTTTGTCGGGTTGAGAAGACGAACTTTCGTTTATGCTCACGTTTGAACGGGTCGGATATCACGCATGTTGCGCCGACTTTGCGACAGCGCGAGCACGGCGCATCGGGGTTGAGGTAAGCGTCGCATTTTGCCTGCACAATAAACCGTGTCAACTTCTGGTCGTAGGTGTGTCGATAGTCGTGGGGTGTACCTTTTGCTGTCTGCACTCAGTGCATGCTTTCTTATGTCGCGCGGAGACGGGTCTATAGTCGAGTCAGCGGAAGCTTCGTGCATCACTCGACGAGAATGAAAACATACGCTTTGTCCGACTCGGGCATAATTACTATTCCATGAGGAGTCAGTAGTGCTGATATACGTGTAGTGAGGTAGATGCCGCACAAGGTCAAGAATGATGGAGTTTATTTCGGGCGGGTGGGCCTAGCCGGTGTCCACAAGCTTATCTCCGCGCTATACCCGGACAGGCTCATTTCATTTGTGATGCACCCGCCATAAGCATACTTAGATACAATCACTCCGTATATCTATGGACGAGAATCGAGACGAATTTAATAAGATGAGAAAGGATTGGGTAGATTATCCGTATATGAAATCAAAATCTATAATACAGGCCAACGCTCGCAGATATATACACGTCATATTCCAAACAAAGAAAACACGTGATTGTGTAACACAACTAATACTCGCGACTCTCCCCAATATCGCACACATCAAACGCTCCCGTCTCAGGAAGACCGTTCCTCTTCATAGCTTCCTTAAGTTTTCGCGGAGGCTCCAATACATCCTCTTCTGTGAGAACCCACGTACCCCAATGCATACCAAGCGCGTTCTTACATTTGGTGTCTTGGAAAATGTTGACTGCATCGTGCGGATCGGCATGCATGGGACTCATCAGCCATCGAGGGTCGTATGCGCCGATGGGGATAAGGCCCAGGTCGAATGGCCCTCTTAGTTCGCCAACTTGCTTGAACGCAGGGCAGACAGGGAGATTGTATTCTTCTGCGTGGTCGTCTTCGACGCCTTTAAGATTGCAGACTGATCTATAGCCAGTATCTCTGTTGAAATCAGCCCTGTTCTCAAGAGAGCAATAGAGGTGAATGGTGCTTACCCTCCAAAATAAATCTTCTTCCCACCAGACTCGACACCCCACGACGCCCATAATGTCTTGGCACGATCAAATGCGCCTCGCGCAGAAGTATGTTGGCACGGCAGACAACTGATACGACCTACAATCTCAGCATCTTTTGTAGCTGGCGCATCAGGTTCCGTGACTTTCTTGACGCCGCTCTTTGTCGGCGACAATGTCAAGTCGCGCTCGTCCCACCAGTCCAATTCCGTCACATTGTTTATTCCAGCTTCCTTGAACCACGACGCGTTTCCCAACGGCACGAAAAAGTGGCAATTGGGATGTTTCTTCGAAATAGCCTTTACAGTTGGCAATGACAGGTGATCGTAATGGTTATGAGATATAACAACCATATCGATGATGGGTATCTCGCTAACGTCGCAAGGAGGCTTGGTGTATCGTTTGGGACCTAGCCAGGAGAAAGGCGAGCATCGATCTTCAAAGACCGGATCAAAAAGCACGCGAAGACCGCCGGGGAATTCGGCATAGAAGCAGGCATGCCCTAACCATGTCGCTCGCAGTTTGGACGTTTCGCGGGAAGGAAGAAAGTTTGGTTTGTGTACGGTCACGGTTGGCGGCGTGGTATCGGGCCATTTCAATTCTCCAGTCACGGCTCGTCTAGAGGAGTCAATCCGCTGTCACATTTTTCAGCCGTGTTCAGTCGAAAACACTCACTTCATCATCTCCGATCCTATACTCAAAGGGTTGAGTTCGACCCACGAACTAGACATGTCAGCTCGTCATTACGATAAGAACAGCCAGACCAACATACTCCCAAGGGTTATGGAACCGGCCCTTTCCATGGTGAGGTTTGCTAGCAGCATCATCCGGTACCGTGGAAGCCGGCGACGCCGACACGGTAAGCGCGTACAAGATGGCAGAGGTGGTGGACGACATATTGCGTTGGCTCAAGAACGACTTTGGCGTCCGATTTCCACGACGCCAGGTCGCAAAGAGCCGTTTTATAAAGGGACGCATTCGAGTTTCTCCCGCTAGTATGTAAAGACGATGAAATTCGGTAGCCTGGTAGAATCGCAGAGAAGGATTAAGGCTAATCTATTTTAGCATTTTGCAGGCTAATACTGAAGAAGGCAGAGTAAGCACTAAAGCCGTCCGGACTTAAGAACGACTCGCCATAAAAACGTGCAATCGTCCAGGCGATGCCAAGCTTGGCGCGGAGTCGGAGATCGAGGGCCACTGCCGAGGACGGACCAAATTCATCCATCCCTGTCTGAAGAATTGTCTGAAGAAATGTCTGAAGAATGGGTGCCATGAAATATTCGTAATAATTAAGAGCTCTAAAAGATGACGAGATGAGACTTGGCCAGAACAACGACTGGCATGAAGACGTTTATTTATCATTCTCGTCTGACCTTATGTCCGTAGTAAGTCCAGCGCAACCGGAGTCAGCTGATTGGTCGATTCACCTGTCGTTCTCGTCTTTTGTACGACCTTTTTTCTTCATCTAGTACACTCACTTATTGAGATCCTTAGTCAATTGTAGCCATGTTGGTACACTGATTCTACAATTGGCTACCGACGGGTATGATTCATGGGTTGCGTGTTGAGTTACTACCGTAACCGCTGGCCGAACGATATATTTCTCGGATCCTGATGGCCTTTCCAAGTCGCGAGCACCCCATGCACTCTAACGAACCCATGTAATGTTAATTGATTAAAGCGTTTATGCCTTTTTCAATAGCCTACCGGACTCCACAATTTATGTCTGGGTCTATTTCCGGTCAGAAGCTACATATTTGATGTATCAGCTATATCTCGATACGACGTCTTTGACCGACGGATGATTTGATATCCCTTAGCTGCATTTGCCAACACACGACGGCTATCACTTCATGCATTGATTGAGCAATAGTTAGATAGCGAGCCCAAAACCGCTGCCAACAATCACTTCACCTTTCAGCTACAACATTCGGAAATCCGCTCACGTGACCGGACATCCGACGGCCCAAGGATGGAGTTACTCAATCCGGCAATAATATCAAGGCCAGATCATGTCACAGAGATTAAAAGTGGGATGTTGGGATCCATGGATGCGTCATGAGGTATAAAGCGTCAAAGTAGGGCGCGATGGTGGGTAGTTAATGTATTTGGTAGCCATTCAGGTTGCAAGGAGGGAAACAGGTTGCCGTATTGGGAAGCTGTCCTCGTGCTCAAGTTCCGTGAGATAGGAAATTCTAGCAGTCGGCTCTGCTGTGATGCTGAGTAATACTTCAGTCGAGTCGTTGAGGGGTGGGAGGTATAAAGTCCGTAATTCCCCTGACGGAATATTGATCAAGATAAGAGCCATTTGACAAGAAAGCGTCAAAATGTCGACTACGTTCTCATCTCTCCCTATTGTTGATCTGTCTCCTCTTCAGAACCCTACTGGGTTATCGGAGTCTGATCGAGTGACTCTCAGCGCCAAGCTCTACGATGTATTTGCTACAACAGGCTTTGCATACCTGGTCAACGCGCCATTGACCTTCAAGCATGCCGAAGTTTTTGGTTTGGCGTTGGAGTTTTTCAATCTCCCGCTTGAAGAGAAGATGAAGTTGGCGAAGAAGACCTTCAAGCCGGAGAATCAGAATACGTATAGAGGGTAGTCTTGCCTCCTCATCTGTTGGAAAGAAGCTAACCAAGTCGAAGGTACTTTCCCGTCCAGCCCAACGATGCATCAGATAATCTCAAAGAAGGCTTCGAAATGGGTCCTACACAGCCAATCCCTTCAAGTCCAACTACCGGAAATTCTCGCTTCAACCTAACAGAATTAAACATCTGGCCTGAATCAACCGCATACACATCCCGTGCGCGTCTAGAACAACTCTACTCCGAACTACAATCCCTCTCCTCCACCATCTTGAGTCTACTAGCCACATCACTCAACAAACCCTCTGACTTTTTCACCCCCTACCTCACAGACTCCCTAAGCACACTTCGCCTTCTACATTACCCCCCTCCCCCACCAACAAATACCACATCACAAACATACACTAAAGCATCAACACCACCTCGAGAACCCTCTACTGCAATAAAAGTAAGCTGTACCCCTCACACAGACTCCGGTATCTTGACCCTGCTCCATCAAGACTCAACCGGCGGCCTCGAAGTACAAGACTCATCCGGCAAATGGGTCGCAGCGCCGTACGTACCTGAATCCATAGTCATGAACATAGGTGATTTGATGGCTATGGTTTCGGGTGGAAGATTTGTGGCTACTATGCATCGTGTGCATGCTCCTACTCCTCTTGCGCCAGCAAAAGCAAACCATAAAGGTGTTGTGGGGGAGGAGGATGAGGAAGGCTCAGTGCCAAAGTTCGGACGGTTTAGTGTACCCTTCTTCTTCGAGCCGGGCGAAAAATGTCTTGTACAGTCTGTCGATGCTACCAGTGACACGGACGGAGTTGTTTATGGGGATCATGTTCGGGCGAAGATGGAGAGTTTTGTCGAGTACAAACGAAATCGAATCTAACTATAGGGGAAAATTTCATTTATTTATAAATATAAGGATAAAAGTAAACAAGTGATGTGATGTACCCGCCCAACCCATCCAGAACTCAAACACTCCATCCACCTACCAGAGTAGGTGAGTAGCGTCCATTGAAATGATCAAATCTGGAAGACATGAACTGAGCGGCCTCCTAAAGTAAAGAAATTCTACGCCATAATTCTTCCCTCCACAAGGTGAAAGTCATACTCATGAATCCATTGAACATGGTAAATGATGCATTGGCCTTAAGGTGGTGGGAATATGTGTAGGCGAGAGGTTATATGGCAGAAAGAAGAGACTGAGGTTGTTTGGCGGAAATTTTATATGTGGAAAGGGGGCTAGGACGGATGGGGGATGGTGCGGATGGGGATCATGGATGTGTTACTGGGTTGGTGATTGGCTGATCTGTTGTATATACTATACAGACTTCAAAGATGTGTTTTTTATTTCGTGAGAGTGGACTTGTAGGGCTGTCAAATATGAATATATAAGAATGATTCTGTAGTATTGATTGTATATGTACTCGTTTATTATGCAATATGTATGTACACCCTGGACCAAACCGCCTACCTTCCTACCAGCTCGCAAATAGCCAAAACAAATGAAACAAAATTTGGAAAAACGCTCACCAAGCAAAGCCTGAATCAGATGCAAATATTATTTAGTGTGATCACCGACCTCCGGCGTCCCGTGTCTCGACGTCGGGGTTCCCGTATCCCTCTCTCGTATCCTCCTCTTCGACAACGTTCGAACAAGCGATATCCCTCTATCCGAACTATTCGTTGACGGCCTAGACGCCGGCGATTCGTTCCGATTCAGTCTATTTGACGGCCCTTCTGACGGGTATCGTTTCGACGAGCCAAGCGACGGCTTCACGAATGCAAGCCCCGGTGATTGAGAGCGGCCTCTTCGCGTAATACGTTCTCTTTGCGCTGACGACGATGTCACGTTCTGCTGTGTACCGCCAGACACCGAAACGGAATATCCCTTCGACTGCCACTCCAGTACAGCCCGTTGCCGCTGCTCATTAAACTGCGACGTCGAACCCCCCGTCGCCGGTCTCGACGGACTATCCGATACAACTCGCACCTCCGCCTCCCCTGTGTTCGCCGACCTCGCCCTTCGCCCCGATGATCCATTCGCATTCGGCGCGGCCCGCTCTCTCGCCATCTTCAACAACCTTTTAACCAACACTTTATGCGACTTGTGCATACTCTTTTTCACAAAATGCGTCAAGAAGAAATTACACTTCAAATCGCAATCTTCCCGCAAATAAAGTCCTTCCTTAGGGATACCGTATTGCTCGGTGCCTATTTCGGGAGCATGGCGTTCCTCGCCCGGCAGCCAGCCTAGTAATTGCCATTTCCCGCGAATTTCGAGACCGGCGGGGGCGTGGATGTGTGTTTGCAAGCCGTTGGGAAGGTCGTGCAAGCATGCGGTGTAGGTGACGCTGCCGGTCAGCGAGGTGCCCGGGATGTATTCGATTTTATCGGTTATTTCGTACCATGCCGATAGATGTTCGTCTGGCAATGCGTGCTCGGGCGGCGTGGTGCGGCCGTGGTGTGTGACGAGGGGGTTCAAGGTGATGATTGTCGAGTGGTCGTGCAGCAAGTCGAGGACTACATCGCGGGAGACGTATGAAGGGAGAGGAGTGATGTGCGTAATTTGGGAGCGTTTGTTCATGGTGGCTTGTCACTGTCAGAGCATTTTGCTTCGTTTAAATCGCCCTCGCTTTGTCCGCGGCGTGTCGTACTTTATTGTCGTCGGACTCGAAAGGGGCAACACAAATCCTTATACGCTCGGCAGGGACTTTTCGGACATTGTGATTTGTCCAGTCCGGCGCACTGACATGGATTTGTTGACAATCTTTATGCGATGAGTGACGATGAGGATGCTCAGCCTCTCGCCCGAAGGGGATAGCCTGGTAGCCTTACAGCCTTAATATTATGTGCTAACTTTAATCGGCATAGTCTTGTTTTCGTCTAATGTAAGCTTTCTCTACGAACTCACGAAGTTCTTTTTGCCCAACACTTTATGAGAATTTTATTATGACCTACACACTATGGAACATCTTCTGACTCGCCTGTTGTACACGGTTAACACTGAATCAACGCACTCGATGCGACGTTAACAACACAGCTACAACAGCTCCTGTGGGTCATAATACCGAATCTCTCGAAATAGGATTTGTTCGCGTGCCGAATGTAAGACGCTTTACTAATTTTTTTAGTCATTCTGATGATGCAGCTGATGTTTACGTTTTTTTCTGGCCGAAATTTCCGGTGGCAGCCGGTATGGGACTGAACTCGAAGTCAAACTGAAACAATACTGATTTCAGAACGTTTGGCTAGGTTCAAGGTTTGCACGTCGGTCATCCCGCTATGCTGGTCTGAGAATGTCTAGGATTCCGGCTTGAGACGACCTGCTTCTGGAGATGTTTCAAAATATACGTGGAGTCTGTTTCATCTCAAGACAACTCTTCATCGACGTCACGCTTCAGCTTGAAACAACGAAGTTAAAATCAGTCAAGTCTATTTACATCTACGGCGATCTGCAATGGCCTGAATGAAGACTGCGATATGCAATACGATGGCGAGTGGACTTTATTTACATGCTTGCACTCACGTTCTTCAAAATAAATACAGCGAGTCTACTCCTCTGGCAACCACGTAACCCCATGCATCGCCGCTTCCCTCTTATCAGCAGCACTCTAAACAACAGTCAGCTATTCTCATCTGCGTCCCCGGGAATTATGTCGAGATACAAACCTGCAGTTGTGCCGCATAACCTCCCTTAGGCACCATCCCACCCGTATACATAGACTCGACCGACTGTGCCTCACTCGCCTCTTCTTTTGTCACATACACCGGCCCCGGGTCTTGCACCGCTGGTAATCCCAGCACTTCATTCCGATCAGCTATCGATCGTACCTGCGCCGATACACTCGCAACGCCGGGCGGGGCATTGAATGCTCGTCCCTATTTCACCCGTCAATTTAGCATGCCATCACACGTAGGCCAGGGATACGTGAGTAAATAGTCCGGTGAAAGGAACAACCGTCCCAAGATTGTCATTGTACGGGGTTCATCGGAGGGTCTACCGTCACTTTTACAACATACCTCAGCAGATTGCAATTGTCGCGCATCGTCCTGCGTGATGTGCGAAGGCGGTTTGTGTGATAGTTCGTCAAATTTGGCGTCGAAGTTCATTTGTTTTGATGCGAGGGAGTGGGCGGTTGCTTCGCTCATTAGAATTCAACAGTCGTCAAAATAGGGCGACAGGGAGGGCATACCAGCAGGACCACCCTTTACAGGACCTCCGCCCGTCAACTCACTCTCCGCCTGTGCAATGATCGACACATCCTCAGAGGTAAAGCGTTGACCTGCTGCGGCGGCGCGTTTGATTTCGTTTACACTGGGAAGGTCCTGATATGATGACATTTTCCTATAACATACACAAAAATAAAGCTCTTAGATATGCGCAAAGTATCCATGTGGCTGTGAGGTGCACAGTTGCACAAGCAAATTTATAAGATACATGCTTAAATGATGTCAGAACTGCGACGTGGTGGCTAAATATTGCCTCTATAACTATGCTAAAGTTGATTGGTTTAATTGCGCCTGAATACGTTCTCTCGAGATTGGATACATAGCCCTAACCCTACTGCAACATTTCTTACCTAGAATTTCTTAAAATAGATTGATTTACAACGACAAAACCCTCTTTTTTTTAAAATTGAAATCCAATTTAGTATCATTCAGCGATAACCTCAAGGGTACGTGCATCGCAGCCCCAGGAACACTGAGCAGATGCCCAGAAAAAGAGGGCCAAATGCTCATCCTTTCCTATTCGGGTCAATTCTGCGAGCCCCCGCTAGATTGCGAAGCCCTAAGTTCGCGTCTAAATATGGAGAACCAACACCAACATATTGATATGCTATGGTTGAGGAAAGCGATTGGTTTGTGGAAACTCAAATGTTTGATTTGAGTTGTTGATTGTCGAAGCTTGTTCATCTACATAGGTCTTAGCACGGTGAGTACTTGTGGGGATATTTATCCAGCTGAGTAGATAAAGATAGAATGTGAAAAGACCTTGAAATATATAAGAGGCGTGAATGTCACGAATTTTTGTATATTCTAGTAAGCTCCTCCATCTCTCAATTAGCAACAACAAAGTAAATCAATTAAAGCATCCTCGCAATGGGTCAACTCATCAAACGTCTCGGCAGCGGTATCGGCTTCGTCTCTGAAGCTATTCACGATAGCCGTTCACGCTCATCCAACAAATCCTCCAACACAAATCTCACTCCTTCTTCTACTCGCGAGCTCTCGACGCAAGAGAGCGGCGACAACACGGCCGCTCCTCACTATGGCCAAGAAGCACCCGACACACTTTCCGCAGAGCTCGACACCGGCCTAAGCAAATCCATCGACCGAAAACTCACCTTAAACGAAGATACCGAAGAAGAGGACAGATACCTCGAGCGAGATCAAGACGAAGCAATCTGGCAACTCGACGAAACCGCCCAAGAAGTCGCACCACCCACATACTCGGAAGTCGAATCGACCCCTGTCGCAGACGAATCGGAAGAAACTAAAGAGAAAAAAGAAGAAGCCATGGTGCGCGCTATACTGCAACTCGCGGATCCAATCAACCCTTCAGCTAGAATTCCATACCCTGTAATCATCCCCCAACGACGACCGGGAAACAAAGATCGCGGTTTTGTGCACGCCTACGCCCCCGTGCTAGCAGAATGTGGAATCGGTCAGGATGTATTTTTAGGGTTTTTGGATTCATTTTATAAAGCTAGCAAGGTCCGGCCTTCTCTCAGCATTTGATTCCTTCCTGTGTAGGTACTGACGAGAGACAGGCTTCACCGTGGATAGAAGTAGTCTACTTCGCCGCCAGCATAACCGGCTGGGTCCCCGAATTGACAGTATCACTTACCAGTCTCGCCGTGCAAATCGCCGTCGGCACAGCACGCGAAATCCAAACCCGACACCGTCGCAACAATTTCCTCGATCGGGTGAATCAAGACCTTTTCATGCCTCGCGGCCTCTTTGCAATGATCATGGCATTCAAAGACAAAGTCCCCGGCGAACAGACAGGACCCTTCAGCAAACTCTCCAAAGCCATGGGCGGCCAAACCGTGGTCTCAAAGCAGAGATTAGATCTCAATCAAGCGGCCGCAAAATGGAGTAATGCAGACCCTGCAGAGACCAGGACGACGAGACTGAGAAGGAATCTGAGGTTGACTAGTGGTGCTACTCATGGAGAGATTGAGTTACCCGAAGCTGCGCCTTTGGTGTATCCGGACCTCGACAGGGCTGCCTTGCGAGCCATTGAGGGGAAGGACCCTGAATCAGAGGGGACGCGGACTAAACTGAAAAGTGCGGGTAGTTGGGTTGCGGATTATATTGATCGAAAGGCGCAGGCGGAATATGTATGCCTTCTTTTCGGCTTTCTCTTTTTTTGAAATCGATATTCTAATGTGTTGTTGAATAGGAAGCAGATCACCCTGGCTCAGCACTAGCAGTCCCCGCTTCCCAACGCAAACAGTTCAATTCACGATACAACGACCCCAATCATCCCGCTATGAACGGCTCCCTCATCTCACTCGTTACAGGCGGTAAAGTCGGCGGGCAACCCAAGAAGTCGCTTTTCGAAAAAGTGGGCGATGGATGGAACGCAATGCGTGAGTCTTCTAACAAAGATGCCACTGCTGGAACCACAGACCAAAAGGAAGGAGGCAAGCCAGCTCCGCCACGAAGAAGAAAAAGTGGTTTGCTGGGGAAGAAGTTGCAGCCGGATGTTCTGTATTTAATTATTGTGAATTTGCCGACGGAAGAAGAGATGAAGGAGTCGCTGGAGGGGTTGGATAGGGCTGTTGAGCAGGTGGAGCAGGCTCATGCTTGATTGGGTAGTTTTGTGGGTTTAATATAATATTACTGTTTGATCTCCTGCTGGTGGATGCTGTGCGATTAGTCTATGCTTGGGCTTTGATTTTGAACCGTTGTGGGGTATAGAAACTCCAGAGACTCATAGCAGACTCATTTAATCGATTTACGGATAATCTTTGACCTTGTGCGGCTTCATAATTCACGCCAAGTTGCATACCTCAGTGGTATAAGACCATTTCGGTGGTGATTAGGAGTTAGGTGGCAGTTCGTATACTTGTCATCGAGTCAAATTGGACCATCGGTGGGAAAAGTTTAAAGACTTTAATTTTGGTCTCTCTCCGTTGCCCTCGTAGAGCGAAGAATTCAAGGGGTAAAGCGGCTTTGGAAGCGCAATAATTCGAGTTTCGCAGTATTGGGACCATAGCCAGGTTGGACGAGGTGCTAAGCGCGGCCAATATCTATTGATAGATAGTAAGTAAACCGGAGTTGGACCGTCCTTGGAAGATTCTACATACCAGAGATTGCGCCGATGAGGAGACTCTTCTTATAGGGGAAAATCATGATGGTAGAGTAACTTAATTTGAGGAACATAGCGTTTATGATGAGTGCCTCCGTTTAAATATTCGGTAGCCGATGACATGGCACGAATACAGTCGCCAGCGTGACAGTCCAAAATCCAAAATGCGGGCTTTAGACAAAAGACAATATTAAGTATCCGTCGGCTTTCCTATGATTGAAAGCCCATATGGCTCTCCCTCTGTCTCCATGCTAGGGGGTCCTCTGGAGCTACATTCGTATCATTCATGATGATTTTTCCTAGATTCAATTCTCCGACTGGACGGATTAAATGAGTAACATTTGAGTCGAGGCTTCAATCACCACTCTCCTATGACACTGTTGGCGGGTTAACCCTATGTATGAGATTATTAGCTATTCCAAGTCTGGGCGTGTGGTCAACTTTTTTACCAAATCTTTACGCAACATTTACATCAAAAGCTTCGACAGAGAACAAGTCAATATGGCACCAATTGGTAATCAAAGTAGCTATCAGACTGCGAATATGAACCTATCTAGTCTAGAAAATACAAATTAAATTATGTGTCAGATGGAAAACCCCGCTGAGAGAATCGTAAAGAAATATATCAATTGCCTCTTTTTGGCTGTTTGCCGTTCCCCTGTCCCACGTAGAAAGCCTTACGCAGCTTCCGAACGAAGCCTTCTTTCATGTCTTTTGATGTAGCATCAGTGCTTTCTTTCATTTCTCTCAATTTAATGGCCTGCGCTATTGATTCCCCATTTGGACCATCTGTAGCGCATTGTAGAACAGTGCGCCCATCTCGGGTTTTCGCACTGATATCCGCTCCATTGTTGATAAGCGTCCGAGCCACTCTTACCTTTCCGAGCCCAACAGCTATGTGTAAAGCCGTTCCTCCTGGCTGCATCTTTTTGTTGATTCGCAGACCGAAATCTAGGGCTGCCTTGCCGCCTGCTTGAATCTTTGCATCGATGTCGGCATCGCCCTTTACCAGCAGCGTTGTCACGTTATTTTCGTGCCCAGCCCAAGCAGCCAAATGCAGTGGCGTCAGTTGCAATTGAAAGTTTACGTCTATCTTACTTTGGTGCTTGGCGTCTATATCAATTTGGCAGCGCATGTCTGGGTCGGCTCCGTGCTCAAGCAAACGGCTGATCATCGACGCATCATCGAGTACTGCGGCGAGATGTAAAGTAGTCAATTCGGCGTTGATCTTCGCTTCGATATTGTCAACTTTTTTAAGCACTCGGTTTACTCCTTCATGTCCAAATATAGCTGAAAGGTGTGGAGCTATAATCTCGGTACTGACTGTGCGTCCAATTCTCGCCTTCCCGGTATGCGAGACTTTGGCCCCATTCTTGAGCATCAATTGTACCATCCCATCATGTTTCCACATGGTAGCCAGCATTAAAGGCGTCAAATCAGCTTTCAAGCCGTCTTCAATTTCGATCTGACAAATCGCATTGATATCCGCGCCTTTGTCGATGAGTAGCTGCGCGGCATCAACGTCTCCAAGTATGGTGGCCAGGTGGAATACGGATAGCTCGGTGTGAATTTCTAATTCTACTGTTGTATCAATGTGGTTCGAGATTTGACCCTCGAAAGCCCTGTCAACAGTAGCATGAATTGTGACACTCAGCTTTTCATCTATTTCGTCAGTTCTTTCTAGAAGAAGCTTCAAGACCGGTTTGTATCCTAAAGCAGTCGCTAGATAGAGCGCGAGATTTTTTCCCGGCTCGTTCTGCTGTATCTCGTTATCTTGCATCATCTTCTTGAAAGATTCGGTCACCTCCCGGGTACCGAACAAGGTCATGACATCCAGAATGCTCAGTTCGAATTGTAGTACCGTATCCACTTTGGCTAGAGATCTAGCATGGATATCAACCCCGTTCTGAGACAGACCAGGAATGCCATCTTTACCACAGAGAGTAGCCAAGTGTAATACCGAAATCTCCGTCTGAAACTTCTTACTGACACCTACTGTGTAAGGTGCATGAATGTCAATTCTCTCGGCAAGTAGAAGTTCAACTAGCGCCTCCCGCTTCAACAATAGCGCCAAATGGAGGCTTGAAAGCTGCATACCCAAGTTCCGGAGGCTGAACCTAAGGCTGGTGTCACCATTCCCTCCATTTCTCAGAAGGGTTTTCAACATCGTCCGAGATCCTCGTCCGATGGCAAAATGTATCGCATTCATTTCAGCATTGATGTTAAAGATGCCAATTTGGAACTTGTCTTGTATTTTAGCTCCATTGCTCAAGAGTAATTCCACAATATCACGGGCATCACGAAACAAACTTGAGAGATGTAATGATGTCCCAGTGATGTACCATTTTTTGCCTGTCAAATGAAGAGGGGCGCGAGCGTCGGCCTTGTACTTGAGGAGGATCCTGACCAATTTTCGGGCGTGGACTAGCGTAGCTAAGTGTAGAGGCATCAGCTTGATCGAGGAACTGCCAAAATTCATTTCAAGAGGCTGATGCACATCAGCCCCATGTTTGAGGAGGTAGACCAGCAGATTCTTTCTCCTCTCGAGAGTGGCCACAGTAAGAGCTGTAAACTTCAAATCTACCTTTCTGATTCGTATCATCGAAGTAGCGTTTACGTCGACACCCTTTTTCACGAGCTCTTTGACAAACGACATGTTTCCGCGTAGGCTGGAAAGTATCAAGGCAGATAGCACTATCCGAGACGTCTTAGTGATAATTTGAAGATTGGGTAGGATGCTCGCTCCATGTTCGATTAACAAATTCACCACATTTTGCTTGCCCCTTAGTAGGGCCAGGTGCAAGGGTGACACGTTGCTTTGTGTATTGGAGCCTTCCGAATCGTTGCTAGCTAAGTGAGATATAGCTCCCTTCTGCAAAAGAAACCGAGCAATGGCTTCATTTCCAGTCATCGCGGCTAAATGCAATGCTGTAATAGATACCTTTAGCTGATTACCTATCGTCAAAGAGCATGTTTCGTTTACGTCTGCCCCAGACTCGATCAGCGCCCTGACTATCGTTTCGCCCTTCCACAGAGTGGCAAAAGGTAACAATGATATGTCTATATGGACCGTGTGAATGCTTAAACTAGCCTTCAAGGTGGCATCAGCGCCGCTTTTGATAAGATGCCCCACTAATTTCCAATCCCCTGACATGGCAGCTAAATGCAAGACGGATGATTCAATATGCACTCCGGGGATGAAGTCAACTCGGAAAGGGATGGAGACATCTGCGCCATGCTTGAGTAGCAGCTTTGTAATTCCGAGATCGAGAATATCACTTCCCAGGATTAATGCGAGATGGAGCGGAGTAATGGAACTGTTGCCGATTCTGCTCTTGACCTGCACCTGTTCTTTTACGTCAGCACCATAGCTGAGCAGCAGACTTAGCAACGATTCATGTTTAAATACCGCTGCGATATGCACAGCTGTCAAGTTCATCTCGACCGAAGGAAATTTCATGCTGCAATGCAGGCCAACGTTAGAGCCATCATCGATGAGAAGTTGAGTAACAGCAGTGCTTCCGTTGATGGCCGCAAAATGAAAAGCTGACATTTCAACTCGCATCTGTGCAACACGTATAATAGCAGACGTTTCTTTAGCACCCAAACGGAGCAGACCGTGTACAGTGTCTCCATTTCCAGCTAGAGAGGCGAGATGCAATGGAGTCACCTCAATGCTCAACAACTTGCTGATCTTCAATGGAAGTGTTGCTTGCACATCTGATCCTGCCTTTATTAAGCGCGTGGCTATATTCTTATCGTGCCAAATAGTCGCCAAATGGAGCGGTATTGCCTCTAGGAGTAGGTCCTGTGCGTTTATAATGAACTTGCTTTTCACATCTGCACCGGATTGGAGAATTTTCTCGACCTTCGCATCGCTCTTAGAAATGACGGCTAAATGTAGGGCATTAAGCTCGAAATGCGCTTTTTGTCCAGTCTGCTTATCTGTTCCCTGAGGTGGGGTGGTCTTTTCATGAACAGATGATGGGGTAAATTCATCTCCTAATAGGGCGGCTAACATCCTTGCTGCTCGGTCTATGAAACTTTCTGTTGTAAGTGGTAGATATGAGGAGTCCATTTCACCTTGCAGCTTTTCATGGACATCAGCACCGGCTTCGAGAAGGAGCCGCACTGTCTTAGCGTCTGCTGTTAACGCTGCAATGTGCAGAGGGGTCCATTCCATGTGAGAGATTTTGTTGTTGTCAGCATGACCTTTGGTGTGTATATTAGCCCCCTTTCCGAGCAGCAGCTGTACAACTAGTGTGGAGTTGGATAATAAAGCAAGTTGTAAGGCGTTCAGTCTTAGGCGGCAGTTATCATATATACAAAGCTCAGCATTGGCATCGACAAATGCACCGTATTCAAGAAGGGTATGCACTGCTTTTGAATGTCCTAGAAATGACGCGACATGCAATGCACTAAAACTGAAATTGAAAATGTCGATATGCGCCTGGAGGTGACTCGTGCAATCTGCTCCCTTCTGTAAGAGTTCTGAGATCACATCTTGTTTGCCGAAAATAGATGCAAGATGTACGACCGGCATTTCTATTTCTGTTCTTATATTGAAATTGAGCTGTGGATGGCGAAATCCCGTTGATTTGCTGCCTTTGTCGGCATTTATGAAGCATGGTCTAGTTATGCTTCCTCCGCGTGCAAGCAACAGTTTCACCACATCCACGTGCCCCCAGATAATAGCGAGATGAAGTGAAGTTATCTTAGCTCTGATATTTTTAAAGTGCACATGGCATGTTGAGTCGATATCCGCGCCTCTATCAAGAACCAACGTAATGGCCTCTTTGTTGCCGGACACCACTGCGCAGTGCAATGCTGTCAGTTGTGCACTGAGCCAATCCTCACCAATACCGACTTCACATAAAGATTCTGTATCTGCTCCCCTGTCTAGAAGCATCTGTACCATTGCCCTGTGTCCAGACAGGCTTGCTATATGCAGTGCCGTTGGTCCTGCGCTCATTTTCAAGAATTTCATGTTCAAGAAGTTTGTGGCAACTACAGCGCGACATTTTGCATTGATATCTGCTCCCTTCTTCACCAGCAACTCGGCCACCGATCCGTGGCCGCACTGAAAAAGACACTGTAGTGCAGCCAATTCGTCTTGAACGGCGAGAATCAGGCGTACCGTCGGGATTTGTTCTTCTGGCTTCGGCAGGAGCCAAGGGGGAACAAATGTCTCTATTTTGGTGGAGAAATACAGCGTCGTGAGCATGCCGCGGTCATTAGTTTTGAGGTCCAGAGCGAAGCCATCTGTTGCATATGCCAAATCATCCTCCCAATTCTTTTCAACAGCTTGTTTACCCATCATAACAAGCTTTTTTGGAAGATTGAATGTATCACGCAGCATACCTGTCACCTTGGTCACTTTTTTCATCTGTTCTCCCCACGTGGTTGACTCATCCTTGAACTCAAGTTGTCGAAGTTTCGCCCACTCATGACGCTTTTTCGACGCCCAATGCAATGCCGTCCACCCGTATGCATCTTTCGTATTCAAATCGGCACCACGTTCTATCAGCATTTCCACCACGTTACGTCGACCTTGGCCGGCCGCACAGTGAAGCGCCGTAACACCATCCTTTCCTCGCTGGTGGACATCCACATGCTCGAGAAGAACATCAATTACGCCAATTTTTCCAGTCCAAGCTGCCACATGTAAAGCGGTCCAGCCTTCGTCATCTTGTAAATTCGCTTGGGCCCCTTCTTGGAGAAGAGATTTTACCACTGCGCTGTGGCCATTCAAGGCAGCGAGGTGTAAGGCCGTGAGTCGTTGTTTTTTCTTCTGAAAATTGATATCTGCCCCCTTCTGGAGAAGCAGCATGACTACATCAACATGCCCGTTCTCAGCGGCGCGATGCAAAGCTGTTCCACCGTCTTCATCAGTCGCGGCGATATCTATGCCCTCCTCGAGAAGCTGTCCAACGATTTTTGTAAGACCAAAAGCAGCGGCAAGCTGCAAGCCATTGGCTCCTTTGATAAAATGCTGGCTGTACCCTGGGTACCGATACCCAGGGAGATGCAAGACCTGATGAGAAGTCCAAACATTTGATGCCATTTTGAGGAACAGAGAGGCCTGGTCTTCTGCTTGAACCACCGCTGCTTCAGCGCTCTCGCGCAAATGATTTCCCCATTCTTGCGCCGCATATTCAAGGAACGGAAATTTTTTAAGTCGAGAACGTAACCTTTGGTCATCGGAACATGGCCCTTTAGAAAAGACGGAGAATGAAAGATAAGAAACGCAGGCACCGATGATTGTTTCGTTTGCGGAACATATCCAATCTGGTTGATTCGCGGTGTCTTGGAAGTAAATCTTTGCCGTATGGTGCATCAATTGCACACTGTCACTCTTCTTATTTATCACAACTAAGCCCAAGCAAAGAGCAACTGATTCTTCAAGATTTCCTCGAAAATAATCCTGGTCAAAGTCTGATCCAATCCTCACATTGCACGCATGTTGAAGCTCTTGGCACGACAGGGGTCGTTTTGCGAGGATTACCCAGGACAGAATTCGACGTGCCATTTGCTGATCTTTGGGAAAATGACCATCTATTCTCTTCAGAGTGCGTTCATATACGGTAGATATCTTATCAGGGCTCTCCTTGAGGGCTTTCAAGGCATCGTTAATGTCCCCAACTGTTCTTTCACTACGTAGTGAGTGCAGGAACGGTTCGACAAGCACAAACCTGGGTCATAGTTTTTTCAGCCGCATACCGGACATAGGTGTATAAAGGCATAACTTACATTCCATCAACTGCTTCAACTATGGAGTTCTTGATCTTCACCTGCAACTTTTTATCTTCTCTAACCAGCTTGGGCAGTTTTATTATAAGGGCATCAAGGACAGCTTTCACATCTTGTTCTAGAGCTTTGATTTCCATCGAATCATAGTTTTCAAAGGATTCTTTGAAGTCAACTGTTGGCCTGGAAGTGGCTAAAATTTTCATCCCCGTGCTTTTCTGATGATCTCTCAGATTTGACAAGAGCTCCCGTACGGTGTCCTCAGAGCACTCATCAAGGGCATCTACCACGAGAAAAGCCCGTGGAAACTTTTGAAGCACGTCGGCCAGAATGGAGCTTATTTCTTCCAACAGCGGCTGGCTTCGATTTTCTGTATGGGTTTTGTGAAGCTCCGTTACGGAACTAGGGAGTTGCGGGGACTGTTGAACAAGCTGTCTCAGGATTGCCGCCAATAATGACTGGAGAGACTGCTCTTGCATTCGTTCATATTCGAGGTACAAACAAACGACTGCAGCTTTTTCGTTTGATGCCCTTCCTGCCTGTTTGGCGTGTAAGTGGTCAACTACCAGAGAAGCAAAGATTGTTTTGCCTGATCCGGCAATACCATGGCACCAAAGCGTCTGAGTATTACCGTTCACCCAGTGAAGAAAAGATTGCGATTCTACAAACGCTTTCCCGGTGTCACGATGTCGTTTCATTCGAGAATCTGCCCATTTCTTGGTGTGCGTGTCCGCATCAAGCCAGTCCAGTATTTCATCACGTTTTTGCTTCTGCCCCTGCTGCTGTCGATCTTTGAGTACGTCAGTATGTCGCAAAGTAAAATTAAATTTGAATTTTGACTTTCCTTTCTTCATATCTTCGAGTTCTTTTCGGATCTTTTCAATTTCTTCCCTGGCTGTACATACGATCGGCCAAAAGTCAAATCATCAAGATCTCATGATCAGTCATGTAGTTCACTCACTCTCTTCCGATCTAGTTTCAATGGCTTCCACTTTTTGCACAATTCTGAGTAGTTCTTTTGCGTATGCAGCCGCTGTCGCCGCCGCATATGGTTGCCATGTCTTGTGTTTATGCGTATCAGAGTAGTCGCAGATACCGCGAATGACGAGGCAGGGAAAGTGGTTCATCAATCCACCAGCCTCCATTTCGAAACACAAAATGCCGTATTTCTTTCGCAACTTCTCTCTCGTCTCGCCGTGTCTCATTACAACGTCGGCAGATGCAATGGTTCCATAATGAATTACCGGATCTCTTTTCCTTCGAGGGCGCCTCGGTACCATACGCTCTTCATCGCAATGGGGACACGGGTATTCCGGATCATTTTCGTTGTTCTGAAGTGTGTGCATGACAGGGTTTGGTGGATCTGTCTTCTCAATATGCTCATAGTCCGCTTCGAATAATTGATCGTATTCGGCACCAGGATGTTGATATTTCTGCATTGGTTCCAACTTTGCATCTTCGGACTTGTTGTTCTTTTCAATCATTTCTGTGATGTTGCGAGTAATAGCATTCCTCAAAATTTCGGGCTTGCTCTTCAGAATGCTAACTCCACTAGTGAGTACCGATGGTGGAACATTCAAGATACCTGTATGTTGAAATTCTCCGCCGGCTACCACCTTCCCCTGATCATACTTGATTACAGCGCCTGCAAACCTAGTCAGAAACGGATAGTCCTTGTCCCGTGAGAATCCGGGACCATACCTAGTTCGCCAGTCTGGATACTGACTACGACATCACCTAACCTAATATCCTCATCGGGACGTGCACTCGGATTCGGTGCCCCTCCTCCAATTCCCACCATCAAACCGAACTGAATTCTTGGGAAGCTATGCCTCATGTCTACCGCAACGGTGGCAGCCGAAGTCTGCCCTATGCTCCCAGCCGGGAGACATGTCATGGCGATATTGTGTCCATTGATCTCGCCCAAAACATACGTATTCTTATCGCCTTCTGCAAGCTGGAGCCCCTCATGCACTTTGTCTAGCATCCCCTCGGAAGCTGTCAATTCCAGAGGAAGAGCGCAGATCCAGCCCACAGTATAGTGGTTCGCCGTCAATTTCCTGCCGCGTATTTGTCACCACCTGCTTTTTTGATTCATGTTCCACAGAAAAGGCATCATACCTGGCTGCCTGGGAAGCCATTGCAGTGAGGTTAGACGGTGGCTATATGATACACGTGAAAGCTAATTGCACATTACTATTCCGAAGAGAATAAGGCAAAAACCCTTGTCATCAGTATACTCTATATCGTACTTTAATAATATCGAAACATCACAGAAGTTCATGCCTCACATGAAAAGCACGGTCGCTAGCTACCGTGATCATCTCCAAGCTGCTCTCACGCTTCGAGAAGGTTGCATTAAATGATGCTTCAAGCCAATTGACGAAAATGATTCTTGAAGCAAATGGAACGCGATTGACTTCATGAAATTTCAAACAGCACGAAATAGAGTCAGCCGCCTCAAAATGACACCTCCAGTGGCGCGGGAAGCGCTGGTTTGACAGCGAATCAATTTTCCGAGACACTTCACGCAACATAACCCCGCGCAGACTGCAAGCGATACATGAGATAAGTTTTGACCAATGGCGAACAGCTATAGAAGCCACGACTCGTATTTCGACTGCTGTGTGCAACCCGACGCGAGATAACCAGGAGCTTCATCATTCGGGCATTGATAAAAGAATCGTTCATACCTGAGCAGAGTACCTGACGGTTCCCCCAAACATGAAAATCACAGGCATTGACCTTTTGCTTCTTACCAAGCAATGCATAATTTAACCGATATTTAAAGCTATTTTTACCCCTTCAATACATAATCAGATCTCGACGTTCGTCCAGCTAATTTGAAACCGCCGAGCCGATGAGCTTTCCGTTTCGGCTATGCCACCTGCGATAATGGTCGACATTATTTAGATGCTGGCCAATACATATATTCTCTGTGGGAACAATTTTGTCCATTCATAAAAATATCACATCCGTGCCAATGTCTCACACCGATAAAGATGAACAGCTTCCAGAGGGCGGAACCGATGTGCAGGACATCGCCGAGGGTGGCCTTGAAGATAATAAACCCCTGACAGCGGTCCAAGAAGAGGCAAACACACATCCAATAGAAATAATCTCCTGTCAATTATGACGCTAACTTCATCATAATCCAGACGCAATCCAAACCTCGCCATTATCGAGACCTTTTTAAAAAAATGGCAATTGCTGCAGTCCAAAATGCCGGGGAGGAGTGGCTGGCATCCTGGCTGGCAAAGGATCGCAGCAAGTACGGCCACTACTACTCGAGCCGTATTCCCAAAAAAGCTGCTTATGGATCATTTCTTCAAATTCACGTCACCAACGGGCTGTTCAAGCTAGCTCGATATCTATTTCATGGCAGAACAAGCCCCGATTCTAAACTCTCTGGTATTTTCTTTGGGTTGTTCGTGGTATGTTCAATGTTTTAAAGAGGGCCACCAGATGTGGGTTCCAGAAGAAATAGGATACTGATTTCATTTCTCAGATCGCTCCAATCCAAAAGGTCCTCGATATTTCGGCAGGGGCTGTCATAGCTGGAGCTAGAACCTTCTTTCAAATACGAGCCACCTGGCGCGCAGGATTTTTCCCGGCCATGAAAGCTCTGCTGCTTGCGTATACGGTCTCCATTGCCTTTGCATCAAACTTTCTCCTGGAAAAAGCCTGGCCTAAATTCTTTGCCATTATAAATTTCGCCATAGACACTTACAGTAATACTTCCATCAAAAAGAGACGACTTGCCGCTCTTAGAAGAAGATATTACGAACCCCGAGCTGCCTCAGAGAAGGAAGACGAAGCGTCAGATGCAGACTCAGACGTTGTGCAAACTCGTAGCCGGCCAATCCCTGCGCCAGCCCCCCATATATATTCAGCTGTAGAGCTGACAAACGATGCAAGATCTGCGAGTCAATTTCTTTTGGAGCAGTATATGGGGCTCCACAGTGGTCCAAACAACTTGCTTGTAGAGCAGCGAGACAGCCTATTACAATCACCCCCAAGTCCTACTCCTCGGCGCTATCGTCGTGCAAGTCAAGGTTCTAGCAGTGATTCAGATGAATGGGAAGATACTGAACCGGAAGAGATCCCGGATCGTATGCCCATCTCTTTTATGCAAAGAAATCCTGTCGGTTCAAATGCAGGGGAAGAATTTAGTGATTCAGCTTCAGAACAAGAAAATACTGAAGCGGACGAAAACCCGATCAGCACGATATCATACTATACGCAAACAACTTCGAGTGATTTAGATACAGAGGGGGAAGGTACTGGATCACGAACTAGTCTACGTGTGGGGGCTATAACAGCTACAGAATTTACTCAAAGACCGCGTCCTAGTATAGATAATTGGTCGACGGTCCGAATCTCGGATAAATCTAGTGACTCTGGCAAGGAGGAGGAAAGGATGGCTGGATCTGAGATAGATTCGGATACCAGTTCTGATTTGCCACGGAATCCTCAGCAACCGCGATATCATCGAAGAAGACGGAATTTCGCTTTTGAATTGTAAGATGGACTGAGATACATGTAGAGAATTGGAGGTCATATCCACATACCTAGGTATAGTAGGCAAGAAACAATTAGAGAGCATTTTCATCTGTGCGTTATGTTCGTACCACTACATCTTTACATCAGTATAAACGCACCAAAATGGATAGCTGGGTGCCATATCAATCCATACTTTATCCAGATCGTGATGCTAGGGCTCTATGGGTTAGAATTGTATATATAATCCACTAATCGCTTCGAGTTGAATTTGAAGCTGTTGACCACGCGACGAGGGCTCCAGATGATCACTCAATATGCCAGCATAGTGGGTAGACAAAAGTAGGAAATAAAAAGTTTTTCATATGTAGATGAGAATCCTACGTGCAGGACTCTGTCCAATTCGATATCAATTGTCTATTGACTGCAGGCTGGTATCCGGAGCATAATACTCTGTTTATCGAACGTTACTTTGTACGTAGTATTTAAATTTTTGCCTTCGTGAATGATGCCCTAATCTTCATTTCTAGCTAACATTGTTATGCCTATACCCTACATCACTGAGTCTATTCTGGTTGGACGGATAAATTCCGTCCGGCAAATGAAGGAATTTCCGCTAATAAAACATAGTCTCCGGGTAAAGGCGAAATCTTCTATCATAAGCGACTTGATTCGTTTCAACGTCTTTAATTTATACCTACTACTCCTTTCTGAATATTTTTATCCTCCCTCGCCGTACTGGTCATGGAATCTCTTTTTCTCGCCACTGCTCCACCCCTTGACCCAGAATGGCTCGCTTATGAGTCGGCAGCAGGTCTCAACAACAAGCCGAAGAAATCTCCATCCACCTCGCCGCTAGACCGTCAGCATGTCTACGCAGACGATTGTCGTGCCCGCACGATCGCTGCGCTTTCAGCTTCTCCATACAGCCGCCTCGCCAACGCGGTGCATAGCCGCCACTTCACTGTGCCTTCATCCGTAGACGGCTTCCAGATCCCTGTAATTGAGTATTCACCTTCTGTCTCTGACCGGCCATCGATTGCTACACCCGCTGCTGTGATTTTTTACATTCACGGTGGAGGTCTCTGTGTCGGCGAGGCTGATAGCGAGGAACTGTCGTGCCGTCTCATTGCTGCGGATGCGCATGCCACAGTCTTCTCGGTTGGGTACCGTTTAATGCCTACGTATTCAGCGCAAACGTGTTTATCTGACTGTATGGATGCATTTAAACGCGTCGTTGCAGAGCAGGTGGCAACGCAAGCAAACTTATTGCTAGTTGGCAGCTCGAGTGGAGGAGAACTTGCAGCGCTAGTGGCTCAGCAGCTGCCATCAGTCATCCAAGGGGTCGTACTCCGCTGCCCCGTAACAAGCGACGCTTTTAGCGGCGTGGATAAGTTCGTCCCCAAGAACCTACAGCACCTGCATACTAGCGCCACAGATCCATCGTTCTGGAACTCACTACTAGGCCCCATGCTACGTGAGGTGCCGCGCGATGGACTGGAGCGTATGCCTCTTGAGGCGCCGCTAGACGTCATGCAACAGCATCCTCGCACATGGATCCAGCTGTGTACCAATGACAGTCTTTTCTCGGATGGCCTGTGCTATGCAAAGGCGCTGGAGGATGCCGGCATTGAGGTCAAGGCTGATGTCGTCCGCGGCTGGCCGCATACCTTCTGGCTCAAGGCACCGCTGTTACCAAGAGCGCTTGAGGCGGAGAGGAGCATGCTGGAGGGGTTGGTCTGGGTTGCTGGTCCTTCTATCTAGGTACTCATCAAATACAGCTTTGATACTTTAACTTACTTGGTTCTGTAAGTAGATGCACCACAGCTTCTACAGTCTCCGAAGAAGAAAGTGCTAGCATTGTTATAATCTGCCTTCAGAATCATACTTACGTATGAATTAAAACAGGAAAAAGAAATTGAGGATTCCTTTTTGAAGAAGATTATATCACTATGTTATTTACATACGGGTCAAATAGTTTAAAGGAGCCTCCGCCTCTTACCCCAAACTCCTTAATCTCTAGCGCCGCTCTAGAGTCATATCCGAAATTTGCGCCGCAGCTCATAATTATATGCCGGATACAGGATTACCTTGCCCAAAAATTGAAAGGTTTGGAGAACCTCTAGTTGCAAGCGAATTCTTCCTCATTCTCAGAATCAATTCGTCAATTCAAAAGCGCTTATACGCACAATTCCTGCGCGGAGTTTTCGGCAAAAGCTAGGCTTCTAGCGTCATGTACAGACGGGGGTGGATTCGTGTACCCCGGCCGCTCCTGCAGTATAAAGACGGTATTATAACCCAGCTCAAATTTGTCACTCATTGCCCCTCTATTTATTAATTGAAATGCGCGAAAGCTCACAAAGATAATACCAAGCAAGCAATAAAGAGAGAAATGGCAGACTCAACTGAACTCAAGTTCAGCACGCCCAGCGCGAAGATCGAAGGAGAGTTTGAGAGGCCTTCTGGGTTTCCAAGACTTAGGCCTGCTTATATCCTGAAGGTGATTGATTTTTATAAACTGGGATTGTGAGTGAGGGGCTGATAATGCTGCTTTTGGCGGACGAAATAGTTCAAGCTTCCGGCTGCGAGACCGATTGGTGAGTTTCTGTGTCACCCTGGTTTGGATTCGTAAATAGAAGACTGAGGGTTATTGACATTCTGCGAAAACAGGACAAATTGCTACTGGCGAGACATTGACTCAGTTCACAATTACCGTACGTCTCTAATCGTATTCATATCTGAAGAAGAAATTGTGTCTGACAATTGAAGCAGGATCCGAAATCGGGAACCCTCACCACCGTAGAAGGATACGATGCCAAAGTCGAAGGCACCGTCGTTGCGGGTGATGATTGGCTACTTATCGATGCCGATGGTGCGTATGCGCGACCGAACGTGAAGCTTGTTGTTGAGTCAGTATCTCCCCAATTTCCCGATATCATAATATGCTGACCCAAGTCGTCTTGACTGGACAGGTTGGAGGATGGTACCGTAAGTTGTGTCTCGCATATGCCGCGGTCGACATGAATCTGAGATCCATCAAGAACATCCAATGCAACTACTCCGCCGTGGTCGCCGTCAGCCAACCGGTCCTCGAATTCATGGCTGGCGCCCCTAACGCAAAGACTATTCCATTCGGAGTTGCCAGTTCGTCTATCTTTTCCCCTTTCTCAGATATACCCCATACCAAGAAGTAGCTAATTTTTGAAACTTTTTCCCCAGCAAATACCGTCACGTTCAGAGCTGGAAACCCAAAATACAAACATTTGAACAGCAAGGTGTTTGTGGCTGATAGTCGCTATATCGTGAGTCGGGATCCATTGGTACTCGAGGCTGAGACAAGGATTTCGGAGGTTGTGCCTGCTACGGAGGTGGAGTAAATAGTGACTGACCTGTTGCACACGGGGAAGGGAAATTGATAAGGATTTTAGAACGTTGTCCAGATATCGTATCTTAGTGTCGAAAATCACCTCGCAGACAAAACCTCTCCTCCAAGTTGCGAGTTAAGTTCTATCAAACCACCAAAGTCAAAGGATTAGTCGCCAACAGCCAGTAGCTTTTCTGTAAATAGGCTGTTAGCATATTTTATACTACATAGGGTACCTGTGATGTTCACTCAGATCCACACCCTTTGACGCCTGTTTTCTGTTTGGTTATTTAGCAGAGAGGATGATTGCTGTATTCGTCTATTTTATTTATCAAGCCTAGCCGTGTACGTTGTCAGACTATTTTCACCCTTAGATAATGCAGGAACTTTCATCTTTCAACAATAACGACCCTGACAATCTACTGCCGTGATTAGCTGATGGTATTCGAAACAGGTCAGGATCCATGATCTAGAGCTATTTTACTAACAACTGCTTCTAATGCTTGGTACGTAGCTTGAATACTCTTTGATCTTAAGTGTAAATGTTTGAGTCTAGTGGTTAATGGAAGTCTGTTAAAGGGACAATTTCAGTGTTGATGAATAAAATGGTCAAGACGCATTGATGAACACGCTGACAGCAAGACATATTCATGTTTCATGTGATCCTGGCAGGACCTACTTTAGCTTGGAAAAAGATTGATAAACATTCAGCTATGTAGGCGCATGTAATGAATAAATGGATGTGTCGCATAATCGTTTTGGTTTGTGGTAATGCCCGCGTTGTAAAGGCAGACAAAGGATTTATCTTTCGGTCTTTTCCATGTTGTTTTCATAGATTGACCAATCATGGTAGGGTTGAATATGCTATCTTATAAGATTGGTTAGAACGCCCAGGCCCGAACTTTTTTCGGGTTGTTCGCCCTAACAGCTTCAAGAAAAGAAGGACAAAAGCTACTAATTGCTGCCCTTTAGGCGTCTATATGTAAGATATAATTTCCGAGAATCATTATGTATTCAGTTCCCCTTTCTAGACTGGTCAGGTACTCTTTTTGGGGTTTCGAAGGAGGCAAATGGACTTGATTGAGCCCACGGTTGCCTCCTATTTCTTCATAGACTGCAGTACACCTCGCATATCGGCAAAAGAAAATTCATCTAGCGTTTCCTGCCACAACACTCCAATCGTATTTTCCCCGCTTGTCGTGTACATCAAGGAAGGGAACCTGGAATGACATGTCAGAATTGAACACAAATGGGGAAAGGACTGGTTTTAACTCACGGTCGAATTTCCCAGTCCATGATATAGCACCCATGAGACTCTTCACCTTTCGTCATCGTGGCATCCAAATATGAAGAAGCACCGTCCCGTACGCTGCGAGTTATACCAAACACCAGTGGCTTAGCTATAGCTGCTACAACCTTGGGTAAATCGCGGTTTAGTCCGGTTCCCCTGGTCATGCCTGGATCTACGAGATTGATAATCACGTCGTCCGCCGAAACATAATCCACAAGCTTATAGACAAACATATGACACAACAATTTGGTTGCACCGTAAGTATGCAAGCCTGGAGGAGGAGAAGTTTTCGGATCATCAAACGACTTCAAAAGTGGTGTCTGCTGACTGTTTGAGAAGCTAGTGAAGAGAACAGTCCCAGAACTAACAATAGAGAGTCTGCCTGGTGTTCCTGGTGGAGACCTGTCTTTCAGAATAGGGAGTAGCAGAGTAGCGAGAAGGACGGTTGAAAGGTAATTGACTTGAAGGCTTTCCTCGTGGCCGGTGTTGGGCACTAACTCAAACTCGGCTCTCGAACGACCGGCGTTAAGAATGGCGATATCAAGGCGCGATAGTTCACTCTCCACACGATTGGCAAATTCTTGAATCGAAGCATATGAGCACATATCTAGCTGCCACACGTCTATTGCCGCGTTTGGATACTCTTTTGTAAGCTTCGTGGCTGCGGCTTTCCCTTTCTCCTCAGATCGTACTGTGATAATAAGGCGTGATAGATTTAGAGAAAGAAATTGACGCGCCGACTCGAAGCCAAGTCCCTGGTTTGCTCCCGTAATAATGGCGACCTTGCCAGAAAGGTCGGTTTCTTTCGGTGGGAACTTAGCTTTGTAACATAATTGAGACTTAAAAAAGATTGTCCACCATGAGGATGTCAAAGGCTGCAAATCCTTTGAACCCATAATGTGCGAAGAGATTGATAGAAACGATGTAGAAAGATGAATTTTAAAGAAGAGCCCCGATTACTGATGTTGAAAACGTAACTATATGCATGTTTAAGAAGCTGTCAGGCACCCCGACTATATACTTGGATCTGATGAAGCTACAGAATGTGCTTTGTAGTCTACAGCTATACTCATTTCATACAATGCCTCATTAATGGATCGGACTTATCGTACTTGTGTCCGCGATGATAAACCCTAGTGCCTAGTCCCTGGTAGTGTGCATCCATATACGTGTGACTGGCAGATAAAAAGAAAAAGTTGTAATCGATATCGAAATGGAGTTAGGACCCTTCAAAATCCACTATCCCGTTCGGATTCTAGCGCGTGAAAATACACTGTCCGAAAGCGGAATAGCCAATAATTCAATTTAGAACTACGAAGCCATTCGCTCTTCATTGTCTCCACTGGTTACTTAAGTCCTTAATCACTTTATGACTTGTTCTCGCGAGGATAGTATGGCAATAGTAAGTATTGTTACACACAAATGCACCTCCCGAAAAGAGAAATTCTTGTAGGAACTCGGTTTAAGTCAGGAGTCGTCTTGCCAAATGGACCCAAGTCGAAGGCCATCACGCAAGCTACGATGCGCAAAATCACTGCCCGCTGCCAATATTGATTTTCAATTCGTGGACGTCAAACCGGATGATCGGAACCAGAAGAGAAGAACGCAGAAGATCATTCGTGCCAATGCAGCCCACTTCCATTGGCGTCACAATCGCCCTCCGCGCGACAAAGGGAAACCTCAGGAGTCGGGCAGTTGTACCATTTCCCATGACGAGGATGTTAGGAGTCCCTCGCTACCAATGGATAGCACGCGACTTGGGACCGATGTGGACCCTTTCTCGTGTAATATTTCCCACTTCCCAAGGGCTATAGTCAATCATTGCATTGCATTTAGTAGGTATTATACTGTTGTGACTGCCCCAGCTAACGGTCTCGAGATGCCCAATATATTCTTCCTTCTTTGTTCCCGGATGAGACCAATAATTTCGGAATTATATCGAACATATTGCAGATGGCAACCTCCAACGAGTACTTAGTGCATATGTTCCTAACAGGAACTTTGATCGATATTCGAGGAAATCTCGGGTTCACCCCTTCGAGTCGTGTCGCAGTCGATATCTTTCAGTCACGCGCTAAAATTATACGAAATTTGATGATTTCTATGAAAAATCCTAAAGATGCTTGTGCGGAAACGAACATCCTTGCCATAGTTGCCTTGACGAAGACCGCGCCGTCCCAGAACGTGGAACTCCCACTTAGAACCCCAAAGCAAGGTCCATTGAAAAGTTTGCAATCATTAGATTCATTTTCATTATCGGACATTGACCCCATTCATGTTGATGGTTTGGCAAAGTTGATCGAGTTGAAAGGCGGCTTAGAAAAGATTGAGACCCCAGGACTCGCTTCTGTCATTACGTTGTAAGTTGACTAAATCGGCTGTTGGAAATACGACACGCCAAGCTAACGCTCACACCAACATAGAGGGGATATCTTAGGCAGTACTCGGAGATGTACTGTACCACGTTTTTCAATCGCAACATTATCGTGCCCGGCGAGAGACTTCGTTTTTCGGAGCTACGGAATGCCTGGCTTCGGTACAGACCAAGACATTTATATAGTGACATCAATGCTGAGGGATTACACTATGATCATCGATGATCATTGCGAGGGTCGACAAATCCTTACATTGTCTATGTTGATTGATCACAGAAATGCGACGCAACATGCTTTGCTTTCACTTCCGCCGAGATCGGGCACAGCTGAATGTTATAGACTTGCCGCTCTGATATATAGTCTACTCGTGACATTTCCGTTGCCGTATAGTGTCGCGCCATTTCAATATTTAGTGATGCAGTTAATGGAAGCACTCACAATTTGGGATGGGGATGATGATATGCTGCTTTGGGTCCTTACCTTGGGCGGAATTGGGGCAACAGGATTGGACCAAAGGCTATGGTTTGTGAGCAATCTCCAAGCTACTGCGTCAAAGATAGGAATCAAGTCATGGAGCGAAGCAAGATATGTCATGACTAAGGGATTATGGCATGAAGCTACAAACGATGGAGATGGTCGAGACCTCTGGATTGAGAGCGGAATGTTTGTATGAATTGCCATATCCTTTTCAAATATAGCTCCGAGCTTCATCATAGGTAGATTGGTGCTATTTAGCACGAACTATATATCACCAGACCACGTGGTTGGCGAAAAATTGACCGTAGAGCTTCCACTTAACGACTGGTTCATTAGGTATTTAGCATCTCTCTAACAACTATTCATAAGCTGCCACCAATCGTTTCCTATGCTCAGACCAAGGTCCCGTATCATTGAACGCATCAAGTTCAAGCTGCTCACCCTGGACGCCTCGACTTAATACTCCGGTGATAGAGAGGCTTTCCGAACCATCTTTTCAATGGCAGGCACATTCATCCCATCGAGCGCTATCTTCAACTGTGCCGCAAATTGATGATCGCCGTGGCCGCCCTACGTCACGATCATGGACGGCTGGCTGGTCCACTCATGATAAAAATAGTCGATGGCATTATTCAATTTGGCAGGATTCCCCCAGTTGCGTTGGGCGGATACAAAATGAACTCATTGATGGCAGAAATCCATCGGAATCAAACTCTAATATGTCCATGTTGATATTGCTCTGGGGATTTGAATGGGGTGAGAATGGCGGGTTCGTTGAAGAGTGGAAGGTTATTCTCTGCAATGTCAACCCGCTCGAATGTGACTTCGGGTTGTAACTGTTTTGAGATGATGGATTCTTTCTCAATTGTAGGTTGGATGGTGTCGAGGACGAATTGAGCGACCTGCGGCCCGATTTTGACCACACGTTGGCTGCCAATGATTATACCAACATTGTACTTCTGTTTGCTACTATGGTAGATTTGATACAAACAGAGATAAATGTTAGGATTCCCATGATGAGTTGATTATGTCTGGATTGTAGATCAACGAATCATGCACTGAATCATTCTGGGACCCTAGTATATCCTTGTATGGCAGCTGCTAAGTTGAAGTGTACCTAACAGTGCATTTTGTTCTGACTTCTAGGGATACGGGCTCGGGTCAAGATACTCAAGCACCATAAATTTGAAATTATCACACATTCAACTTGCTGCGAGGAGAGTCGAGACGTCAATTGCCGATCTCTGTGCCGTACCTGTCCGCCAAGAGATTTAGTATGATGTCCTTTGACGGCGTGGATGTTTATGTAACAAAGCGACGAAGTTTCAAGCAGAGGATGCGTGCTGCAGCGCATAGGAACTGTATTATTTAGGTCAGTGGGGGGATTGCCCGAACCGTTCAACGCTAACTTTAGTCCAGATGCAGTAGGGCTTGCATAAATGCCTGTCAACTCAATCCGCTATTCCTAGCATGTCGTTATGTCTCAATCACATAGTAACCTAAGTAACTCGACCTGGGTCACTCGATCAAGCCACTTACTAAACCTGGCAAGTAGCTTAGTGAGCAAGCTGAACCAGTGTTTCATTTCCTTATTTACCACTTATTGAAAGAAGTTGAAATGCATATTACTCATAGTCAACGCCATGAAAAGATTAAAAATACCAAATATGGTATGATCAATGACTCCTCAACCTTGCAATAGTGAAAGTCACATATAGTTCAAATGTTCAGCCTGATGTAGGAGTTCCGTAGAAATTTCAGGTATAAATAGAGCTCATTTCCTCCCTTGTTGAACGCATAGGATTGTATGACCATCGTGAGTCTTCTAACTACTCATAAACCGGATCAAAATATTATTTCTGAACAGACAGTCTCCTTATTCTGTTTTACCAATACGTACCGTACTTCGCTATTATGGCTCCTACATTGCTGAAGGTACAGCTCATCACTATCTCTTAGCCTATAGCTTTACCAATTGTACTTACAACATTAATGGATAGAGTCTCCTCTTTTATACGGCGATTACAGCCCCTGCGGCCCTTGTCTCAGCGTGGGATGTTATCTACGAGGGCTTCTACGACACAAGCTGTGGTTTTGAAGTAAATTATGCAAACTTCACCGCACCCTACGACTGCTGGGGATTCGAACTTTGGCCAATCTCCAGTTACAAACTCTATAACTATGGAGCAGACGACTGCGCTGAGGGCACATCGCTGCAGATTACTTTTTACGGAACGGAAGGTAATGGTATAGTTTGTGGTACCGACGAGCTTGCTGTGCTTTCCGTCGGAGACAGTGAGGATTGCGTCGTGGGGCTAAACATTACGCCCGCGAATGCAGAGGTGACATGTGCATAGGTGTCAAGTGGTCAACCAGGACTAGATTGATCAAAGATATGTGTGATCAAAACAGCTTACTGTCACGTAGCTGGGTTTTTGTCGAAAAGATAGTATTAGGCTGGGACGGCAGCATGTTAGCGAGGTGGATTAGCAACATAAATGACAAAACACTTTCACTCCTTATCATTATGCATATTTCATCCTATATCTTCTAGGAGACCATGATCACTTTCCATACTCTAGATTTTCCAACAACAGACTCTAGATTTACCAACGACAGATGATGATTGGAATGTTACTAGTTTAACTATACCCTGACTAGCCCGGATATTTAAACGAGATTTTTATCCGTCAGCCCGTTCGCTGGCCTTGCAGATTCTCCACAATATATTGTTTCTGATTTATTTCAACTGCAAATCCAACCAACCCGCGTCTGTTCAGCTCTCGGGCGTCGGAGTCTGTCCGACGCCTGTAGTTGTTGATTCACGCTTTTATTGGTCCAAAACCTGAACGGTAGTATCCCGGTTCCTGCGCGCCAACTACTGCATGGGAGTGGTTCGCCAGGACCAGTGAGACCAATTTACAACAGAAATTGACGTAAAAGATGGCTATCTGGAGCGAAATGCGGGTAAGTAGACTTATTACTTTCTACGCCCTACTGCCTTGAATCCTCAGATTCGGATGTTATATTATCATCTTTAAGATTCAGTAGGCGGAAGTTGAGCTAACAATTGATATTAAACCGCCCAATGACTGAGGGGTTCTTTTACTCTGTTGAGTAATCAGGGTTTAGTCAAACCACATGAGTATGCATGTTGACACGACATTAGTGCCTTTGTTGGTAGTAGCTGCACAAAGACCTGAAAACTTTTTTGACAAGCCTGGAGGCCCTTTTCCATCATGGCTCACGCAAGTTGCTTGTCTACAAGAGTTCTACCGCAAGTCGGAGACCCGCCGATTCCAAGGCGACAAGTGCTATCGGCGTTGAATCGGTAATCTGCAATGTACAGTAACAACCAGCAATGTAACTAATTATTTCATTACTTTGACAGACGACGATCATTCTAGTTTGTACGAGGTAGTCTGACTATCTTCGGAGTTTCCGGATAGCTGACAGTTATACTTCAGTAGTCTAATTTAGTTGACGAACTGTATCCTCTTTAGGAAAGTTATGTCACCGGATATCTTTCAGGGTTATCGCATCAGGCTCACTCCACTCGCTCTTGCTAAAGCCTCTTCGGTCTGGGGCTATGCATCGAAACCTATGCGTCTCACATAGAGAAACCATAGTCTCTTCATAGGCAAGCGAAGAATATGGCCAGCCATGAATGAGAACCAATGCACGTTCCTCACTTTCTTGGTTCTGTGGGTTTGCACGATATGTTGTAGGACGAGAACCTGGTTTATAATCACGGTAGAACAGTCGTGACTTACCAAAGGGGCTGAGGAAGAAGGGCATGGTGTGTGGCAGAAATAGCGGATGATGAATTGTGTTTCGTATAGATTAGTTCGAGACTCGTTTTCGAAGGCTGTGAATATTTGAAATGATCGCTGGGTATTGCACATTAGAGTTCCTTATTCCATTCTTTCAATGACTTAGATATAAAGATAGAGCGATATAAATCATAGCTAAAAGTGTAAGGAAGCAAAACTCGATGTCGTTATGCTATTTAGGCAAGGGAATCAAACATAACGTTATGTTGCGGACCATTCGTAATGCCCTAGTGCAGACCCGGGCACACTTTACAAAGTAATAAACTTAAAATATTCTGAGCAATCCGTGAGGATGATATGTATCGGCCTTCGTGTAGTCAGCTAGGCAAGTTTGGCAGGAATTCGAGTTATGTCTACATCGTTGGTCACGGTGAGTACAAACTGATGTAAAACGAGGTGCTCATAATAACACTTCGAAGCCAGCCATGAGAAGCCCGAGAAACTCAAAGTAAGGGAGATCGGGCATTTGAGAGACCGCGTGGCAACCGCTCCAAGAAATTTTCTAGCCAATCGGCAGGACGTCTTGTTCGTATTCAGCGTGTCTACCAGGTCGATGATCACAAGACTGTTCTGAAAATATTTCCATCGTATGAGTTTACTATTACTGATACATTCGACGCGTCGTCATTTCTCAACCCTGTTCAATACTAGGACACCTTTTTTTGTAATTTGGCAACATGGCTGGGAAAGATAAGACCAAGAATCTTGTTGTCCCGGAACTTGCCGATGACTCTGCTGAACGCAAGCGAGTGCTGAATGTCCTAGCTCAAAGACGATACCGTAGGTTACTAAGTCACTTTTATCTTAATAGTTGCTAATCCGTCAACCAGGACAAAGAAGGAAAGAGCGTCTGCGATCGTTAGAGTCTCGGGCAAACAGTAATGGCCTCCAGGACGAAGACTCTACCGCAAACGGTTATAATGTGACAGTGCCTCGTCGGCACGAAGCCTCAGCCTTCGGACTTAGTGAATCAAACAGTGGCACAGCTCGTAATACAATAACGGCCGACTCTGCTTCATCTCTAAAATTTACCAATAACGAATTGGATGATGTGCAGCTCGTCATACCCTCCAATCAATTTGATATGTTTCTTACCTCACCTTCGCAACTACAGCCTTGCCTGATGAACGATCCTTTTTCCTTGTCTGGATTTGATCAAACAGACTCAAATTTAGACATATTCGATCTCGGCCATGAGCGTGCACCAATAGATGGTCCCCCGGACTATTCCAGCGACGATATATTCTCCTCTAACGTAGATGTTTCCACCGAGCTTCAAAGCTCGGAAACCGCAACATTTACTTTCCCCGACGATCATCTTTTAGAGGTTCCATCCCTTGTTCTTCTCAATGCGGCTTTACAAGTAGCTCAACGATTAAACATTGCCGACCTAATATGGGATCTAAGTGCAATTAGCCCTTTCTATCGAGGAGACACATCTAAGAATTGTTCGTCCTCGTCCTCATCAACAGGAGCATCTCCTTCCTCTCTACATACTCCGTCTTTGACGTTGGCTAGTGATTCGTCATCAACCTCAGTGCTACCATACCATCTGCGTCCAACAACCACCCAAAGATCTCTCCCACATCATCCTATCCTGGACCTTCTCCCCTGGCCAAGCACAAGAGACAAATTAATTCGAGTTTTCAACCTTCCACCAAACCTACGACCTAAGACCGCACAAAGTCCCATGGGGCTTATTCAGTTGGTGCAGGATATGGAAGATGATGGCAACGAGGGTGTCAGAGTCCATGGCGGAGATCCATACGAGGCTTGCGGATGGGAGATTGGTCAGTTAATCTTCGAAAATTGGTGGTGGGCATTTGACACAGAAATTGTATTGGAAAGTAATCAAGCTAGAAAGAAGAGAGGTGAAAAGGCTTTGACGTTGCAGGCCTATCAGCTTTGAGGGATAACAGATGAGTGTATTTTACATCAAAGGCATTGACCCAAGTGAAGCATCGGTTAAAATGAAGAATCTAGTGATCTTCCTGCCTTGATAAGACCCCAGATAGGGATCGAGATACTCCATGCCCAAACGCCCGTCCGCAAGTAACTTGCTGCTTCCGATCGAAGTCCCAAGTAAACAGCGGTATACAACAGCCTTGTGCCGATGTACTCGAAGGCAAGAGTATTCAGCTCACTTGAGGGGAGTTTCGCCAGATTTCCTGCTAGCTAAAAGCTCTCTATTAGTCAAGGCCCTTGGTACGAAGCAATAGGAGGAAATGTAGAAGACTAGCGTACCATCGCCGTAGCAAACAAGGGCAAATTTTCCAAAGCATTCAAATGTGCTCCGCGCGCCCTGGCAAGTGTATCCCACACTTGAGCAGGAATACGACCTTTCAAATTGGTCAAATTCTCTCGCGGTCTGTCAAGTTTATGAGTCAGTATTTTTGCTAACCCATCAATCTGGAAGTGAGCGCATACAGGGTGTTGCTTGCTTGCCCTTTTGCATTGGCCATCATCTTCACGAAGTAGTAGCCGTGAGGGGCGAGTCCAATGCCATACGCGGCAATGATAGAATGAATGGAGTAATTGTGTTCAGACATTATTGAGATTGTCTTTGTCCTGAGCGAGAGAAAATGTTAGAAACGTTATGCTCTGTAGGCCTGCACGCCTTGTTTTGGGACATACTGGTTGAGCAGCGTTGCGCTTAAGATCAGATTGGTTCTTATATACGTGGAGAATCGTTTTCCAAAAGTGTACTTGAAAGACAAATTTCATGCGTGCCTTCGGTTGTCTTATAGTTTCGTGAATAAAAGAACATAACGTTATGTTTGTTACCCCATTACCCTCACGAGTGAATACCAGCATAACAATCCTCCGGGCATCTTTACGACATATACCCTTTTAAATTAATATGTGGCCTAGGCCTATCATGTTAACAATTTTTCTGTCGGAGCTAAGAAAGATTGATGAATATCGTGAATTACCAAATTAAGGGTCATTCAAAATGTCCCTTTTGTCGAAGCCTGGCTAGACGGCTCGAATCGCAGCGGTCGTCCAAAAACTTTTCCTAACTGGACAACATCTCCCTGCTCAGAGATTCCTCACATTCACCGTCATATTACAATTCTTCAAGCCGTTCCTGCAATGACGGGGCCGCGGTTTCTTCTATAGGTCCGCTATTCATTGTCTCAAACGAATCTTGCTATATCGTAGGCAGTGGGTCACTTGCCATCTCTTGCATTCGACTAGCAAGTATGGTTGGATATTTCATGATACTATCAAAGGATGTCTGGCCTACGAATAAATTAAAGAGCTATCAAAATGTCGGCGATATTTTCGGTTCTATCTTGTACCCGGCTAGGACTTTTAACAAAAAACCCATGCTCCATAAGTCAAACAACAATGATTCAAGAGGTCATCAAATATAATTTCAGGTGCTCGAACCGTTAGTGGCGTATAAAGGGTTTGTGATGCAGAGCTTTACAATTATGATTCTCCAAAGTTAACGATTTTGATTTCATGAGACAATCAAGACTAGGATGTGGATACAGCAAGTCGAAACGATATTATCTAGTGCACCAACTTCTAGTGGTTTCCCATCTGTTCTTCGAAGATGCCCAATTTCCGCCTTCCCCAACGCTTCGATGAATGCACCTTTCCGGTAAATTGTTTCTTGAAGCATCACGAAGGCCAAGTTGCGAGTGTGGAGGTCTACATGAGGTAGTTTCTATCTTCATGCCGGACCCACCTCCCATGGTCGATTGAATGTTGATGCAAACTGTAAAATTCGATCAGAGGCTTGCTTTGCAATATGTTTGGCGAAATGACTGGGCAACCTGCTATCGGAAAAGGATCAAAATAATCGATCATGCACATGACATGCTGAGGTCTAAGCTGAGTCGCTGCCAATGTCTCCATGACGTCGACTTCGCGATCTTGACGGCAGCGTAAGTGTCCTCACTAAAAGCCAGTCAGCTTTTCAGTCGGAAAAGAGGTTAATTAGCACAGACCTTTGGTTTCTCACCGCCCACACTGTGGAGTGGCCTTCCCATTCCGATTTGTGTAGTATCTTCTATCTCCTGTCCTTCGATGTATCTTCAAGAGCAATGGAGTGATGCCCTCCCTTGTTATACTGATAAAAGGTTCCCCATCATTTGGAGAGAGGCACACATATCCTCCATGTGAAACGACAATGCACACTTTATCTTGAAACAGCGGGTAACTGATGTGTACGAGACATTCTTTCGGGTAACTGCATGTTTCAGACTCACCTAAGGTAGCGCACTGAATCCATAAAATATCGTGTTGAGTTTGAGCAAGAGTTCACTTATCGGTTGAAAATAAAAGAGGTGACTGGAAAATTCTTATTTTTGAGGGTTTGTGAAGGTCAACTCAATCAAATCCATCTCAACTATATCTCTTATACTGGCTGCCCTGGTCCTAGACCGCATGCAAAAAGCAATAAAGGCCAAATTGTTCTTTCAAACTATGATGCGCTGAGATTTTTAACGAATGATGCGGCTTGATGCTTCTCCGAATTCTTCCGCGAGTACTAGTAATAGTAATACTATCAATAAGTATTGAGGCCGCGGTGCCTGGAATCATCTACTAGGCATTATTTGATGTCATTTTTTCAAAATGAACCGATCCCAAAGATTAGTAGTAGTTGAAACAGGTCAAGTTATTTTGTCAACAACGGGATGATTTTTAAGCTTGACACTACTCTGAGATAGGAATGGCTGACAATATCCAGCTTCTCATTCGTTGGAGATAAAGAAATGACGCGTCCCGCAATATATGTACAGCTTCAGCTTTCTCACATTTTCATCCCGAATACTAGCAGTCTCGGTCTAGGATCATGATACCGGCAAGAAGCTATAGTGAAACGTGGTTGAAAAGAGAGAATGCAGTTTCTTACACTCCTGTTGTGGAGTGTGCTTTTATGGAGTCAAGAAGCCAAATCGGAAGACCAAACGCCTATAAAAATTGGTCAAGATGATCTTGCTGGTTTTGAAAAGCATTGGAAATACAATTTCTCCTCCTCGGCCCCACACATATTCTCTTCAGTGAATAGCCTTCTTCAACAATGGTCCAATACGTTCTTCCCCGTTGGACATAGCATCGTTCCTTGCCATATACCTCCTTTTACCAATTTGTATCATGGCCGGCAAGATGGCGAGATGCCGGAAAGTCCAGAATGGGTTGCTTTCGATGTGTACTACCTCCCTTGTTCTAAATCTGAATTTGATAGACGATATTCTAATGGTGAATAGAGAAATGTCGTACGGCATCATGGGATCCGAACGCAACTCTCATATCCTGATATACCAAACCACGAAACAGACAGGCTGCCTATACTTCGACGGCGAGTCTGCCACTTTATTTGGTTCCGGAATGATGGATACACAGATGCTGTTCATTTATGGTAATGTGACCGGACCGCATGTGGACGATGGTCGTCGATTTAGAGGTCTTGAAGATGAGTATAATCGTGCATCGGGATTATGTCAATGGGTTCAAGACAAGGGTCTTGGTGGTCTGGGCTGGGGTGTCGAGGGTATTGTGAGGATGAATGCGGGGTTTGAGATGATTTGGTGTAATTTTACGAGTCCGTCGGTGAGATTGTTGACGAAGACTAATGTTACGGCGCCGTTGTTGCGGGAGGTGGATGATGATGCCGTTTCAGAAGACCAGGGACATGATTCAAACGCCGAAAATTTTGTGGATAGAGCATTCACTCCGGAGTACACCAACACATCTCCTGGTTACTATCCGCTACCGACAGACACCTCTCCGCCTGACCGTTCTAAAGAACCAGGCCAGCCTCCTATGCCACCAAGTTGGAGGTCAAGTGGCCAAGAACCATTCCTTGCTAGTCAGACATGGGGCTGGTTTGAGAGTGCGACCTGGCATTACGGCTCTACCGGAAGAGGTGCTGGACGAGGCGAAACACGCGTGAAGCCACTGACGTGTGGCTTTCTAACTTTTTATGACCCTATATACCATGAACAACAGATAGAACGAGCGATCATAGAACGCAAGAAGCTGAATCTTACAACGAATGGACATTGGGTGGGCTCAGACACGCCAAACGACCGAAAAGCCGCGCTGCAACAGTTGGCAAGGCGTAAACGATATCATTCTTTACAAAATATTAGTGAAACCGATGCGCTCGTGATGAACGATGCTGCAGAGCGAGTGTTGAAGAGCTTGAATTTCAACAACTTGGAGACATCAGGAGTCGGTTTCTCCGCTACCAAAAATTGCACAGGAATCGACTGGACGTCGGTAACCAACGACATTGTACAACGATATGCACCTCGTCTCCAACAACTAAGCACGATTTTTGATAGACGATCAAATATAGACATGAAAAACTCGACAGCGGTGAAAAGGTGGTTTATGGGCTTGAGACAACATACCCATTTCTTGCTGATGCCTTATTTCGAGTACCCTACCGAGTCCGCTGACCAGGACGAACTGTCGATATTGCAGCATCAAACCCTTTCCAAGTGCCAATATCAGTATACCAGGCTTCTAGCGCCTGATTTCAATACTGTCCCTCTAACCCCGGAAGAATCAATAATAATGTCCTCTGTCGAAGAAACGCTGGGAAACATTTGCCTCTGGATCGTCAACGTCGGCCTTGCAGTAGAAAGGGAATGGCATGACCAATTCGACGGCCATCCGTCTTCTCCTTCAATCACCACCGCTCCTGCCTCTCTGTACAACCGGATTAATTCATGGCAAACCGGTCTTGAAGAACTCATGGCCTGGCTCGGATGGGTCGACCAATGGACTTACTGCAAAGACGGATGCGCGCAAGACGAAGTATGCTTTATTCCCATGTGGCCAATGGATAATATCGATCAACCGGGGCGTCGAATCTGGCCCGGTCCTGGCGGTGGCGGACCAAAGTATGGTTACGGCTACGGTCGACCTGGCAGGAAATATCCCGTTAATGGTGACAAGAACGACATCCCCGAAGGACTTCCAGGGAAACATCCCAAGGGGCCTCCGAATTGGTCCATGAATGAAGAGTCATTATGGGAACCGAAATGCATAAAAACCGAATATGCTATGTGGTATGAGATTATCAACAATTAATATGGCATGAATCTATAGACATATGACAACGCATGATTATTGACACTAAATCTTCACGCCATTTCTCAATCTATAATCCACTCCCATCACAACGGCATAAATCGCGTCAAGTGTTGGCGTATTCAACTTCAACTCCTTGGACTTTTTGTACGGATATCCCAAAATGACGTCTACTTCCAAGGGGCGGCCCGCGACGGTATCCGTCCTCATACTTGATCCGATAGGCGGCATCGCAAGAATCTTCTCAATTAGTCGATCGATTAGCGAATGCTCGAGAGTGCTAACGCCGCATGCCCTTCCAACGTCAATGACTTCACTCATTAACCTTCTAGTCATGGGCATCGCCTCAGGGCTGGATGTCAGCCAGCTATGCGTATCGAGCAGCGTAGCAGAAGTCAATGAATTCCAAGCCGCGTTCCATACAACCTTCTCCCAGCGTTGGAGGGGCATGTCTTCTAAAACTGTGAATTTTGTGCCGCCGGTAGTTAAAAGGGTTGAGAATGTTGAGAGACGGGTTTGCTCCGTTGAGGAAGGGGATAAGGGTGATGGGAATAGGCCGATTTGCATGTCTTCGCTTTTGGTGTGGTTGACGTAACCGGGGGAGGTTTGGGTTGCGCCTGTCCATGTCTTTTTTTGGTATTAGTAATAGTCAACGGAGTTTGTACGGTGTGTGATGACTCACGACACAGGTGATGATAGTAGCTTTGGGCCACTCATTTCTGAATGGTTCTTCATTTCCGACACCGTTCTGGATAATAACGATCGTGGACTTGTCCTCATCAACGGCGGGAGCAATCGCCTTGACGGCTGCATCTTGATCAATAGCCTTGTGGGCACAGACGATGTAGTCATAAGTCTGACCGGCTTCGGCGGGGGTCTTGAGCACTTTCTCGGGAATGACGGTGTGTTTGCCGTGGTTTTGAGAGTCCATAATCAAGCCCTATTCAAAAATCAGTCAATTGATCTATCTGGAGAGTCGGGTTTGGATCGTCTTCAACACGAACGTACATTGGCTTTGACGGCATCATAATTTGATCGCGCGACGACGCTCAGTCTGACATTTGGATTGCGGCTTAGGATAAAAGCGTAGAAAGAGCCGATACTGTCACATTTATATGTTAGATCAATTTGTCTCATTCTCTAATCGTGGTGAGAACATGTAAAACTTACGCCCCCAAGCCATAGAGAAGAACGTCTATCTTTCCATCGGATGCCATGTTGATTCAAAATAACTTGAAGATCTCAATATTGTTTACAAACAACTATCACATACTTTTTATTTTCCCGAAGAAAAGTAACATTGAGCAAACGGCATCGACTTGTCAATAAAAAGAAATATTCACTTCCCCGCACTGACAGAATGACCCCCGCGTTCGGGCGGTTATTGAGCGTGGGGTGACCCAAGGACGGCTTCGGCGGAAAATCGGCGAGAATCCCGATAGGCGATTGGCATGTTAAGACAAGCTACTGTTTTGCTCGTCGATGGTTGAACATCCTACAGATAGAATGGGGGTCCTGGATGTCAGTGATATTAGAGTGGACTACGTAGACGGCGATGCCTCAATCAAGAAGCCGTCATTAGAACGAGATCCATTTCAAAATCACCAGAAAAATGGAGTATAATGTTGCAAAGATAGAGCTGGCTAGGAACAGAATGATAAACGAAACGCAATGTTTTACAACTTGGCGATAAACGTGCTCAAGTCCCTCTCCAGGCGCGACGTATTAAGCAACTCCCTCCTCAATTCTGATATCTTGGTCGCACCGACAAGAGCCATATTCTGCTCAATCTCCTCACGCATGATTTCAATCATTCGTCGAGTGCCAGCTTCTCCGTATCCGGAAGCCATGCTGTACAGGAACGGTCGGCCCATACCAACGGCTGTAGCCCCCAAAGCAAGGGCCTTGACAACATCCGTACCTCGTCGGACACCTCCATCAATGAAAATTTGCATCTTCTTATCTTTGATGAGGTGAGGAGCATATTTATTGATTTCCAAAAGAGTGAGAAGAGGCGCCTGCGCGGTATCTTGCGAGCGGCCACCGTGGTTTGAGATTACGATGCCGTCGACTTTGTGTTTGTGGGCTAGAACAGCGTCTTCGACAGATTGAATACCTTTGATGACGAGAGGTAGGTCGGTGAGTTTGCGGATGTAGGATATTGTGTTCCAGTCGAGATAGGGTGCGACTGTGCTGGCCAAAGTTTTGGCGACTCCTTGTACGGGTTGGCCTTTGCCCCCAATACTGTTGTTTTGTTCGCCGACCTATAATTTATTGTCAATGATCAATTCCCAATTAAGCAGTTCGAGGAACATACATCAACATTAGCTTTCAATCTCTCGTCCCTCTCTCTCTTCCCTGTCACCGGCGAATCTACTGTCAACCAGATCCCCTTGACACCCGCTTTAACAGCCTTAAGTATAGTCGCCTCCGATATCTTCTCATCTTTGTGCATATATAACTGAAAGAAAATAGGCTGCTGAGGTCCACCGGTTCGCGCCTTCATAATCGACTCAATCGACATACTTGACCTCGTCGCACACAACTGCGCAATCCCTTCATGGCCCGCCGCCGCCGCTAGTGTACATTCACCCTGAGGATGCGCAAATTTCGCAATACCAACAGCAGAAATGTATATCGGCAGCGAAACGTCGTGACCCAGGATTTGTGTTCGTGTATCAATCTTGCCGACATCTCGCAGTATACGAGGCCGGAATAGGACCTTGCGATATGCGAGCTCAGCTTCGGCCTTGGAGTACTCGTCATCCGCACCAGCGGTGTAGTAAGCCCATGCGTTTTCGGCCAAGTGGCGCTCGGCAACTTTCTCAAAGTCGCGGACGTTAAGCATTGCGCTTAATGGTGGGGGACTGTCGGAATCACGTTTGTCGTCTTCTTGCACATTTTTCACGCCCTTTTTTGTTGATGCTGGTCGGTCAAGGGTTGCCGGGTCTACGGTTCCTTTGAATGCTGAGGCTGGGAGAGTTTCTTCGATGAGTTCAGGAGGGTGGATGGCGTCGTAGTCCTCTGTAGCATCGCGGCCGGCGCATTTAAGGATTACGCGGGCGCCGCCGGGGTGTTCGTCCAGGAAGTCTGTATTCTGTTAGAATCATGATTTTTTGGAATTAAAAGCAACCTCTCTCACCGGTTATATCGTAGACTTTACCCCGGACGGCGATCCAGCACGAGTCTTTGGAGTTATGCTGGGCAACGTCCGCTCCCGATATCTGCACAGTTTTGTTCTTTTCAGTCATGATGGAACTCGATTTTATCGGGATAGTACCACTCTTTGTCTATCAAGACGACAAGAAGAGACGAAGTCAATAGTAAAGACGGTGTAGAACAATTTATTTCAAGGCACAGCTTCCCCCCACGGAGCCCTTCTCCAACATTGGTGGGTCCGGTCTGTTTCCGTGGAGAGCAGCGTGGGGGGGACAGTCTAGAATCCGGAGAAAAATAAGGGTTGGCTAGGGTTCGTCTCTCTAGAATGACTCGACCTAGTTGACCATAGTATGTAATATCTTTGCAAGACGCGCGAACTAGAAACATTGTTGGTCCGATGTGGCTCTTACAGAACCTAATTCATGGTGTTAGGGCATACATTTCGGGCCGGGCCTTGGTTGGCTTTTAAAGGCTGTACTAGTAATTCAGGTGATATGATATGCAATAGAGCTAAATGAATTTGTATAAACACTTACGACTCTAACGACTTCCCAGAAATTGGACACCGAGTATTATAGAGTTTAATTTGGGTCTACTTACGATAACCAAATAACTAGATGTCCGACATTCAAATATATGGTGAAATAAACACGATGACTGATCTAAAACTGACAATACTAATCATTTATCTATATACTTTTGTGTTATTCATCGCGCATTTGTAATCCCTGTTGCTCACAGAATATACGTACGTGCTACGTAAAATGTTGGTAAAAATGACTAGAAGTGAAACTGCATCGCTAGAATGGGGCCAAATCATACCCCATTATACAATTTAGGAAATTGCCGCTGTCTAAGTTGCAGCTGGATAGGGGGTGGAGATTAGTCCTATGGAAAATAAGGCTTGTAGATTAGATCGATAAAATTATTTAGTACGTATTTATATATCCTTTGATATTTCTCTTTCATTTATTTGACGGCACCGTGGGACAAATTGCATGTTCAAAAAACCTGCGAGCACTGTTTCCCTCAACAATGGCTTCCAAACTCCAAGCTCTAGCCCTATTTCCTCTACTAGGGTTCGCCGCGGCGGCCTGTCTCTCCTCGGGTGATCAAACCACAATCAACAACCTATTCAGCTCTGGAGGTGCAGGAACTGTCGTCCAGATATGTGCCGGTACAACCATTTCTGTCACTGGAACAATTAGTTTCACTGCTGATAACCAGGAGCTATCTACTTCTGGCTATCCTACTGATGATACCAGGGCAATCATTCAGCCTGCTTCCGGTAGTAATGTCAGTATGCTGCTTAGCGGATACGGGTATGATGGTTTGCGCGTCAGGAATATTCAATTTGATGGATTGCGGCCTAGTCTGGGGCTTGTTGGAGGTATCATCTTGTTATATTTTTTTTGGAGTTGAGTGATGCTGACTACATGCTGTAGATGGAGGTGCAACCATTGAGCTGGGCCAAGGCAGTAATGGCATTGAGATTTCCAACATCGTGTCTAGAAACGCTCGTGCATGGAGTTGCCTCCATCTGATCCAGGGTGGGACAGACACTCCATGCACAAATGTCACCATCAGCAACAATCAAATCGGCCCTTGTGGTAATGAGGGTTATAATTCTGCTGGTGTATCCCAGTGGGCGGATGGCATTTCTTTTGCGTGCCGAGATTCGTTAATTGAGAATAATTATGTATGACACAATATGTCCTTGTCTGAAGAATTCATTATACTTATTCGTATAGGTCGAAGGTAGTACGGATGGTGGCATCGTCCTGTTCGGCGCACCCGGTACAACTGTCCGAGGAAACACTATCGTCTCTTCAGCTACAGATTCCGGATTCGGTGCGATAAATATGGTTGATTATCTTTATGATGGTAGCTATGCGAATGTTGTGGTTACGAACAACACCATCACCGGACAAAAACTTTTCAATGCAGGAATCGCAATCGGAGCTTTTGCCTGGTCTTTCAACGATGATGCTTTCCTCCAAGGACCGGCGACAATTACGAATAATGTGTTTAGTGGTGATATTCCGTTTGCTATTGGAGTTAATGGCTGGACTGGAGGCCTTACAGTATGATATTATCTCCCTAAAACATTCTGCTACAATTCTTAACACGTCTAAAGGTTACCGGAAACGACGTCTCCGGCGTAAACAGCCCTTCATCGAATTATTCAGACGCAAATTCATGCGTTACCGCAACAAGAGATCTATGGGATCAAAGCGCGCATCTCGCCTACTACCCAGCCGGTCTTACAGGCACAAGCAACCTCCAAAGCGGCTTTGTTGCAGCAGACGGAAACTCCACTAATTTCATCTGCACAACGCCCTCTCTTCCTTCATCTGTCAGCTACGGCCTCAATGAACTCGCTGCCGCACCCAACACCGTGCTGGCCAATCTGCACAACAGTATCTTGACGCAGTACCAAGGGGACAACAATATCGTCACATACAACACGTCCACCGGAGATTATGTGGCCGTTTGGTCTTCGGGGCATACTTCGACCGTCTGTGAATCGGATGCAAGTGCATGTAGTTGCAACTTTCAGGGCGATGGAAATTGGGTTACTTATGTTTCTGGGGTGGCGCAATTCGTTACGAACACGGAAAATGAGGGGCAGTTGTTGACGTTCTTGAATAAAAGTCCGTGGATTGAGATTACCAATTCTGCTGGGCAAGTGGTGTGGGATACTACTGATGCGTGATAATCTACCTTTTTCTACGGATAATATGGCTTCACACAGCTCTTCATAAAAGCTTTGGATCAGAAACTTATTCTCTACTCTGGAATATCATGACAACAAGAATCTTTACATTACATCGCGTACGCCAGTGTAGTGGGTACCTGATCGGGGTACAAAGTAGGTTTCTGTGTTACAGTCGTTGGCCAAATCACTGAAGCATATGCTATACATCGGATTTTCCCTGGGTACTACCTATTTTTGGAGTGTAGTCCATATGCCCTCCCGAAAAGTTTGAAACCAATGTGAAGGGTATTTTCCACGTCGGACAGCATCTGGAAGAGTGGTGGCGAACACGTCAACTGCATATGCAAGAGAAAATTGCTTGCTTACAGCTCGAGTCATGTACAGTAATTTTTGATCTTCACATGTTTTCATGGGCTGCTGTGATCGAGGGATGTTGACAATAAAGCAAACTTCGCGCCACACTTGAAGAGACGAAAACTGTCATCAGCCACCCTATCTGAGAGTTTGTTTTGGGTGGATGCCATGATTGCGCATTCGGGATTACCGATTAGCCCTACCCTACGTGCCTACGCAAGAACCAGTGGGCCACAAAAGCAAATTTCCCTGCGGTGGCTGGCTGCAGTCCGATAGTGCGTACGTAGAGCTAAACATCAATCCCGACAGTCTGAAAGGCTTGACTCGACACGGCTAGGTCCAATAATTAGATACTTGCCGGTTCATTGTATGCAAAGTATCCCGACGTCTCTACCCGCAGTGGATCACCAGCAAAAATCAACACACTGTTTTTCGTCGAAGACAGACACCAACATTGTCCCTATTACTACTAGTACCATTGCACGGCTTACATTTTACTTTTGGTCGTTTCCTGTCGCTAATTACTGGTAAGCAATAAGATGTGTCCGATTTCGGGCGCAACATTTGCCAGCCATATGCACGGCCACGTTCGCAAGAAAATACCGGAAACAACTCTAGGAACACAAAATGTGGAAGCTGAGAGTGGATCAATAATTTATGCACTTTTCTATCTCGGCTAGATATACTGCAGAGGTACATCAGATGGAGCATTGCAGTAGGTGTAAAGGGACTTCATATTTTTATTTAAAAGCATGGTTAAACCACGAATCGTATATATGAGGACGGGCCCATGGACCTCAATTAAAATAAATATTGCAAAAAAATCAGAAGCTATTGTGGTTAATCTACAATGACGACCTCTCCTTTTACGATAACTGAATATGTTATCGATGGCCAGCATATCCGCGAGTATCCTCACGCCACGAAAACAGGTGATGATGTTATGAAGCTTGCGGTAAAGAGATATACACCAAAATCAAATCCGAATCCTCAACCAGGAGATGTTACAATTATCGGAGCTCATGGTAGTGGGTTTCCCAAGGTCGGTCATTCCACAAATATTAGATATGAGGGGCTTGTTGCTGATGTTCTTTACGGTAGGAAATGTATGAATCGATTTGGGAAGAAACTCTGTTCAGATTGAATGCTCAAGGTCTTCGAGTCCGATCGATATGGATTGCCGATGGCGCAAGTCAGTCCGCGAGTGGAGTAATGAATGAAGAGATTCTTGGGAATGATCGTAAGAATTCACACGGTATTCTGTTGGAAAGCGACTGACTTCTAGTAGCATCCTGGTTTGATCATGCTCGCGATCTTCTCTTTTTGATCAATCACTTCAAAGCAGACATGCCGAGGCCGATCGTTGGAGTCGGGCATAGTCTCGGAGCTGGGCAATTGTACGTTCAAATTCGAACGAACATGAACTTCATGACGAGATGATGATCAACTGACTAATGCAGGGCTTTACTATCTCTCCTGCACCCGCGTCTCTTCACATCCCTCGTCCTCATGGAACCCGTAATCGAGCCAGACAGCGTTACCGGCAAGGGACCCATATTCGTATCACTATCCCTTAACAGAAAAGACTCATGGCCTTCGCGGTCCGAGGCGGCAAAGTACTTCAAAAAGGCATACAATAAATGGGATCCGAGAGCACTGGAGAGCTATGTCAAGCACGGACTTAGAGAGGACTTGACGAAAGCTGACGGGTCGGTTATGCTTACTACATCCAAGCATCAAGAGGTGATTCAGTATATGCGACCAAACTTTCAACATAAAAGAGTACTCGATGCCGATGCAGATCCCGAGAGTCTGAAGACACATGATACCGTTTTCTATCCCGATATCATTGGTCCGTCGAACGCGATTTACCCGTTTTATCGATATGAACCTATTCTGCTATTCAAGCTCTTGGAGCATATCCGGCCATCGGTTCTGTATCTTTTTGGAGAGACGAGCCCGATATCGACCCCGGATCACCGAAAGGAAAAGATGGAAAGGACTGGGAGAGGAGTCGGGGGTAGTGGTGGTTATGAGACCGGACGGGTAAAGGAGGTGATATTCCCTGGCGCAGGGCATGCTCTTCCCTTTGAGGCTGTGGAGGTGGTTTCTGATGCGGTAGCTACGTGGTTGAAGCAAGAGGTCATACGGTGGAAAGAGGAGGAGGAGAGGATAAAGACAAATTGGGTGGATCTTCAACGTAAAGCGAGGACGTCTACTTCGAATGAATGGCCGGTTCAGTTGAAGACGTACTTTGACAAGCCCAAGAAGACGGGTTCAAAATTATAGAAGTATAGATATTATTTGGCTAACATTAGATACCCTGCTGTTTTAGTGGTTTGACTTGATTGATATAGACATCAACTTCGCGATAATAGACATGTATTTGGCTTTCTGGGAGCGTTCAATGTTTCGAAAGAGGCGTTTGTATGATAAGTTCGAATTCATGAAAACATAATATAGTCCCGATAATATCAAAACGGGTCTGACGGGTTGTTTCAGCTGGCCTGACATGAACACTCAACGATGGTAGTAAGTACGTCTTCCTGCCCAACAAAAATACAGCCAAAGCCCTACCCAGAAACAGAAGCCAACACCACAAACCCAAGCGTATTCTAACAGTGGTCCAAGAAAAATGACCTCAAATACCGCATACCAGCTATTCCAACCAGCCACGAATACCGTCAGTAAGTCGTCCTCGAACTTGATGGTCAGTAAGTACATACAAAACATACATATCCGCTGCATGAAGCGCAGAGTTTGATGGGCTGAACTTTGTCCTTGGAGTTCCAACGTCATCATCACCATAGTGAAACACAAACATCGACTTGTCAAACGTCAGTCTGGCATCTTTCAAGAACCCATCATGTTCCTCGTCATCTCCATTGTGACTGCCCCGAGGAAGAGAACGCGTCGAATCGAGCAAGGGATTTGGAATCCGACTATCAATTTTGTATTGAGTCAAGAAATGCTGCTTGTAATTTGAGTCGTTGGGGATAATACGTACGGTGGATGGTCAGAAGATGGATCAGGATAGAAAAGTAAGTCAATAGGAAGTTGACGGCTTTTGGCAGCACAAGTAGGATGCACAGATTCAGAGCGTGGTGCATCGACACGCGGCAGACGAGGCAGAGGAGAGTCATGAGTGGTAATAGACTCATCTTCATAGGACAAGAGAAGATCGTGGATTGAGTCTAGGTCCCTGGGTTCTTGTCAGCTTGTGCGGATTATCACCACGAGATACTTACTCGTATCGAGAGGGAGATTGACCACGATCAAACGACATCACTGTGTGCGTGTCCCTCTCGGTAACAAATTGTCGAACGACTGACGACGCATCCGTGTGTAGGATGTCCATAGGTATCAACATCAGATGGACGAAATACTCTTGTGGCCTTAGGTGTCTATGATCATGTGCTTTCAAAAAGAGAAGTCATAGTCTCTCAATTTACTGTCACAACAACTTCTTGAAAACGTTTCATTAACCCATTATCGATTATCTATCTATTTGTGACATCAAAATTCATCAAAGGAGCCCTCTCCAAGTGCACGCTCGACTCCATGCTTAATCATCAAGGACATACCAACATAAGTCATAAAACCCAAAGAAAAACATAACGCTCATCAATCAATTAAAAATACAAACCGACCATCAAATCATGACATTAACCCTTGAGTCCCCCCGTCGTTATTAACATATCCGCCCGTCCAGGCCTCGTGAGCCGATCAATCCCCAAATGATCCTTCCAATCGAGCCCTTTGTACACCCCAAACCCGTACAAAGGCTGCGTCCTCTCATTTGGCGGCGTGACAACCAATCTTGTGACAAGGTCTCGTTTCGTGCGTGGCTCGCGGAGAACTTGATCGTACAACAGCGGGCTCTGATGCAGGAAACTAATGAGATCTGCCAGTGTGGATATGTTGTGAGGTAGGTAGCGACGACGACGAGGCCAAATAACTAGGTATGAGAGTGTGTACAGGCCGCAAAAGGCAATCAGCACATAAAATGCGGTGAGGTCGGTGGCAATGCGGACTTGCTTCTCGGCTGTGTACCAGAGGGCGACGAAGACGCCGCCGCTGAGGATCGGCAAGGCAAGGAATAAGATGCTGACGAGGGAAATGTATGCGACTTGGTAGTGTTTGCCGACGAGAGCTAGAAACGAAACTTCGAAGGGGAGACACGCTGGGTAGGACAGGAGCAGGCTTCGTTCTGCCAAGGCGCCTTCTGGCGTGGACATAGATGCAAAGGGCTGGAGTGCTCGGTGGTACACGTCGATTGGCTGCCAGGCGAGGAAGAGAAAGTTACCGATCAAGCTGGGGATGAAGCTGAAGAGGAAATTGGAGGCGGAAAATCCGTTTGCTGCCGCTAGTGTTGGCAGTAGAGGCAGGAAGCCGTGGGGGATAGCTTCGTGGACGAAGCTCACGACAACGAAAGCGATGAACAGCGCCAGTAAAATGACGATCCAAGCGATAATGGCGTAATCTCGAAGAAACCAGACTGTCCATCGGAACCGAGAAAACGGAGAGTATAGTGTTCGTTCAAAAGATTCGTCTCGCAGGATACTCTGCTGTTCCAAGTCTTCAATAGGCCCCGTCCGTCCCATAGGCCGTTTCTCATTTCGTCGTGGCGATGCGGGTGCTGGTATGTCGCCTGTCGCGTATTCCTCCCCAATGCCGTAAAAGATATCTTCTTTATCCATAAGTCGCCAGTATCCAAGGCGCAATGTCCGCTGAGGAAGTATGTCTCGCACGGAAGCGGCTGTTTCAGAGCCTTCAAAGTCGCGTAAAATGTTGGATCGTTGAATAAGGGGGATTAAATCCGCGTGGCTGACTGGGTCCCAGCGTAAGCCGGTCCAGCTTCGGATAAATCGAGCCATCACCAAACTGAGACCGGCAACCAAAAATGCGTAAACACCGACGATCGACCAGCCAACAGCCTGAGAGGCGGTCCATCTCCATACACCATGGCTATTGATTGTATAGTACTTGGCCTGAAACAGACATGCGATCAGCGGCATGCTGAAGAAATTTGTCAGCCATATCGCCAACAAGCCAAATGCAACGAGTGGCTCGCCGTATCGGAAATGCGAAAAATCTGGAATGAGGTGGTTGCGTGAGAGAATCGAGAGGTTTTGAAGCACACCGGCTTTTTGTCGTTCGGACGCCATGATGCAGAATGGCATGACGCGGTAGATGGCAGCCTGAATGACCAGATTCCAAAGCACAATCAAGCCAGCCAGCAATTGAGGGAGATACTGCGTGATGAAATACTGTCTAGTGCCGATACCATCCCAGTCCCAAATGCCGCTATGTCGTTGTGACCACACATTGCAAAAGACCACCGCAGCAATCATCCACAGAACCAGAAAAATAAAAATCGCCAAAGCCCACGGCCTCAGAACCACAGGCACAAAGTCAAGAGGCGGATTGCGCGCATCGTGCACGCCAGGCTCAACGGCTACAAACACTGCTTTTCCCTGCTTCTCCGACAGACCTGTATTTGTCGTGGTTGTAGGTCCCTGACGACTTCCCGGCTTCCCAATTTCGACTGTCGTAGGTCCACTGCGATGATAATACCCCAAATTTTCGTCCGGCACAACCCTTTCAACCGGGTAGTCTGACCTGGTACTCACGACAGAACCATGTCTGCCCACACCAGCAACCTCCTCGTCGCGGGTCAACTGATCGATCGCAAACCGCAGGTAAGGACTGTCATCCACTCCAGGCGTAGTAGCACTAATATGTTTCCTCGGATCCTGAATCTGAGTCTGCGTTTGTCGAGGACTAATATCATTCACTTTCGTGCCTCCAAACCGCACCGAATTGGACCTTCCTGGCGGTAGCGGTGTGTTTTGGGCTGTCATATTGCCGCCGTCTGCTGCCGATCGAGAATGCTGAGCCACGTTGGCCGAAGAATGCTGTCCCGAGGAATTTTGTCCCGATGACGAATTGTTCATGTGAGACTGCGGAGTCGCATACCGCACAACGGTGACTTTGCTATTCTCCGAACTCCTGCCTGAAGAAGACTGGTCGGAAGGGAGCGAGAAATAATCGTCCGATGCGGCGACGGATTGTTGTGAGTTTTGGTGCGAGAGTTGTGGTTTGCTTGCTACCAGCAGTCAGTAAATAAACTCTACCGTCAATGGTAGGAGGGGGGGGTACGTGCAATTAACACTCTTCAACCTCGCAACTTCAGAAGTATTCATCTCGCTCAATCAACCCTAAGACTCGTTTGGCGGTACAACTCTTGGGGTACACTGGCAATGACAACACCAAGAATGTATCCATTTTTTTTCTGTCGCTAATGGGCCGCATTCCGATTTATTGCAGAATTTTCCTGTTGGCTGGGAGCTGTCACTTTCCACTGTCTTGGGTACGTAGACAGGTGGTTGGGTGCGGGGTGGCTGGTCTGCCCGTAGCTACGTATACAAACAACTTCCCAGCCACCGATGTGGCACCATACTACTGGTCACCACGCCACTTAATGTAAGGCGTTTGATATTGATGAATATTGGGTTTTATTATTGGTAGAGTTATTTATTTTATTTTCCTTTGTCTATGCATCATTTCGCAATTATTATGGATGGTGGCTGACATGTGTCGGTCGGGCCCTGTCCTCGTTGTATGGCTCGGCGCGGGCCGAGACCGAAACCTTAGTCTGCCAGCCCTAACCAGGGTCGAAACTAGGGGTTTATGACATTCAATTCTTCTCAGCTATGCACATGAAGCGGTCGTCACAGATGAAATCAGACACGCTCAAACCAAATCCTGCCCTCTTTCCCCATCTCCTCCTCATACCCAATGCCTACTTTTTGTGGTTTGCTGTCTGCGCCTACCACGAACTCAGCGGGATACACACTCGGCGCAAAGGCGCTTAGGTCGCCGTGATGCGAGGAATAGATGATGAAATAGTTGCCGCTAAAGTGCGAGAAGATGAGATTGGGTTCAGGCCATGTGATGAAGCTGCGGTCTGCGTGCAGCGTTTCTGGCCGTGTTTTAGGGTTGTGTGTGATGGTTAGGGATTGGTAGCCTGGGTGCGTGTATGTGCCTGCATATGCGGAAAGGGGGAGTGTTGGTGGGAGAGGTGGGAAGGGGAGGGAAGGGTAGAAATGAGAAATTGCGTTTTGGGATTTGGATTTTGTGCGGTTGATCGATTTTGTATTACTATCACCGTCAGCTATTAACCCACATAAAGAGAGGAAGGAGAGGCGCACTATGCATCCCAATTAAACCTCTTCTCAGCCGGCACACCCAATTTGTCGTCAATCAATTCAAAGGCAATCTTCTTTTCCGCAAAGTTTGACGTCACAGCCGTATTCCCGAGTATGGTGACAGCATACTTTATCTCTGGGAAGAGGATCAATTCCGCGCCAAAAGCGTTCATGCCGCCGGTATGTTCATAGAATTGATGTCCCTGATATACACCCGTGGTCCAGCCAAGGGCGTATGCCACGGGACCCGTAAACGGGCCTTCAGCGTCTGTCGGCAGGAGTGTGCGCGGTTCCCATATGGCTTTGTGCACTTCTGGTGATAATGGAGCTGTTTTGTACATGAGTGAGCGCGCCCATTTCGTATAATCTTGAACATTAGTAATAACAGATCCTGCGCCCGAGACTTCGTTTAGAGGCATCCATTCTACTTCTTTGAACTTTTTCTCACCCTTGTCATCGCCATCATCGGAATAAGGATACTCATACCCCCTCGCCAATTCTGGCTTTGCTGCCAGCGCATCCTCAAGACTGAAAAATGTCTCTTCCATCCCCAACGGCGTCCAAATATTTCGGTTAAGCAAATCGCCCAGCCACTCCCCCGTTACAGACTGAATAACATGCGACGCAACCACAAACATCAAATTACAATACTGGAACCTGGTCCTCGGCTCCGCGGTCAGCGGTAAATGGCGTAATGATCTTACAATCTCCCGGACGGCGATGTCGCGGCTCATGTTGTTGTGACCGTAGGCCTGGTCGTGGCGCGGTAAACCACTTCTGTGAGACAGGATGTCTTCGAGGGTGGTGTATTGCGTAGCATACTCGTCTGATAGGACGAAGTCTTCGCGGATCAGGTGGCTTACTGGTGTTGTCCATTGGATGTGTGGGTATTTATCGTTGTCGGCGACGAGTTGGGCTAGTATGGCGGCGGTAAACGCTTTGGTGGTGCTGCCTGCGTAGAATAGAGTTGATGCAGTAACGGGAGTGGAGGGGAAAGATGATATTCCGTACCCCTTTCTATGTCAGTCACTGTCAATCAATTGGAGGTGAAGCATGGGATACCTCAGTCCAGGTTTGGTCGCCGTCGACTACCCCAATGGCTACACCGGGGACGTGCCATTTTTGTATGGTTGAGTGGACGAACTTTTCGAAGGAAGTGTTCAATGGAGATTGGGACTGTATTGGGACTCTGCGGACGACCATTTTGTATTTTTTTCTGATATTGGTACTGACTTTCTGATGTTTGTGTTGGGGAAATGAGGACTGAACAAGATGTATATCAAGATGCGGGGTAGGCTTTAACGTTGCAGTCAATCAGTCAATTAGTGCAACAACAACAATCGTTGTAAGTAAATGTACAATCAATATGTTTATACAAGTAAAGAGAGAAGCTTTGAGATTAAGTTAAGTTGAAGCTTGATAAGAGAATTGTGGACCAGGCAGAAAGATAACCCCTCACAGTTGGAGTCGTTAGAACCAACTCATCCATGGATCTCATGACTCATCTTATTTCCATGTTATATAATAGATACCTAGGTATATTCCATCAATTATTGTTGCAGAAGTTTATGTACTCATCTTGCATAGAAGAAAGTAACCGTGATTCATTTTCGATATACACTCAGCCCACCACTCTACCACAATACATCTAATCAAATACCAAAATGGAAGCCCAATTCCTTCCAACGCCCAACCCAACCCTCCCCTTCTGGCTCACAGACCGCTCTCCTCTCGACCAAATCCGATCTACTCCCGATCTCCCCTCTGAATCAGACATCGTCATAATCGGCGCCGGATATGCGGGCATCAGTCTTGCCTATCACCTCTTAACATCTGCGCAAAAGTCAGGAACAGCGGCTGTACCGTCAATAACAATCCTCGAAGCGAGGACGGTATGTTCTGGCGCAACGGGGCGGAATGGTTCGTCTCTCCCATCCATGTCGATTGCAATGTATACATAAAACTAGATGCTAACAGAGGACAGGCGGCCACGTAAGACCAGACACCTACAGCCTCATCCCGCGATACATGCAACGCCACGGCATCGACGCCGCGCGCGAAGTCGCCGAGTTCGAGCTCTCTCACATCAAAGCTCTACAAGACGTTATCCGCGCGGAAAAGATAGAGGATTGCGACTTCCTACTTACGCGGAATGTAAATGTATATCTCAACCAAAACCGTGGCAATGAGACGAAACGTGCAATTGAGAAATTGCGTGAAATGGGCTGTGGGTTTGTAGATGATATTTTCGTGATGGATGATAAGGACGCTGAGGCTGTATGTCCTTTGATACCATCTTATTATGAAATGGGATTTAATGAATATATAGATCTCGGGAGTCAAAGGCGCAAAAACAGCATTTTCATTTACGGCAGGCTCAATATGGCCCTATAAATTCATCATGGGTTTGCTGCATGCTGTTTTGCGGCTTGGAGGCGACAAGGTGAACATCCAGACCACCACACCCGTCCTCTCTGTCTCCTCAACAGAAGGCGTACACATCGTCAACACATCCCGCGGCACAATCCGCGCGAAAAAAGTAGTCTATACGACAAATGCGTATACATTCGGTCTCGTCCCCGAATACGCACCCTCAATAATCCCCGCTAAAGGCATCGTAGCCCATATTTCTGTCGCAGATGGGAAAAGGCCACCACTGTTATCACAAACATATATCCTCCGTCCCGACGCAAGCGATGGCGCGGATTACATGATTGTGCGACCGGACGGAAGCATCATAATCGGTGGCGCGCACCAGATTCATACGTTTCCCGAAAAGGGTGCGCAGGGGAACGCAGAGTGGTACGGGAACATTGATGATTCGAGTCTTATAGACTCGACAAGGGAGTATTGGGATGGGTATATGCAGCGATACTTCCACGGATGGGAGGATACAGATGCGAAAGTGGAAAAATTATGGACCGGCAGTACGTTTTTCCTTCTTCCAAACCTCTCTCATATCTCAGGTATTGTTGTATCCTGACGCTAGAAGTAATGGGCTACTCATCCGACTCGGCACCACACATCGGCCAAATCCCTTCTCGACCAAACCAGTTCATAGCCGCTGGCTTCAATGGGCACGGCATGCCCGTAATCTTCCTGTCAACAAAGGGACTAGCAGAAATGATCCTCCACAACACGCCCTACACACAAACCGGGTTACCGCGAATCTACAAGACCAGCGCTGAGAGACTCGAAGCTGCACGGGTTGGGAAGGAAGGGGGAGATATCCTCCATTTCGAACAATAAACATATCATGTAGTAGATAAATATATACAAAGCGAAGTGACAATGGTATCAATGCTTTATAGCGACGGTTATTCCGAATCCCAAAACCATTAAACATATAAATATGACCATGAACGTCACAGCGACCATGGTGCAGCAATGCCGCTGATTTATGCGTTGCTCTTTGCGCTCGAGGAGGCGGTCGCAGGCGGTGCAGTGGATGTGTCCTTCTCCTCTGTCTACCCTGTCGCCGTCTTCGGTGTGTTGGTGTTGGTGAAGGTGTACATCGTCGGATTGTTGTTGCTGTTGCTCAATGTCGATTTCTTCGGGTTGCAGGAGGTCGGCTTGGGGGATGGATGTGTACTGTACTTCAGTCTTAGTAGAGGTCATTGGTAGAGGATGGAAGAATGGGGACGCACGCCAGAGGAAGTATTGCCGGGTCTTTCGTGCCCCGCAAAGAGCTCCTCGTATGCCGGCGCTGCTTCGGTAGGGATGGAGGTACCCATTGTTCTTGTGCTGACTTTTGTATATTCAATATTCAATGCTGTTCTATATCCTAGGATTGGATCGAAGATATAATTGGTAGCAAGAATTAATCTTTGGAGTGTTGTGGTAGTTAAACTGCTGCCTAGCTGTGTCTACGGCTGTACACTACGGCCTGGTGCCTGAGGCAGCAATTACTATCTTGATTGAGATGCGATAAGATCAAAAATCTCTCCTACGGCGCACAAGTACAGAGTAATCAAACAATGAGTCGAAGAACAACATCAATCGATCAATCTCATCATCTGCATTTCCAAATCTGATCCATCTTTCGATCCTGTGCCACCATCTGAGCACTTCACCTTATCTCGCCGATACTCCCACCAATTCAACCTAACCTCAACAACCTGCGTATTCAATGCGCCACCTCTAATCCTCAACACTGCTATCTTCGATTCAACGCACATCCACACTTGCACAGAGCGTACTAAATACCGCAACTCCGAATGACAAATCGGGCGCATTGACAGATCGGAAAACCACGTTGAGCGCAACTGCAGGTGGATCAACAAAACAATTCCAAATCATATCGATCAGCCGCATATACAGTTCGAGCATAAATAACGAATCAAAGGGCGGCAGCTGCACAATTCCAAATCATTTTGTTTCGCCGTTAGTACGTGCATGCTGTAAGTAGGTAAGCGATCTGAGTAAGCCATTAGCTAGAACTTAAGTTAGTTGATAGGAGCCCACTCCGTCACTCCGCAACTCCGTGACGTCGTATACTTCATTCCACTTTAGTGACCCCTCCCTCTATCGGGGAGGAAGAAGTTCGAAGTATTTATACCCCTCGACCACACCACACCTCGTCTACAAGGTACTCCTTTCTCATCACTCAATCAATCACTCACCAATCAATCAATTCCCTAAGAAAATCGAATCGATAGACACCAACATGCCTCTCACAGGTCACTGCCTCTGCGGCGCCGTCACATACTCCATTGACGTCGACGCGCCCCTCCTCACAGGCTACGACCACTGCGACGACTGCCAGCGCCAGACCGGCTCTGCATACTGTATGTACCCACCATCTCCTCTCACCTTTTCAGCCATCCTTTTCTTTTTTACAATCCCCTGACTAACGTATGTGATTTTGTGTAGCATTGGTCGCAGTCGTCCCCAAAGCAAAGCTCACAATCAACGGCCCCACCAAGTCCTGGGCCGGTAAAGGCTCAAGCGGAAAGGCCGTTCATCGTATTTTCTGCAGCGAATGCGGATCCCCCATTGCGCATGACCCGGATGCTGCGCCGGAGATTATTGCTATCAAAGCGGGCACGTTGGATAGTGAAATCAAGAAGAATCTCAAGCCTGTAAGTTTCTATCCCATTGCAGGAGTCATTGGAGAGAAACGTGGGCTAATTGGGTGGGTGGATAGGATACCGAGATCTGGACTGTCGGGAAACTGCCTTTCATCAAGGAGAGTTTACCCAACGCGTTTGAGCACATGCCTTCTTAAAATGCCTCCACGACCAAAAAACCTACGAATATAGAGTGGGAGGAAGAGGATGATATATAGTGAAAATGGAAATGATGAAGAATTCTATGAACAAAACGCCAGTCGTACATCAATTATAGCTTCCAAGGTTGATGAATGTGTAGAAGAGAAAAGTTCTTTCAAGCCCGCTGTCGTATCCCGACTGCCCTCTTGATACATGCTGGCATGTATGCAGAGCAGGCAGATGAATCCACCCAATATCAAAAAAAAGACTCCAACATATCAGAAATGTCATAAAACAAAAGGCTGGACGGTTTATATGTATAGATCGAATAGAGAAAGTATCGTACATGCAGATCAGATATAGAAGAAGGAATAGACAAACACAAAGATTGTGAATAATGTCGCAAATGTGTACTCAAACTCGAACCAGGCTTCTTGGCCTGCGAAGGCGATTTTCTTGCTTTCAGGGGTTGGATGCGCAACGCCGGTTTTGGGGTCGCGCTTCAACAGGTCTTCGCGATCAGGCATTGAAGGTGGATCGATGGCGTACGAGATGGGTGTCCAGAGGGAGGTGATCACGAACAAAAATGTGACGGGTGGCCAGAAAGCGTGCGTGATCAGACACAAGAGAATATTCTTGAAGTTGTTGGGATCATTCTGGTAGAAGCAGCGATAAGACGACAGGCACACGGCGACGATGGTCATGTAGACGAATGCGAAATGGAACATGGCCATGTAGTTCACCAGAATGGTCCAGAGACGACGAACCATTCCCTTGCGGCGTTTGGGGTCACGTTCTTCCAGCGCGGAGCCCAAGGAACCTGTAGGCTTGAAGGCTTGGGTTTGTCCGCCGAGCCATTTGGGGAGGAAGAAAGATCGGATGATGCACAATGCGAGATAGGGCGACATCCACATGCCATAGCGGGAACCGCGCTGACCGGTGTGGTAGCCGGCGGGAATAAACAACGCAAACTCGCAAAGACGGTTACTCATGGTTGATGCGAAGCAGGCCCAGATCAAATATTTGAGTTGTTCCGTAGTGGCATAGGCAACAAGAGGGCGGCCCCAAATCAAAATAATCGGAATGGCGAAAAGAGAAGCGGTGAGCAAAATAGTGTACAGACTGAGAGTGGCGTACAAGAAACCAGAAAATCGCTGGGCAAAAGACATTTGCTTGATGGCGTCGCCCCAGAGACAGAACTTGAGCTTAAATGCAGTGTCGACAGTACCGATAGCCCATCGAGTACGCTGCTTCAAGTGACCGCCATAATCTTCCGGAACAGTACCAAACTGCAAAGCTTCATGAATATACGCAGTCTTCCATCCCTTACCCAGCATCAGCGTCGAAGTAGCGACATCCTCAGCCAAAGAACCAAGAGGAAATTGACCAATATCATCCAAAGCCTCGCGACGAACAACATACCCAGAACCGGTGCACCAGGCGACGCCAAGAGCGTCCTTGATCGGTTCGATGACATGTACGAAAAAGTCCAAGCTCTGTGCCAAGGGATCGGCAGGGGGGCAGTTGTAGAAAAGCTGTGGGGGACAGACAAGGGCCATCTTGGGGTCGATCAGCAAGTGAGGGAGAGTCGCGCGGAGCCATTGTTGTTCGGGGATCTGTCTAGTCAGCAAGGGGTATTCTTTCTGAAACTGTATCTAGAGGGAAATTACCATATCAGCATCAAGAGCAGCCATGAATTGACCAGCTCCACCCGGCATCAGACGGGTCTGCTCCAGACCGTAGTTGAGATTACCAGCCTTGAAGTGATGCGGCACGCCAGGGATCTTGGTTCGAGCCATGTAGTGCACATTTGGATACGTCAGCGCTAATTGACGCACCGACGCCTCGAGGCTGGACGACTTGGCATCATCTAGCACGATAACCCTGAATTTGTCGATAGGATAGTCCTGATCGGCCGCAGCGTGGACAGTGTCGATGACGACCTCGTCTTCCTCACCACAGCAAGTAATAAAAACATCCACATTCGGGCAGTCGTCTCCCGTAAGTCGCAGCTTAGGACGCTGTCGTCCTTTCAACGCCCACATAGTCCAGGCATTGTGCATCATAGACGGGATCGCAGTAGCCAATTCTAGCGCGATAAACACCCATGCACCAGCATAAGTCTGGTGAGAGGCTTTCTGAGCGAGAATAACGCACGTAATACGCAAGGCGAGGTAAAAAACATAGATAGCTGTGTTGCCAAAGGTCAAAAACGGTACAAGCATGTACACATATCGTCGCCAGCCTTTCCAGATATCAGCATCGTCTCGGTCAGCGACGCGTGCGATCGAGCCTTGTTGGACCCAATCTTTTGCGTACAACGGGGAAGGGGGTTGGTCGACAAGCGCCGCCAGACTTTGGTGGCTTTGGAAACTCTGGTTATTTTGGTACTGCCGACTCTGTCAGCATTGAAATCCATCTTTTGTTAGCTAAGGAAGACATACGAATGCAGGAGTAGCTGATCTCGACCCGGCAGGTGTACTCGACACACTATGAAACGAGTCGTGTCCTCTTCGACTCGGCAGCGGCCAGCCCACTTGATGAGCACCTGGCGTGCCTAGAGGTGTTCCAACGGGCGAAACGAAGTCTTCAGCTGGCTGCAAACCCGGTCTGACCGGTTTGGGCGGCGATCGGCCCATAGGCCGTTCGTTCGGGTCGTAGCTGTCGTTCATATTCACACTGTTCATGTATGCGGCGTCGTGGCCGTGGCCATGGCCATGATTCAGCACATCGAATTCGACCATTTCTTCGCCGTATCCGTAGTTGTTGTTTCCGTAGTAAGCGTTGGGGTTTGCATTTCCATTATTTCCATTAGCGTAGGGGGAGGTCGGTCCCCCGTAGTGGCCATTATGATAGCCACTCATTGTGTTGTCAACGTCGACAGAGTTATAGCGAGTGTAGCGAGTGTAGCGGTAGGCTGATTAATAGTTCATCGAGGCGATAAGCGGCCTCGTCTGGTCGTCGAAAATTGTAGTTATGTGTACGTCAAACAATCAGATGTAAACGAGTGTGGGAGTTGGCAGTAAGAAGTCAAAACATATGTAAGCAGAAGCAGCAGAACTCAACTCAAAGTTGCTCGACTATACCTTGAGGAGGACTGGCAGTGGAAGCTCGTGTGAGCAAACAGTAAAGAGCAAACAAGAAAAGAGGAGAGAAGATGGATGAGACATTGGCCGGCCCACGGATGGCTTATCTCTGGACCAGACGGTACGATACGGTCGGTACTGGATACATCGTGGATACACTGGTATAGTGGTATATAGTGAGTACATATTAAGACGCGGTGATTCGCCGAATGATCGAGTATCAGACAGGATAATACATAGTAAAACTGACTGGTAACATGGTCCGTACGGACAAAATACAACCATTTGAGTCATTATGACCAATCATAGTGCAAGATCAAATCGTCTCATGATGACGGTGGGTCCTGGCCCGATTGGGAAAATTCAGTATACTTCGGGAGAACACGATTGGCCGAGGTAAAAAAGAGAAGCTTCCGCTTGCAGCCGCAATTGGCCTGTTAGAACACACTATCTGTGGTGGGCGCCCCATGCGTACCTGATCGGTTCTAGGGCTCGCAGTAGCGTCTCGCTGGCGCACAAATGTTTCACTTCGATCGACGACTAATTGCGGTAACCCTTGGATATACTATGTAAGCACCTATTTCAGGCAGAGATTTTTGGTGCTATTATCTCAGGTGTGCTTTTACTAGCCTCATTCTAAGCCTGCCATATCTATTACACGTGATCTACACGTGATTAAACTGGCTAGAAGCACAGTTATATGGGAGACATTAATGTGAAATTGTGTCTATATTGAGGGATGTGCTTATAAAGTATTATTGTAATTGGCTAATGATCCCTGTCATGTATCCATTGTGGGCCCACTTAGCGCGGGTGTATAAATCGGGTTTCTGTACGTGTACGGAGTAATCTGTACAGTACTATTTACGTACGCTGCCTGTTCCTACTGTGCGTTCTCCCTAGGTGGCAAGTCATCGGCAAGTCATCAATGAGTCTCCGTTGCCGGCAGCCTTAAGAGCACCACAATAGCCCTGTAGGACTAGGCTGGCGGTGTTAAGGTCAGCCGTTTCATTCAGTTGCATCCTTGGATCCTCCGCTCCATCCATTTCATCATCAGCCCCCAGAGTACGTAGGCATAGTCGTACAAAGTACGTACACGACTTGTCATTACGGGTCAGTTACGCATACCCAGTCGTCGAGGCAGTGTCTTCGATGCACATCCCCAGCAGTTCACACTGCACATCGAGTCTGCCCAACGCAGAATAGGAAATTGCAAATGCGGCTGCAGAGGCAGGTGATGGACGCTGCACTACACGTCGAGTGGATAGCCAAGCCATCTAGTCGTACTGTACTCTCTACTATCTACTGCGTGCATTTATACTCGTAGGATGCAAACAGCGAACGTCATCGTCATGACCAGTACGGAGGCCCGCTGTGGCTTAGTGGGACTGCCTCGCCCCTTTTCCTCCTGTACTATAAGTACGGTTCATGCGTAATTACCGTACCGGCGATAGGCTGGAATCCCACGGCGGTATCGATAACACTGCTGGATTAGTGTCTGATTGGCCGCTGCCGGTCTTCCGGTACCGTCCGTACCAGCAATACCGATCCAGGTACCACTGCCCGGCCTGAGGCTTGGCGGCTCTGTGAGCCATTGTGGACTTGCTTTTGTGGGCTGTGGATAAGACACGAAAAGTCTTCAACCAGTTTGACCAAGCCGGACAACTTACTTACATAGTACAAGCTAGAAAAAGAAAAGAAAGAAAAAAAAGAAGAAAACCTGCAATTAGAATTCAAGTGGGACTGGATGAAAATTTGATGCAACGCGACGCGCTGACTGGCCCTTACGTATGGTAGCACTGTTAGATACGTCCATAGTAGTAATAATAGTACAAAGAACTTGGAGCAATAGTCAGGGGAAGATTAACAGGCTAAGAATAGTAGCGGCTCACCTGATTCAGGCCCGGCGCTGATAAGCCGGCTGCGCATCTGCCATTGGCCGCGCCCCGTAGTCCGTGGACACCCTTACAGATTGCCAGGAGCACCACTTGCGTAGTTTTATCTATGCGTATCTTTGTCTCACTTTTGATTACAGTCACATAGACACCAGCGACTGATTGCAACTAGCCACGACTGACTGCTACCGGCCGCGTTTTACGATTCACTGCGATTATACTGCTACTGAGTTCTCCTAATACAACTCATTCTCGTCACAGTATAGATAGCTGTTAAGCCAAGTCCAGCATGGTCTTCCGCTGGATCGTCAACGCAGGCCTCATAGCCATCCCAATCGGCAGCACCCTCGGCGTCCTCTTCGGCATCGACGCATCACGACAAGCATCCGGCCAAGCGCCATTGTTCAGCGGCGGCGACAGCAATAGTGGCACCGGCGGCAGCAGTGGTGGAAGTGGAGGTTCTGGGGGTTCTGGAGGCTCTGGGTCATCAGGAGGAAGTTCTTGGTCGGATAGTACTGGTGCTATTGCCCAAGGAAGTCACTACAATGAAACAGAGTTGGGAGTAACGCTGTCGCGGTATTGCAATTTATCGCTGGGAATTCTGCCGCCGGCGAAGGGGGGATTGAACTACTCACGTGAGTCGTCTTGAACGCGGGATACGGACGATAGCTGACAAGAGACTATAGTCAATCCTAATCAATGGGGTGTTGCCGCTGCCGGTGGTACTGACGCCGATTCCCAAATGTGCATGAATGTGAGTGTCGGCCATGGTCATATCGACCCCAACTGACATAGTTAGGTCACCACATTCCTCAACGAGACATATCCCACAAAATTATCCGCGCCCGAGTGGTCAGTCACCTGGCAATACACACCCTTTCCATCGACCCAACCAGTGCACGGCTACCCCAACGTCGAGGTAGCCGATGGATTACCCGTGACACTGTCAGACTTAAAATCATTGAATGTCGACTTGGCGTGGACATACGCCCTGGGCGACACACCCAAAGATACTTCCGACACGCCGGAGTTTGACTCCGTCTCCCTCAACACCAACGTTGCCATCGATATGTTTTTCGACAGTATCAAAGAGAATGCCACTGACAGCACAATCTCCGAGTACGAAATCATGGTGTGGTTTGCTCATTACGGCGATGCCGCGCAGACCATTGGTAACGCCTCTGGTATCGTAGACACAAAGATTGTCAACACAACTACCTTGTACGTTTTTCTCTGTCCTTTATTTATAGATCGATATAGCAGTGCTGACGTATACAGCGACCTCTACTACGGCAACCACACTGCCAGCCAAGGCGTCCTCCAGCATGTATACACATGGGTCGCTTCCGAGACCACAGAGTCGTTTACGGGTGACATCTCACCACTCATCACCGCACTGACCAGCAAGACTGGCACGCGCTACCCTTCGACGAGCGATTACATGGGCGTATTCGGCTTTGGATCCGAAGCGTACTCCGCCGATCAGAATGTGACCTTTTACGTTCCCAAACTTCAAGTAGATATAGAGACTTGAATTCGCATGTACTATATATATATACTCTACAATGACGATAATGATAATAGACTATGTTTTTACATCCACGGTTCTTCCGGGGTTTTTGTTAAAATGACTTTAAGGCCGGGCCAAAACAACACCCCTCTGCCTCATCGACCTCATCTTTTGGCTAGCTCCCCTCTTGGTCAACAACGCTCCACCCTCACTCAACGCAATTGTCCTTCCAGGCCCAAAATTAGGATTTCCGCCCAGCGTACCAAAGATGTCTCCAATGTAATTGTCCGCTTTGACACCACACTCAAACGTCTCTTTCCACTCTGCCAAAATCCCCTTTACGACATGCACGCCAGCATTGTAGATGTTCTGGATCGCAATCTCGAATCCATCCTGATTTGCATACAGGATGTGATACGCCGCATCTTCGCCAGGGTATGGACGATCAAAGTCCGAAGCCGTGCGCATGACAATGATTCGCGCGAAATCGACGCGCTTGTGGAGTGCAGCACGCAACAATGATTCGAGCGTGGCATTGTCTTCCTGCGCTGTGCTGCAGTATGTGCCCGTCCCGTTTGTGAAGAGCGCGGTTGTGTTGGCGAATGCTTCACTTAGCAGGTTTCCAGTATAGTAAACATCGGACGTAGCGACGTCGCATTCCACCACGGAAGGCGCAGCAGCGCCGGCGCGGTAGATTGTTGCGCCGTCACCGTTGAGATAGTTTGCGCGGTAGGAAGCTGCCTGCGCGCTATCTGTCAGATTGCCCTGGCGCGCAAATGCGACGGCTTTGGAGCGGAGGTTGTCGTTGACTTCGAAGACTTCGGTGCCGTAGATACTTTCGGGGTATTGGTCGGGACCATACGAGCCCTGCGCAAAGTAGCCCGTTGACCAGTTGGATGGCATTTCGCGTGCATCGAGTTCATATTGCAGCGCTACTTGCACGGCGTAACGGGCAAAGGTTACGGAGCCTGTGGTTGCGACTTCGGGGCTGATGCCGGCGATACCGCCGATGAAGAAGTAGGTGTTTGTTAGATCGAATTTGTCACTGAATGCGAGCGACGTAATTGATGTAGCGGCGTTGATTTCGCTTTCACCGGTGATCAGTTGGCAGATTTCGTGGTCCTCGGTGCAGTGGACGTGTGGGAACAGAGGCGACAGGCCTGGGACAGTGATGTTGTGGGCGAGGATATTGAAGTCGGGGATTCCCCACCATACTTCTCCTTCGGGGGCGAACTGTCTTTGATTAATTGTATGTTCTGGATGGGGTGTTTGATGCGGAAAGAAATACCATTGAAATTATGAAGACTTTCGGGGCAGGCTTGTCGCAGTCGCAGCGCTCGTCGACGGGTGCTGCGCTCACGAGAGCGGCAGGCACAATGGCCAGTCCAGCCAGGATCTGTCTGAGGGAGACCATTTTAACCAATTGACAGCTACAGTTTAGGTGTAGGTATACAATTGACTCAACTACGGAGAAAGAGACTAGGATGTTTAATTGTTTATATACAGCAAAAAAGATCTCAAAATCGGGATCTCCGTTATGCTTTCCTTATCAGGTAACATCACGCCTATCAGCCAAGCTTCCACGCAATAAACTAATTTATTGGCTTGTTCTTACTCTTAGCTTTTAGCAAGTGGAGTGAGTCAGTGCGTATCTCTGCCAGGCACAATCTGATTGAAAATTTGCGCACTAATAATTAAATACCCACTCATATCCACCAGATAAGAAAGAATACGAAGGCAGGATTTGAAGCAAGACTGATGCGGAAGGTCTTTTACACTTCCTTGTACTACGTCGGAACTCGCCGAATTTCAAATTTCTCTTTGTTTGTGTAATTCAATTGACATCAACTGCTTATCTCGATAAATTGCTTCGAAGCTTATGACAGGTACAGTAATAGAAGCCGAGTTAAGGAACCAACGCAACCACTTTCCCCGGCCCAGCTTCGCTCGCCGCAACCTCGAATGCCTCCTCCCACTGCTCCAGGGCATACTTCTTCACGCTCCCGTAATCAACTCTCAGTCTCCCACTCTCGACCAATTTGATGAGTTTCAGGATGTCGTCGCGCTCGTACATCCATTTGCCCTTGATGGTCATGTTGGCGTGCATTACGTAGCCCAATGGCAGCGCTACGTCGCCTTTGATGCCGCCCATGAGCGACACGCGACCACCATGTCTGACCGATAAAATTCCGCTACTCAGATGCGTGGAATCTGAGGCCGAGGGCGGCGAAATGTCGAAGTAGACATCAATTGGGAGACCGAAGCTGGCGATTGCGGCCGTGTCGGTTTGGACGTCGTTCGTTATGGGGACTGTTTCGAGCCGGCCACCACTTGCCCTCAGGCTGCTGTTGAGATGGTCCGATTTGAGTTGTTCTAGTGCAGAGGCATTCCGGCCCATGGCGATAACGTTCGCGCCCATGGCCAGCGCAACCCTGACAGCAGCGCTGCCAAACATACCCGTCGCAGGCGCAATGAGTACAGTCTCACAAACATCAAGTCCGACGTCTCGAAGACCGCCGTACGGAACCGCAAAGGATGCGAGGTATAGTAACTGTTCGGCTGAATACCCCAACCCCGCAACACCTGGATCAGAAACCGATGAAGAGCCTAGGAGTTTCCGCTCATCGAGTTTGAAACAATTCTCAAGCGGAAGTTTCACGTATTCGGCAAACGTAGAATCGCGCCACTCGCCATGAACCATTCTCTTCGCAGCCGCCGAGTGGCCATCGTGAATACCCACCAACGCGCCAACGTCCTTGTTGTCTCTGCCTCGTAAGTAGATGTCGCAAAGCACCAGGTCGCCCGTCTGTAGGCTTGTAGCGTCGTTTGCAACCGCCACGACGCGACCGATTGCGCCGCCGCCGGGAATGGAGGGTGTTGGCAAGGTGTACTTCCTGACACCGTTGTAAATGTCGCGTGAGTAGGAAAGTAGGCGGGCGCAGAGGACTTGGACGATTGCGCTGCCGGGAACAAGTTGGGGCATGGGATGGATTGGGTCGACGTGTAAGGGGGAGCCGATTTGGGTGAGGATTAGGGCTTTGTGGGTTGGAGGTAACATTTTGAGATACCGACTTTTGTTGTAGATAGAGTTGGATGATTGAGTGATGGAATTAGTTATTGATACTGAGAGAGTATTTTACCACCCAAATTGAACGCTTTTCCACTGCCTACTTATAAGAATTTCGTCAATCGTAAAGACGAATAAAATCAATCGGGTACGGAGCCAGGAATGAAAACCCGTTCCCGATATACGTAGGGCCAGCGGGCTTAATACCTGGAGTTTGGCTTTAAACACCGAAATGTCCATTTTTGTGTATAGTCATGAACATTTTAATTCCAAATCTAGTAGGATACGATGGGCATTACGAAATTCATCAGGGAATAACTGCACCGAGCGTTGATATTGTTGGATGTTGATGTGAAGGGGATATCGGGTTTAAAAATATATTGCTTCTCATGACGTTGATGTCTACCTTATTTAAACAGCGTTAAGTCGAGGCACGCCAGGCTTCGGCGATATCAATTGCCAAGCCTCAACATGAAAAGAATGTTTAGTTTGTCGAAGGTGTCTTTGATGATTTGTGTTCTTTTCAATAATACCAGTTATCGGCGTAGGTTCGTTTCCGGCGTGCGAGGGTTCAACCAAGATATGGCTTAGTCCGAATCTTTGACCGAGTCTCAGACGTTCTCTGGGACCGAGAGGCAAAGAAAGGATCGTCTTGACATGTTATCATTGACGAAGGCGGAGGCCCAAGATCTTGAAGGATGCATCCCTTCGCCACAAGGCCTTGACACTGAGCATGACAAGTGATTTTACATGCTGCACATTGTCGATTGGCACCCTCCTGATTCCCTTGTCCGAAAGATAGAGAGTATCCACAGTGGGAGCACCAATTAGCTGACAGATTCAGAAATGGAATCCATTGATGAGAATCATATTTCAGATCAACTTGATCCATATAGTATGATTTTCGTTTCACTGCTGACGACGACGACGATGAGGATGATGTGTTTTTGAGACACGGTGGTACCCACAAAAGGTACCTCCAGTTAGAGTTCATACACCATACGTGACAGAGCATTTTGCATGTTATGCATTGCGCAGCTAGTGAAAAGGGATATAAGAATTCAGCGCAAACAGAGCATCGCATCTCGCTATCAAACTCTTTCATTAAAAAAGTGTGCTCTGACTCTCTTTTTTGACCTTCTGTTGGCTGTGCTGACTGATCGACTCTTGAAATCTGCATTAAATGTCCTGGGTGCTCGGCTAAAAATAATAAATCAATTGTAAAGTCGAATCACTGGGTTTAAAGAAGAACTTACCGAAATTGATGGTCAAATGAATTTTCCCAGCAGGAGCTAGCGAAAACCAAGCAGTGATAGGGATCGAATCCTTATGTGTATTATGACCCAGATGAGCAACGATGTCAAGAACACGTAGAATGAGGAGACTAAGAGTGGAAGTAATTCCAGTATTCTCATCTCTTTTGGAGAGAAATAAGTGGATTGCAGCATGAGTATCAATTTCTTTCCATTCAAAGAATGCCTCTTTCTCTTGCACCTGGCCTGCGTGACTGACTCGACAGGCCATTCTGTTCGTCCATTCGAAATCGGATTGAATGGATACTTCAAAGCTGCCCTCAGAAGAAACAGCAACATCATCAATGACTTTGATTGAATGAACTTTAATGGACAGGCGGCCTGTCCTTGGTGGTTTCTTGGGCTCCTCAGAATAGCTGTTCCCCCCTAGATATTTGGAAATCATTTAATCCCAAAAGGCCTATTATAATGGGGGTGTACGGGCATACCTGTTAAATACGACTGTATTCCTTCAAAATCTCGGCACAATTTCAAATCAGTTGCATGTCGATTTAGGACTGATTCAAAGTAGTGTGCTGTCCTTTCAAAAAAATATATATTCTCCTTTATAGCCGCAACCTCTGCCACGCATGTCGTGTCTGAATATTTCTCAATGTCCGACTCGAGCCCTACTATGCGTGACTGGTATAACCTCCTCATGAATCGTAATTGATATAACATGAACCCAATTTTGGACAGAGACGAGCTACCATAATAGTGGTTTGTACTGTCATCTGAAATTAACAGACCTACTCACAAAGTGAGAAAAACTTATTGATAACTTAGACAGAGCAAGGAGAATTTACCAAGTATGCCAGATGCAGGGAGTCTATCGGCACTTTTCAAATCTGGTCCTGGGTCTGTATGTTTCCAAATTTCATCATGATCATTCTGATCCTGCTGATCAATCACGACCCAATCCGGTTCACTTCGTTGCAGTTCTAGGTTGTAGAGTATTTTCTTGAAGAAATCTATCTTCTTCTGTGGGTTGTAGGATATTAAATCCGCTTCACGCTTACCAGTTGGTGATAGCAAGAAATGCGATTCCTGGTTGACTTTTCGTATCAATGAAGCAATCTCCCGGTCAATTGTTGATTTCTTCAGTATATTCATAGTTGTATCAGTTATACTTGGGATTCACTTCCCTGACAGAACGAGGGTATGTAAGAAGCGTGTGTATTGCAACACGGCTACGGCTGGTGAACTACGTGTGGAATTTCAGCTAATTTTTTCTCATTCAAGGCACAACTAGTTAGTTTTGAATACATTACCGTAACTATATAAGGGTGATATTATCCGTAAGAATCGGGTTAGTGGTAATTTTGGTATTTTTACTATAATATTTCAATATTATACTGCGATTTTAAAAAAAATAAAATATAATAGTATATTAGCTATAATTCTAAACACGTATCTCTGTATCTCAAATATATATATTCTTCAAGTAAAGTCCTTATCAAGCCTTATTATAAGCTTTAATAATTATATAAATTTAGAAAATTAAGCTTTGGTAATTGGTAGGTATACCGTTTATATGCTGCTCTTGTATATTTAATGTATTATTTATTTCAAATATAATATACAGTAGATATCTAGTATTTCTACAATATAAATACTATTCATAAATGTCGGTTCGTCCGGTCTAAGATCAGCTTAATTGGATTAGGAACAGGCTAGTCTAATAAGCCTAAAAGATAAGACATAAAAGAATCAATATTTAATTCCTAATTCATGTCTGATTGCTATAAAAAAAGATACTAAGGGTTTAGTAATATATAAATAATATATATATACTTTAATAAGGAATAATTATTTACTAGAGTATATATAGTAAATATATAATTACTAAATATTAGAATTAGATATCTAAGATTAATATTAATATTTTAATACTAATAACTTTTAGAAGAAAAGAAAGATAGAAATAATAGAGATATAATTTATATATATTAAGACTAATTAGATAATAAATAAAAATAGTTAAAGTAGTAGTAAATAATAATCTAGGTAATTAGGGTAAGGGAATAATAATATAATAAAATAATATATTAATCTAGTTAATAATAATAGAAATTAGTACTATAAATACTATATTTTTATACTTTAATAAATATATAGTTAATAGTATAGTTAAGTATTTAATCTAAGCATTTATTTTAATATAAAGCTTATTTATATTAATAAGTGCTTTTAAAATATAGTAGGGTTTACTCTTTATTATAGTATCTACTAGATTAGTATTACTATTAATCTATTTAATTTTAATAATTTTATAGCACTTATATAATTAGTAAAGATATATAAGATTTATT